CAAGAATTATCTATCGCTTTGTCGTTAAAAAAAATAAGTAATAAATGAATCCGAATACAGTAGAATGAAAATTAATTTCATCGTTTCTTCTTCAGAAGAAAATCTATCATCGAAAGAACACGTTATTGTTTTGAACATAAGTCATTAGGATTACATCAGCACTTAAGATCCTAGCACCGATAAATATTTTGTACAAACTATCGAGTCATTATCTAGATGAAAACAAAAAATGGTACTGACATGTTACTTATTGTGGACCTGTACTTTCAAAGGAAATCTTTTAAAAAACCGAAAAATGCAACAGAGTCTACTGTTATCCTATCATCTAACCACAAAAATCGTAGAAAACGTGATAACTTATACATTTCTTTTTGGTTTTCTTCATCAAATAGAGGAAAATATTTTTCAACTGAAAACAGATAATAATAATTTTTCCAGAAGTAATAAAATATTTTTTCCACTAATGCAAAATTAAAAGTTATATTTTTTATATCAAGATTACTCATTTATATTTACGACTATTCTTATCAACAACTGTCAACAAGACATGTCCACGCACTAGATGCAAAGTAGGTTTTACGATAGTTAAAAAAAAAAAACGAAATCAAAATATTCATCGGTTATTCCTAACGTTGACACGTGCGGAATCAGCTTTACGTAAAAGTGTTCCCACTGATAGGGTTTTATGATAAGACATAGAGTATATCACGTCTTGTCAATACGTTGAGCAACAGAGAATCTTGAATAATGGATGCATTCTTGTGATTTGTCAGAAAATAAATTGACCATTGTTAACTTTATTGAACTAAACAAAAATCAAAAATAAAACACACCAGTCTAGTAAATAATAAAAGTAACACATTAAATAAGGCCAAAAACTACTAAAAAATCATCGAATTAAAGAATTATTTACTTTATACAAAAACAAAAAAAAATAAAATAAAAAACAGGAGTAACATTGTAGATCTTTTAGAAATGGATTTATGTATCTCACAAATCGATTCGATATTGTGAAACGATGATGATCGTTTCGGAAAATCGAACGTTCGATTCTGACCCCTAACGTGACCTGTTTATAGTATCCAGCGTCAAAGATACTGATCATCAGTTACGTACGTACACCAAATACGAATATATTTAAAAGCCAAATCACTTAATTAAAGAAAAAACAACAGTGTGATCGCAATAATGTATGGATTTTTTTGGATAAGTAATATATTCGATTAAACGATGTTATTTTGTATAAAAAATTTATAATACGATTATGTTATTTTTAGAAAAAAAATAATAATTTCTTAATATATACATATTCTTTCTTCTATTTTATATTTTTTCACCTCAGACATTGATTAATAAAATATATAATCACAGACAATTTGGAAAGATATTCTGATAATTTTATTACAAATTAGAATATTTTAAAATAGAACTCTAAAATAGTGTATGAATACCAGTCAAGAGTTGTAGAAGTTTTATAATTAACTTCATCATATTTCTTGCTATCTTTAAATTAACTGCAAATTTTATAAGGATATTTTGGATTTATTTTAATAAAGACATCAGTCTCTTTTGGTCCAATAATTATTTATTAATATCAAGAAAAATTCTAATAAAGAAAATTTATCATTGAAAAATTGACCTTTAATTACAATAATTAAACTCAACTTCATTTTGATCTATTATTTTAAATCATATAATTAACTCATCTTAATATTTAATCCAAAAAATAAAAACTACTATTTTTAAATAATATTAAAATATTAAACAAAATGGTGTATTGAGTGATTGTGTTCTATTTACCTGTATCCATAACACCAGGATCAAAAAGACAATCATCTTTCGTAATTCACTACAAAGAGTACTAATGTTTTCTTCTATACTCAAACTTGTTAAAGCCTATGCACCAAGAATCAATAACAAGAACCATAAAGATGTTTTTGAAAATTGCCTAATCTCATACTCATCGTTAAGAAGAATAGAAGAAAATGCAAGGAGGCTTTCTTCTATAGACCTATCCGGTCACGATCGTGATGATCATCCTACACAATCTACGTGCCAAGCTCGTTATCCAAAGGTTCATCAGGAATACTTATATTCACTGTTTACGGGATTAGATTATCACCATCAATACTCGTGCTACTATGGTGTCAAAATATGGTTAACAAAACCTTTCATTAATTTTTTTTCCTTTGATTTATAAGTCTCTATATATAATTTATATTCAACCAATTCTATTTTTAAACTCATAGGAATTTTTTTTATTTTCTAAACCAATATATTCTGCAACAAATTCTTCCAGCTAAATTATTTTTTCTATTGTTATAAAATTTGTAGGAGAAAAATCTTTCTTAAAAATCCACTGTTATGATTAATAGTTTTTTTTATTAAACAATTATTTGATTTAATCTCGAAAATTTTGTCACTCCCCAACTTTCTTTATATTGAATAAACACAATAAAGAAGAAGAAATTTACTAGGAAGAAGACTATCTATAAATTGAAAACTCATTTTTCTACAGGTCCATTAAAGAACTTGTTTCTATTTTCACATCGATTAATTCTAAATAATATTTCTTTAATAGCAAGATAAAAATCAATTTTTCTAATGTGTTGATGACATGTTATCCTTTAAAAAGCTTCGTCATGATTTAACGCTGATACATTAAAAGAAATTTTTCGAGGCTTAAAAACATTTAGCACCCTGTTGAGAGAAAAACGATCTTCTGTAGGCGCGACATGTCATGTCATGAATTGCATAATCTAACGATAGATATGATGTTCATATTACTCGATACACGTGTCCATATATTTGCACATCCTTAATAAATACAGAAACAAATTAATAAATTACTGAATAACATTCCTTGACTCAAAGTCTTCCTTCAGCTTGATTCATTGTTAACAATATGTCATTAATGCATTTATTTATTTTAAATTATCATAATTAGTTAATTTTAGTCTAAAGTGTTCTTCAGAGAAAGAATATGTTAATTATAGAATTTAAAATACCCTTCCTAGACTATTTAATATAATAGAGCAAAAAATTTGTCAATAATCGACTGAAGTTAAAAAATTAAATAGTTACCACCGTAGAAATAGAAACAAAACAAAGCCAAATGAAGGAATGAAATGTATATATATATATTTACATTAAAGAAACAATGCAACAAAAGAGAGTATTGTGGTTGAATACTGTTTATAATTATAGCAAGAAATCATTGGAAAATTTTCATTAGCATGAAAACCAAAAGTATTGAAAATGAATTTTAGTGTAAAACCTCTGGACCACTTAGCTTTTGACCTGTGTTGCTTTTCTTAAAGTCAAAAGAACCCTAAACAATATATCTAAAAGGTAAAAGTAGTCTGGAAAACAATGAACTGCCTTTTCTCCTTAGAAACTGTTCTTTAGAAACGATATTTTAACATCACGGTGTCTGGTAAAAGACTATTTTTCAAAATATAATCAGAGAGGTAAAAAGAGCTAAAATAATGTAAAAGAGAAGCAAATTTACTTCTGTAAAAATGGATACAAAAATTGTCAAGTAAAAATAGAAAATTTGTCTTTCTATTCAATATAGAGATGTTGTTCAAACATCAGTATGAATATAAAAAAAAATTATTATTTCTTATCTGTTAGTATCTTGCATGTCTACCTGTAATTACCAAAAACTATTCATCATAAAATATAAAACGTTTTATTCTTGAAAAAAAAATTCAAAAAAATGATGCTCTATTGATATTTTAAAAAAATATCTTGTAGCTATATATTTCAAGTTAATGGAGTATTTAAAATTATATTTGTAGAATACTTGTTAATTTTCTTCTCCTTTAAGCTGTCAGTAAATAATTAGACTTAAAGTCCATGAAAAACAAATACCTATATTGTTTTATGTCGTGATAGATGACGATGCTTGTTTAGTGGGTCGGGGGGCGGAGGCCAAAGTTATGATAGGTGGAAGTTTCGTTTTGGAAACTCGCAAGATATCCTGAGACTTCAAGAGTTCAAGGACGAAGCTGACTAAACCTCGTGAACCTTCATATTAGGAGAAGGCAAAGAGGCAAAGCAATTAGGAAACACAGCAGGACGTACAAATCTTGCTGGCTCCATATGAAACCTCTTCTTTACCCTGGCGTTTAGTTTTTAGTGTATTTTTGTTTTTTTTTTTTTTTAATCTACTCTTGTTGTTCTTTTTTCCCCGCTCTTTTGACATCGCGAATTTGCTGACAATGGTCTCGGTCAATAAATTTAGATATTTTTGAAAGAATGTAATAAATTCCTTAGGCAAACATTTAAGATTAATTACAATTAAAGTCACTGAACTCCATTTTGAAGTATTTATTGTTATTGTATAAAAATAATAATACCTAATGTTAATAATTTGTAAACACTTTTGGAAAAGAATATAAAAAAAACTTTTTGTAATATCTAACCTTTCAATTATACTTCTAAAAATGTCTAAATTACTCACCATTTGATGCCCGAGACAATAAAAAATTTAATCATCACTATTTTACTGTAAAACAAATGAATAACCAAACCACTTTACCACTTTACTTTGAAAATAAAATTAATTTCCGCACTTGTACACTTATTTTTGTTTATTGACATTCTTAGACTACTTTAAACTTTCTTTATTTACTAGTTAATTTATTTAAAACTTATCGCATTTTCAAATAATTACTTTAACAAATTACTCCGAAATAAAAGACAAAAACATCCGTTTATTTTGCGTATTATTCAGCGTCACTAAGGTTATGTACCATAACAGAAAATAAAACGTATCAAAATTTAATAGGATTACCGGAAGTTAATGAAATCATTTTTTAATTGGATAAATTTGATTAAACAATGGAGTCGTATTGTCCTAATCATAGCGTCAGTTTTTCATTTAAAATAAGAATTTACTACTGCTGCTTCTTCTTAACATTAATCGGTAAATGGCGTAAACGGAATAATCCAGTACTACATATTCTTTCTATAGATTCTCTATTTACAGACCAACCACCAGCTGATTGTACTGTAGAATGTTAGTAAAAAAAAATTGAACAAACTAAGACTTTAGATTATTGTGATGGTTTTTTTTCTAAAATAAGAATTTACTTACTCATAGAGTAATATTAAGATCCTTTTAACTTAAATTGTTCATATAGTTAATGAATTTTGGAGTTTCATTACATATTAAGGAACATATACAACGATAATGATAGGAAAAAATGATCAAACTGATAGTGATAAAACAACTCGGATGAAAATAATTACCGAGAAAAAACAAGTACTTGAAGAGAATGCTGCAAAGGTAAAAGCTAATAATTATTCATTCAATACTACTTCATAAATATTTCCATGATTTACAATAAATAATTTTTCTGATGGATACTTCAATTGTTATTCAATTTAATTCTCAGGTACGTGCTCAAGTGACAAATTGTTTTGATGATTTAAGAAACAGTTTAAAATCAAGAGAAAAACAATTACTACGACAAATAGAAGCTATTCACAATCAGCAATTATCTATAATTCAATCTAATTGGGAGCTCGTGGGTACTGAGCCATCTATCACCGTCAACTTAGATGAAGTAAAAAATTTTCAAGATATCATCTCTAAACTAGGAAAAATTGAGTTACCAGATAAAGAGAGTCTCATTGTGAAAAATTTAGATCCTTATAAAGTTCAAGAATATGAAGATGCTAATAAGGATATTGTAAATTTTGATAAATCTCTAAACATTCATCAAAGTGAAACCAATGTTATCATTAAATTATCAAATCTTCAGTATAAAAGAGATTCAATGAGCCCATCAAATCATAGTGATTTCAGTGATTTAAAGATTTCATTTCCAAGTAATTCTATCAATGTCACAAACGATTCTGAGTTAAAAACCAAAAATATTATATCCCCAAACTTAAGATCTCAAAAGAAGCTTAATGAAACAGATAATAATCACTGTCCATTATCGTGTTCACAAGATAGTACTTTAATAATACCTCATCCCTCATCTGACAACGTAAATAACAGCATCCTTAATGGATCTTTGTGTTCAAGTGAAACAAAAGTAGAAAACTCTGAAAACGAAATTACTCCTTTATCTTCACCAGTTTTTATAGAACAAAATGAACAGGAAAGTAATGGAAATAGTCTTGATAATTTTAAGGATAGTGTAGACGAATTTATTAATGTGAATGGTGACGTTAATAATGCTCAGGAAAAAAATTCAACTGATGAACATCCAAAACAAATTCAACAATGGTTACAACAGATTTTAATAGAATCTGAAACAGAACCACCAGTACAAGAAGTCGGGTCATTTACAGAAATATCGAAATTTCACAACGAATCTCCATTAGGCACATAATAGATTTAGTTTTAATTTGAATGATCGTATATTTAAAAATGTTGCCACATAAGAAATTTTTCTATCAATTAGATTAACATAACATTAATTGATAAGAATAATTTTAAACTGTCATAAGCTAGAGATTAATATTTCATCGCTTTAAAATTCACTATGCATGTTACATCATTTATAAATAATCAATTCAAATAATAGAATTAATCAAAGTTCTATGAAAAAAATTAATGTCAATATTTAATAATTATTATTTAAGTAAATGGCTAATGTGGTGTTATAATGTGTGCATGCTTTTTAATTCAATTTTAACGTACTATAATTTTAAAAATAAATAAATTACATTAATATGTGGCAGCATCGTGTGATTAAATATTGAATTACCTTATTTATTGATATACAATTTTTAATTAAATATTTGTATAATGCCTGAAACGTGGGGCCAAACATTTAACCAATGAAAAAAGTCTGACAGTTTTTTTTATAACCGACATAAGACATTATTTCTTAAGTCTATATTTGTAATTATTTATTGTAAATATTATACGAATTAATTATATTGATTTGAGTTTGCCGATTATCTGTACTAATACACAAAGCAAAGAAAAGTAATATTAAAATAATTGTAATAAATTTTTTAGCGTTTCATAAGGCTCATCATTTACTCATTATTTATTGTATGCACATTTTTCATATAAATTCAACGACTTATGTAATGTAAAATTTATTATATTATTTACGAATATAGATAAATAGAAAAAATTGATTGATTGAAATATTTTCTTTATTGTGCGATTGATTATTTTGTCTTCTTTCAGATTTAATACCATTTGAGCTTAATACTCTGAACAATTTTTAGAATCAATTCTCTTCAAATCTTAATACATTTAAAATCTTTTAGATCTAATTATCTTCATCATTTAAAAAATTAGCTTACAAGTTTAAATTTATATCAATTCCACTATGAAATATAAATACAAATCAAATAAAAAGCAGGATCATATGCAGTAGAATACAGAAATTAATAGCATTAGAAGAAAATGGTTATCAGTATCCATAGTCTGTTAGTACGATGACTTTGGCATATCAATTTAATTGTGGTAACTTATTCAAAATATTTTTAATGCATTTTTAACATTATTTAAAATACTTCTAAGATATATACATATATACGTTTCTATTTTCTTTCATTCAAAAAAAGGCGTGAATTTATTTAAATGTTTCTTTTTTCCTTATAAATAAAATTATTTTCTGCTAAGCACTTTTTAACCTTTGAATAACAATATTGTCTATACAAGAATAATAATAAACTGTTTAATCGATACTATACGACATGATGAGGTCATAATAATGGTAAAAGAATATGTGTTAATAAGTAACTACTACGCTTGAAAGTGTTATTATCATCATAATTCTTATGATGATTATGTTATTGTTAATATTTAATAGATCATTTACGTGAAACTTGATAGAAAATCCAATCTTCAAAGAAAGAGGGAATAAATGCCCTATCTTTTGTAAATGTTACTGGTACTGACAATTGAGATAACTCATTTTCAAACATAGTTAAAGCTTCAGGACAAGAAGCTCCATTACCCTGAAAGTATTTGTTAAAAGTTAATCACATTGATTAATAAACATTTGACTTTTTTACTACATTCATGCAATGAAAATGATAAATCGAATTTTTACTATAATTTTTGTTTATTTCCAATTTACTATGAAAATTATGAATGTTGGATTCAATGATAAAAATGATACATACATGTGTCATATATTTTCCTGATGGTTTTAATACTTTCATGGTCGAGTTGAGTATTAATCTGATAAAATCCCAAGCATCGCCATGAGGAGTCATACTTATTGGTATATCAGTTAAATCTCCAAACACATAGTCGAATTGACGACCTTCTTCAATCATATGAGCAAGTGCTTCCACACAATCCCCAATTATAATCTGTAAAAAAATTAAATGTATTGTCTTGAAATTATTTGTATCTTGATACGATTATGTGTATTTACCTTATAATTGTCTCCTTTTCGTTTGTCTAAACAATCTCCACAAATACTTCTCATGTGTTGACTACATGCTTTGATAACTATGTCGTCAATCTATTATTTGAAAAAATTGATGAATTAATTGCCTTTATATTAAATCAAGATTTACTATGCTTGTGATTATGAAATAATAAATATCTAACAAACAAAAAAATTTACTTCAAGCATTATCACAAATTTAGGTTTTTCTTTGAGCAATTCCCACAGTAATCCACCATCACCTCCGCCCAATATTACTATTTCCTTTCCTGCATAGTTTTCTTTTCCTCGTTGCATAAGGGTTTCTGTGTATATTAAATCTGCCTCTGACATATCTGCACACAAATTACAAGAACATATTCTATTACTCTACAACTATGTGATTCATGGATTGGAAAAAAAAACATTGTCTTCTATACTTACTTTGTAATTCATCTAATACTAATAAATTACCAAGAGATTTTGAATGAACTATTTGTACTTTTTGATATGGTGATCTTGCTTCAAATACCAATTTATCGATGTCATACTCCAACAATCTTTCATCTAGAAATAAGAAATTTGATACGAATTAAATAACAATGTTCTCTTCAATTAAAAAATAAAACCATAATTCTATAAATTGTACTATGTAATAATAATGAGGAACAATGGTGAAGTTTGTGAAAAAGTTATTAATTAGGAAAATTCTGATGCATGCAAAAATGAATACTTAAAAAAATAATTTAACAGTCTCATTAAAAGTTGAAATGATATCAACTTTTTAGTGATGCATGCAATTTAAAAAGATCTTTGAATATATTTTACATTATTCTATAAACTACGTAAATCGATGTGTACAAAATCAATACTATTAGCATAAAAAATATTATAATAATAATATATATATATCGATGACATATTTTTTTTGCTTCAGATAAAGTTAATAAAAATATAAAAGGTAAATAAGTAAAGCTTTGGATATATTTTTAGTTAAAATGCATCAAAATATAAATCGATAGAAGCACAATCAGTATTCTGAATTAATATAAAAAAAAGCTAAAATCATATCACAGTCTATAACAAAGCAATAACTTTTTTTTTTACTTTTATATCATTGAGAAACTTAGTTTTTTGGCTGTATACACGTTTTTGAAGAAATTGAAAAATTAATTTTTCGGAGCAAAATTAAATGCCTTCATTTCTTGCTTGCTGTTAACTTTTTAATTGCTAAGTCTGTTTTCTATTAATATAATATTTAATTTGATTTGACCGGAAACATAATAATAAATAAAAACTCACCGCTAGTAGGAAAGTATCTCTCAAATGGGCCACCGCGTTTTATGGGAACAAGCGTGTGTGATCGCATAGCTGATGTTGCTGCCTGTATTGCTGTCTCCAAGTTTCTCGTAGACTATCATAGCCGTCAAGCGAACCAACGAATAAAAAGAACAAACGTACTTTCTAATTAAGTAATCTTTCTACGTTTTGTGTAAAATAACGGATATTTTTATTCTAGATTATACGTGTGAAAAAAAACTAGATGAACTAAACATGAAAACACTCCTCATATAGTAATTCAATTCATCAAGCATAATATAAATATATTAAGACTTTGCTAAACATTCACCTAATCACTTGGAAATATTGCATTGCTCATTTAGCTTAAAAATTTTTTAAAAAACGGTGATAATTTTTCATAAATGTGTTATTTACAATTTTTAACATATATAAGATTGAAATATTAACAGGCATCGTAAATTCTGATATGTATTGAAGTAATGACAGTGAATAAACAACTAAGATTCGAGTTATTTATCGATTTCTTTTTCATCTTTCAAATCAATTTCATAAATGTTATAGACATTATTATTACATTGTGATAAACAGACTTTTGTTTCTTCTTTTGTCAATGAAAATTGATAAAAATAAATGTCTAGTGCAGGAATCAAAGATAATTAATATAAAAGACAATAAAATATAAATTAACAAAGTGCTGGGATATATCTCATTCAACATTCCACACAAGCTGATTAGCCGAATTGTCTAAATTCTCATCATTAGCAATAACAATAATTATTATCAAAAACTATTTTTATGGCAAATGTCTTGGGAGTAACAACATATGAATATGCATAAATGAGATAATGTCCAATTAAAAAAACATTAAATCAATAATAATAATTATAATATCAACGACAACAATATTAATAAAATATAAGAGAATGGAAATCATAAAATACTCGACTTTTGGAAAAGCATATTCTACCTGATAGTGTTAAATAGAGATCATATATGGTTCCTCGTCTTACGGGTGGCAAACGTTTGCTTCGCTGACTATTCAGAGCCAAGGCAATGTCAGCTTCCAAGTAACGCCACTGCTACAATATCCTGTCAGTTAAGCGATGTTTTCTTTCCCGGTTTAATGACATTATAACTTACTCTATCATTTTTAATACTCTCCTATTTATAATTCTAATGTCAAAATTTTAAATATATGGAACATTTTTGTCCGAGATTTTCTTCATTTTTATCAACTGATATTTATTTTTGTGAATACTGAATTTTATGTTATGTAAATAAGACAAATATTATTATGTAGAAACAAATATTTATAAAAAAAAAAATTCATTAAAGAAAAAAAAAACTTCTGATACATTACTTGTTAGTAAGTTTAGTATTATGTTCCTATGTTGTAATATTTTATACAGACTTATATTGATTTTTCAATGCAAACATTGATTAAGACATAAATTCTACCAAATATGGAGTACAAATATTTTTCTGAATGATTTGAACAATGTAAGTCTATATAAATTTGATACTCCCTAATTTTTTATCTCGAAATTATATAATAAAATACCTCAAATGATAGTAGTGCTTCCTCTTCATCCTCTTTATAATACTCAACATTGATTGTAATCAATCCTTCTGGATATCCTCTTACAGTAATTAAACTACTTTTCGGTCCAGTATACAATACTATAAAACTCTCATCAACAGTTGCTTCAGTTAATGGCTTCAAGCCAGTAAAATAATCATTCAACACATTTGCTATTGTAGATTTAAGATTGGATCTTTTGTCGACATCCGCGATAACATTTGAAGAAACAGTAAAATCGAGTAATATTGTGTGAGCCACCATTTCAGTAATCTGTAATAAAAAATACACCAGTTAATATCACAAGTTCAACCATCGTTAAATAGGGTTCAATATATATTTGTTATCAGGTTTTTTCATTTTTTATTAAACTTTGAATTTTTTTCGTTTGAAAACAGTTCTTATAAGTGTAAGATATTTTATTTTTAATTCATATTTAATTAAAAGAAAGATGTAATTTACAATGATTTCCATAATTTGATTTGAAATTGAATTGTTAATTGATACATTGTATAAAAATTGATTAATTGTTGTTAAATAATTTTATTAAATTTTACAGTATTGGTTAAACTAATTTAGGTTCAAACTACAATATTTTATAACTATTGATATTTCACAATAGAACCTTGGCTAAAAATGTGTAGTTAAATTTGATTAATTTAGCGTCAGGCTTACGTAATACACCATTTAGCTAATTTATTAAAGAAAAGGCAGTGCTAAAATGTATATACATGTCACAAACAATGTACGTTAATTTTTATTACAACAGCCACATAAAGAATCAAATCGAAAAAAATCAATTATTTTCTTATTTTCTAACACGATAATGCTTCCCATTTCAATTTAATAGACACTAAACTCACTTTATTCCTGAGAATTGATTACACTTTTTTTTATCAAAGAAGATTTGTAAATCGATTGAAAATTTGAAAAATTATTGACAATAAGTTAATAATAATCACGGTTATTTCTTAATCTCCAACAGTTTAAATATTAATTTTTGTAATACTTTTTTACTCTTACACCGCCGCCAGAAAAAAGGCAAAATGAGAGAAGACCCGCACCGAAGCACTCATTGGACAAATAAAACTGATAAGAAAGTCGGTGATTAAAAAATTTGGTCTATTTTCATGGTGATGATCTTCAGCGCCAATTATTAAATTAGTTGGTGTCAATTTTTGGTACTAAATATCAGAATTTTGCACAAAGGTGTCATGCGAGTTTCTGTTTTATCGATAGACTCTCGATTAATTGATCTTCTAACGTATCGACAGAGAGTCTATTCTCAAATCAATTTCTACATTATCATCTCAATCGAAAGCTCCCACAATAACAATGGTCGCTGTATTTTTTGTTCAAAAAGTCCTCTTTGTTTTCAAGTAAACCTTTACTCTGGAGAATATTTACAAACTGCCCAAATTTTTAAACAATAAAATATAAAGTTTTATTTCATACGCATATAAATCCACTATTTCATCTATACCTGTAATTATTTTCAAACACTTTCAATTAATTCGATCAAAGTAAAAATTTTATAAAATTCATTATTTTATTCAGATCACAGTTGAAATTTTAATAGTAATATTTATCGTTAGTTTTTTTTAAATAGAATGATAATTACAAATTGTTATGATAACATTTAAAAGAAGATTAAACCAGTTTGATTACTATTTGATTTTCTGGAAGGAAAAATGTTCACCTGTCTACAACCTGTGTGACGTAAAAGTCACGTGACCGAGTGTATACTATTCGAAAGGTAGTTGCGCCTGCAACGATACACAGCAGAACTTTAACCGTCAGGCAAATGAATAGCTTCGAACAGCGTCCCTGGTAGCAGTTCAACCGCACCCAGTCTGACGTTTCTCACACAAGTTTAATTCATTTAATCTTTTCTACCGTACTTTTTATACAGTATTTTCAATTCAATTATTATTTGTGATGTTACATATAAAGTTTCTTACAAGCAACAAATATTTTTCGATCAATCCTTGGGAATGTATATTGATGGGAGAGTTCTGTGTTCTTGGATATCTAGTGAATCTTTGCTAACTATATTGTAATGAAAAGTGAATGAAGCAGTGTGTTGGAAAAAGTGAAATTATATGAAATTTTTCATAAAGAATATAAAATAAAATTTACTAGTGTCATCATTGAAGATACCATGTAAATACTAAATATAGAGATAATTTTCTAAGTTTAAAATAAGGTAATAACGGGAAAAAATAGTGTTACATCTTGAATGATTCATGGAATTTTTATATTCATCTCTGATAAATTGTTTTAGGAATAAATAGTGAATGCACGTACAAAATGCACTGGTTATGTTTATTCTTGATTATCTTGGGTTCGTCAAGAGCTGAATTGTCAACAGACTCACCATCGATTTATTACACCGAACCATCAATTACTGATAATAATGATGCAAGAGAACTTAATGAATTATTCGGCGGACATATCATCAATGGACCTCAATCTCTCAAGAGATCGGAGAGTCCATATATTTTACGAGAAGACTTGATTATAGAAAAAAATGGCCAGCTAATAATTGAACCAGGTGTTGAAATACGATTTGCGCCTATGATAGGAATCACAGTTCGAGGAACCATTGTGGCAAAGGTAAATGTGCTGTTGAATTTTTTAACTAATATCCGTGAAGATGACAATAGAGCCCCTTTCTCATTCTATTTCCTCCCACTCTGGGAGTTCATATTTGATTTGTATATCCAAGAGTCAGGCTATTATCTTTTCTATTATTAAATTTCCCATAAAAATATATTTTACTATTCTTTCATTTTATTGTTGTATTTTTTTCTATAATTATTCAAAATTATCGTGAAAACTTGGCAATGAAGGTAAACATAAAATATTGGAATATTTACTGGCTTGACTTGAGAATGTTCTTTGTCCAGAGAAATAGGGAGAGTGAGAGCATAGTTCAGATTACGGTATAGTACAACAAGTATTGTATTGTTGATGAAATTTTCGGAGAAAAATAAGGATTCAATACAATACCAAATATTCATAAAATTATGTGATAAAAGAGAAGTTGTTCTTAGACGAAACATTATTTTTGTAGCACGTTTTTCAGACAATATAACTTTTCAAAGTCTCGTCAAAACTTTTATCAGGCAAGGAATGTTTATCTTATCATTTTTCATTTAACTCATCGTTGAATTTGATTAGAAATCGTTTTAAATTTTCACAGTTTAAACATATATCTGTATATCATCATAGTGTGATAAGAATAATGACATTTTAAAACTTATGTTCGTTTTGCTATCCAATGATGAATACTGATTCAGAAATACGTGCTTTCTTTACAATGATTCACATTACAATCAATTATGCATGTCATTTCACTTTTAAAAAATGAAAAACAATTATTTCATGAATAAAAAATTATGTAATATATTCATATCACAATTCCAGACTGTATTTTTATTATTATTCTTGTCACTAAAAAAATATTGGCCTTTTTTTCTCTTATTGTCAATAATAAATAGATGATAATTATGATGAATGATATGAATCACAGTTTCGTTATATATGATTCATTAACATTGCACATCACAAACTTTTACGAGTATTTATATTTTTTTCTTGATAAGTGATTAGTCAGAAATATTGAATTCAACAAGTCAATGAAATTCAATACGTATTTATTTAAATATCATATTTTCAATCATTCATGTAATAAAAATCTATACTGGGAAATTTTTGATTAAATAATTAATGACCATAATTGACATATTATATCATAAAAACATCATTATAATTATTTCTAACGAGACGACAAAAATACACCTACGAACTCTATATATAGTATACGTAATGACATGAGAGTATACTATACCGTAATAATTTTTTATTTGAATAAGTGAATCACTCGCTCTCAAAGACATATGTAGTAAACTGCATCAAAACGGTGTTCCATATAAGCCTGGAGCTTTGATCGTAAAAGCAAAATGTATGTTTGTTTTATAATAATACTCGTTATACGCTTTCATCAAATTCAATAAGAAATAATGACAATGATTAAAAAATTATTGCTCTAATTTTTATGGCATAAATATGACATGAAAACATAAAGAAATGAATTAATTCAATGCTAGCGCATCAAATTATACAACCAACTAGTGACGGAAATTCCTCGTATGTCATATAGAACCTATGAATAAAATACCTAGTTCATCCGGATGTAAATATAAATATATAAAAATATACCGATTTTTCTATGACAATATATTTGAAAATGTTTTTACTAGATTTTCCAAAAATTGGATATGTAATGAAGATTATAATAACGAAATGTTTTGATTAAATTACAGGATTGAAGGAAGTATGTAACTATCGTGTTATCTTAAAAAGACTAATTGCTAATAAGTTACGTTTATTTAACCCATTTAAATAATTTCCGTAGTAAAACTGTTATAAATGAGAAGAAATGTATCTTTACAATAGAGAACCTCAAGTTCCGGTGTTATGTGTATGTACCGACCGTAAAGATCAGTGGCCCGAAACTCGAGAATCTACCGGACGTTCTACAGTAGTCCGTAGTTTAGAAAAAACGAGACAAGTTGGAGAGAATGAGAATGAAATTTTACGAAGCCTTATTCTATCCAATGTCTACTAACAATAAATTTAATTAAAACACAATCAATAATCAAATTTTACAACCACTTAGATGTTAGTTTTATTTTCTAATTTTTTTCAAGTATGGATCATGATTTATTTTATTATCTATAAAAATTATTACAACGGTATCTTAATAATTTATTATTAAATATTTTTTATTTAACTTGTGAAACATCATAGTATTTTATGAATGAAAGAATGATTCATTTCTTCTTGAACAGTACAACACATATGCTACAAGCATGATACAAGATGTACCGGGTTAAAGGGTAATTTAGGAATCTTGACCGGGATTAACCTATGACTCAAGTAATATCTTTTATTTCAATTAATTAACGAAATTATCGTTACTTTCATTTGATATGACTGCTCTAAGTACTAAACATAATTTGCTTTGCCGGAGAAAATAACATCTATTTTTTGCAATTTTTAATTTAATGTGCCAGCTTTATTCAAATATTAGATTTATTTATAATAATTAGGTTTATTTTAAATATTTAGTTGTCACTAATACAAAACAATTTAGTGGAATAAATTAAAACCTACAAAATTATTGATGAATGTTACTTTTTTTCAGGGAGATGCAGACAATAAAATCCAATTAACAAGCATAGAAACACCTACAGTCAAATCAGAGTTTCCATCAATTCGACTGGTAGATGGTCCAACTCCTCTTGAAGGCAGAGTTCAGCTTTACCATAACGGAGTATGGCGAGCAGTCTGTACAAATTCTCGTAATTGGACGCGAGCGGATTATGAAGTTGCTTGTCGACAGCTTGGGTTCCAAGGTGGAAGATGGTCAGGCTGGTTTGACAGACAATGGCCAGCAAAATCTAGATTATTGTATGAAAAACCTCAATGCCGTGGTACTGAATCATCGATAAAAGATTGTACTCAATGGCAGCTTCGACAAATGGGAGCTGGTGTTTGTGATTATCATCCTGATCTTGCAATCGCGTGTTTACCACATTATGACGGAGCAAGTCAAATGACGAAACATTGGCGAGGAATTCGATTTGAAAATGCTATTTACGATAAACCTCTTATTCAAGAACACACGTTTTATGCCAGACGATCTAAGTCTATTCTTCGACACGTTAACATCAAGTAAGTTATTTACTACAAGATAATGTATATTTCTTATAACAATAAAAAAAACTACAGATATTATTAATGTAAAAATGCAACAGGTATGCAGGTAATGGACGAGAAAATAATATTACATCTGCTCTACATGTGGAAGGTGTTCCACCGCGAATGGAATGGATTTCAGTGCTTCATTCAGCATTCACGGGTATCAACGTTACATCTCCCGACGCTCCCATAACTATCACTAATTGTACGATACGTAATAATAGAGGTAAATAATAATTTTCATAAAAACAATTACTATAGCCAGCAACAATTCATTGTTTTTTAAATAAAACAATAATTCTAGGAATAAAATGATCTAAATGATAAATTCTAATTTATTTTACAGGCTATGGAATTTATGTAAACAGCTCAATGGGACTAACACACATTGATAATTGTGTTGTGCTAAATAATGGTGCTGACGGTATAAAATATGTTCATCACGATGAAAGGCCAGACGAAAAGCTTGATAAAGCAAGTGTATATGATTTATGTACATTTCCGACCACAACAAGTCAGACATTTCCAATTACAATATCCATGGTACAAAATAGTTACACACCGAATTTCAAAGAGTGTCCGCAACACATTTTAACACTTCCAGGTCATGTGTTAACGTTGCAATTTTTACAAATGAAAACAGATCGAAATGATAGTGCAACAATTGAAGTTTATGATGGTATAAGTACTAGTGATAAATTATTAGCACGTGTTTCTATAAGAAATGGAACATTGCCTCAAAGTGTGACATCAACTCGTCAGAACTTGTATATTAAATTTCACGCTCAACCACGCACTCAAGTGTTTGCATTTATAAAATTATTGTCAGGGTATAAGAAAATATACGATCTCAATGTAACAAATAGTGCAATTTCTGATAATAATGGTCGTGGAATAGCAGCTGAAAAACTACGATCTATGCTTCATGTTCACGAAACTTCAGTTTCAAATAACAATCATGTAGCTGGTATTCATGTTCTTGCTGGTGTTCCAGATATTAATATAACCGCAAGTCGGATATCATTTAATAATGGTGCAGGTGTAAACATCACAGTAACCGGAGGGAATCGTAATATATCACAAACAACCATATCTTCAAATCAAGGTTCTGGTGTAGCAGTTTGGCTAAATGATAGCTCTACTAGTGAATATTTATATTTTAATCAAACCACCGTAATAGAATATTCTGAAATATTCAAAAATAGAGAAGCTGGTGTGCTGATAAGTAATTCTACTGGAATATCTTACATAAATATAACGGGTAACTGTTTTAATAGCAGCACTGAGAATGCAATTCAAATAGAATCCAGTTGGAGGAGTAATCAGGGCATTCTCATGCTTCAGATCGGTCATAATGTATTTGTAGAAAATGCCAAACTTGGTATCAGACTAAGTCCAGCATTAAATATGATTGGAAAAATTGAACATAACCATTTTCGAGAACATACTTATGGAGGAATTTTGATAAAAAATCCATTGTATGAAGAATTTAACATTTTGCCGGCAGAAATAATTATTCAACACAATGAATTTTATGAAAATAAAGGTATTTTCGTTGCAAGCATTGGACTATCGCCGTATAGTGAAGTTCAGAAACTTGTTTTTATGAAAAATTTCTTGAGAGATAATATTATCAAAGAACCATTTGATGACGAGTATATGCAAACTTCTAAATTAACTCCTAGATCACGTGTAGCAGCAGTGGTTGTGGTTTCATCAGCAAATGTCGATATTTTCCGGAACATTTTCCATAATTTACAATCTCAATATGAAATTGGATCACATTTAGAAGATCAGAGTAAAATAATTAATTGTACTTACAATTGGCTAGGATACGGTGAAGAACAAAAAATTCATGAAAGATTGTTTGATCGTAAAGATCGTTATAATTTAGCTAAAATTAATTATTTACCATTTTCACTTCATCCAAGTAATCCTTCAGCAAATACAATTATTACTCATCCAACGTTCGTACCGTCTTTTAACCGTCCTGGAACTAATCTTGTTGGAGGAGAAGTAGATGGATTAGAGGTTTTATTTACTGGAGAATATGTTGTTGAAAGAGACATAAATGTAAGACCTGGTGGAAAGTTAATTCTTCAACCTGGAGTAACTCTTAAATTTCCTCCAGCTGTGGGAATGATGGTTGCCGGAAAGCTTGATGCGAGAGGAAAAGCATCAAGCAATATTGTGATGACATTAAAAGAAGAAATTATAATAGAAATGGAAAATGATACTATGAGTGATGACATGGATAATTTTGAGGAAGAAAAAGAGGACGTAACCATGACTCCGGCTACCATTGATGACTCTACGACAATTCCCGTACGATTACTTGGAGGAAGAACCAATAAAGAAGGCAGATTACAAGTCAGGATTGATAATGAGTGGGGAACTGTGTGTAATTATGGGTGGAATATTCGTGCAGCTGCACTTGTTTGTCATCAGTTAGGTTTTACACTTGATCCTAATAATTGGTATTTAGAAAGATCACAAATTCCTAGTGCAGGAACCAATGAAAATATCATATTAAGCAACATTCAGTGTACTGAAGATGATATTGACATATCTAAATGTAAAGCAGAGCATGCTGGTGATTTTGAAAATTCTTGTACCCACGACAATGACGTTGGGGTAAAATGTTCTGAAGCCGCTTGGGCTGGATTACGCTTTGGATCATTAGCAGAACGTAGTGATCTCCAATTCATTACAATCGAAAAAGCTGGGCTTTTAGATTACACTACTAATTTATTTAAACCAGCATTGCAAATTGATTTCGCTCGTCATTCTATTGAAGGAGTTAAAATAGTAAATAATCTTCAAGATGGTCTTGGAATCATTTACTCTGATATTTATTCAGCAGACGCAATCAATACTGTGAAAAACAGCCATTTCTCTAATAACAAAGGTAGTGGAATAAGTTTCAAACAGTTAGGTTTAAAAATTTCTTCTTCATTTATTGAAAATAATCAAATAGCAGGAATCCGACACAACCCTGCACTTTCGGCTGTAGAACAAAGAGAATTTGCTGGATGGTTTATGCAATCTTATGACTCTACTGTAGATACTCCTTTTAAACCAATACAAATTCCAAGTTTAAAAAATGATTTAATTCAATTGAATGTTGGAGAAATAAAATATATTGTAAGTGATAAGAAATCTGGTGAAAAAATCGATCGAGTGATTCAAATAAAATGTACTCCAGGATATGTAATTGGTATTCAACTATTAAATCCAATAGAGAATCGAAGTACTGAACAAATAATAATTCATGATTCTCAAAAAATAGATTCTCATCACAACATTTGGCATGTAAAAAGAGATTTGTCTGTATTTCCAGTATCTTCAACTTCATTTACAATTTTATTAGAGTATCACAGTGGTTTCAATGCTCTTGGAGGAGCCGTCTTAATAATCACTACTATTCCAGCACCAATTCAAGATATACGAAATCGAATTGTAAGAGGTCCTATTCCAACACTTTCAGTATCGAATACTAAAATAAAAGGCAACAAGCGTGGAATTTTCACATCCTTTTACAACCGATATTTAGACGAAATTGGCAATCATTATTTGAGGAAAGCTAATGAATCAATTCGCTTAATTAACTGTGAAATTTCTCATAATCAAGATGAAGCAATATATGTTAATGCACCTTTTTGGAACGTTTTTGAATCAAACATTACTGAAATTACCATTCATATAAATAATACGTTGATCACTGATAATGGACAAGGGATCGTACAGTTCAGCAGAGATATGAGGCACTCAAATAATTTATTCCATTGGGTTATGAAAGGTAACACAATAGAAAGAAATCAAAAAGGTGGCCTAGATATTTCTTTACCTTATGTATGGCAATATAATGAGAACTTTACGCATTCTCTACATTTTATTAACAATACCTGGCGTAATAATAACTTATTTGGCTTTGTAGTTGATGGGCATTATGCATCGTTGAATATTTCTTACAATACCTTTGATAATAATCAGTGTAAAACTGGATTAATTGCTATAAAAGGAATGGAAAAGAAAATGAAAATTAATAATAATCATATTGAAAACAACAGTGGAGACTTCATGGTTGAATTTTCAGTAGACAGCCAGTCGGAAATACTTGGTGAAATTCCTGCAGATTTCTTATTGAATGAAGTCAAAAATAATCACAATCATAGTGAAATGAGTCGAGGCATATATCAAATGACTAATAATCCATCGTATGTTGTCGGATTCCATGGCATCCAAAAAGTCAACATCAATCGAAATTTATTTGGAAACAATTTCTTGGATTATGAATTAATCGCAGGAATTAGAACTGCTAAAATCAATAACAGAATAAACGTGCAGAAGAATTGGTGGGGAACTGTAGATGATGTAGAGATTAAAAAGAGAATTTTTGATTTTGATGACTGGAATAATCATGCCGTAGCTAATTTCCGACCTTATCTTATGACAGATAGATTTGACGCATCATTTTCCATGTCTGAAGAAATGGGATCAACTGTAGATATTGATAATCTTAATGGCAGAATTACTGAGAATTTAGAAATATATCCAAGATCAACACCTTACGTTATAAAATCTGACTTGACTATTATGCCAGATGCCACTGTTAATATTTATCCTGATGTAGTAATGGAGTTTGCACCAAATGTGGGCATTTTAGTTCTCGGAACTCTTAAAGCAATGGGTGTAGTAGGGCATGAAATAGTTATGAGGCCAATGAAACGTGAAACCGCACCAGAATTAAAAGTATTAAACTCCAATTACAAGAGAGCTACAATTATTGAGAAAAATTACCAACAATATGATACTATCCGGCTTTGCAAGGAAGGATCATGTGATAGTAAAAATAGTAATGAAGGATTTCTTGAATTTTTCAATCGAACAACTTTACAATGGATTCCGTTGTGTGATTTACGATTCACTGAACGGAATGCTCAAGTAGCATGTCGCCAATTAGGATATGATCCTTTAAATGTGTATGTCTCACACGATCGACGGTACGAACTTCATCCTGGCTCCTTGACTAGAATTTGGTCTTGGCCTGAGCCACTTCAATGTACAGGAAATGAAGAGAGTCTTGAGGAATGTCAAATTCGATTGAATGGTCAATTATTTGGTCACAAATACGACTGTCCATGGGATGGAAACTTTGTATTCTTACATTGTGGAGAAAGGAATCTTGATTATTCTCATGATTATTGGGGCGGAATACGCATAGCTAATTCTGAATTTGAGCATTATCTATATGAACATCGTATTCATGATATAATCACACATGAAACTGTGAGAAGAGTAGAATCAGTGTTGAAATACGTAAACATCACAGGAGCTGGTATATTGCATAATGAAAAGTCCCCAGCTATTCAGGCAGTAATGAAAAGTCCATTAATTACGCATGTTTCCATTAATCAAAGTGCTTATCATGGTATAAATTTCATATCTCCGAGCTACACAGTAGAATTACTTTTCAATATAGTTGATGATGCTCTTGGTAATGGTATTAATCTACTTTCACTTACTGGCGAAGGACGAGAAGCTGAAGAAAGCTCATTTGTTCCTTTGAGAAACCTTAATATCCCTTACAATTTATTCAGTATGATTGATGTTTGTGATACAACAAAAGTACTAGCAGTCGAAGAACGTATTCTTATTTATTATAAATACGATAATAATCCTGTTAACTGTGTAAAAATCTTTAAAAATTTAGGAAAACCATTTGGATTTAGATTATTACAGTTTAATCTCTTTAATTCAACTGGAAAACCCGGAAGAGCTGATTCTATTACGATTTATGATGGAGATATTTATAATGCTACTGCTAAAGAAATTGGTCATCTTGAATTCAACAGCCAAGCTGGGAAAAAATTATTTACAACTCAAAGGCCAAGTATTAGCATTCGATTGTTTGCTAATGGTGCTAGCAATGTTCATGGATTTATTGCTGAGGTCGTGACTTTACCCATTTCGGCTATCGGTTTCAATCGTGATGTTCAACATAATATTTCTTATTCCGTTATTTCAAACTGCCAAGAAGGTGCTGTAAAATATATGAGTGCTGGTGAAGTAAATGCAGTTATAACATTAGAACGAAATCAATTTTTTGATAATTGTAAAAAGTACTACGGAAACTTTACTACATGTGAAGCAGCAGTGAAATTAGATGTACAAAATACTCAGTCATTATACTTTAGAAATAACCTAGTACAACGTAATCAAGGAGGAGTATTGATCCGATCTGACTCTAGAGGTTCGGCGACTTCTCTAAAAGGATGGATACACAATAATCTTTTTGCTGAAAATTATAATAAACCAGCATTATACGTAGAAGGACGACAAAGCAGTCCTTACCAAGAAGTTACAATATTCCGAAATTATTTTATGAAAAATTCAGCTCCATATGACAGCAATATCGTATTGAAACAAGTTGTTAGTAACATGACACTTAATTATCTACATGCTAATTTAGGGCTTCATTTGTTAGTAATATCAGGATTCGAAAGAGTTCGACTACCAATTTATCAAAGTACTTCGCATAATGGCTTCTACAAGTAAGTTGAAATATATATTAATTACTTTATAAAAATAGTCTATCCAAAACAACTTATAACTAAATTTTGAATTTTTTGTTATTCAGCAATTATGCGATAGATCGAAATGGGCGCAGTACTGTAGTCGCTGGAACTCCAGGCCAACAATACGTAGATAACGTTTTCTTCAATCCTGATAATGATTATGAAATTCTCACTGTTAATCGATCGTTGTAAGTAAAAATCTAAATTTATTCTATTTAAATATGCCAATACAATATGATAGAATTTATCTTAGAATGATCTCTTGCTTGTATTTATTGATAATTATGTAAAGTATCTAAGTAATATTTATTTTCTTTCTAATTTCATATATTCAAAATCGCATGTGCATGTCTATATAATCAGAGTTATCAACGCTGAATGGTTTGATAAGTAAGTAATTCTTTATTTAGTAGATTGAATTTTACAGTTGTGTAGATATTGGTGGTATTTTTTTTTTAGATTTTCTTTTCTTTTTTTTTTAATTCTATCCTATTATTATTAATAAATGAAAAACAGTATATTTAATACAATAATAAAAATTACAGCCAATTTGAAAAATGGAGGTCTCATGTCGATGCAAGATATAATTGGTGGGGTTACAATGAAACACTAGCTGTAGCAGGACGGATAAGAGATCGTGAGGACTCTCTTGAATTACTACAAGTCGATTACAAACCATTCCACATGAATAATGCATCAGTTCTGAATGGCAAATGTCCTCCATCATGGGATCTTGTTGGAGATACTTGTTATATTTATATTGGAGCTCCAATGGATTTTTACAGTGCCAGGGAATTTTGCCGCTCAGCAAACGCATCAATGCCTTTTATAATGGGTAGCTATCTAGAGCTATACAGATTTTTACGAAAACAACAGGAACGATTTGACTATTCTGAACGAGTATGGGTGCAACAACTGGAACGTGTCGATCAATGTACTACATTCACATATCAGACTATTGAGATTGACCATTGTAGTCAGCCAAGCTCATTCATATGTGAAATTGATCCTCGAATACACATAGATCCTCTTTCATGGCGAAAAGATATTGTAGCTGTTGGAGTTCTCGGAGCTATTGGAGCAGCTTTAGCTTTATTGGCAGCTGCAATTGGATTTTGGATTTCTAAATCGAAGAAACGTAAAATAGAAAGACTTGAGAGACGTAACTCTATCAGACAATCATTACATTCATTACGATCTGTAGGATCAACATCAGGATTTACGGAATTAGCTTATAGACGAAAACCAGTTGCTACAAAATCAACAGATACTCTCACGTCACGATCTCTGGATTATAAAAAGATGATGAGTGGTGGTAGTATTGATTCAATGGATAAATCGCAGTTAAATTCTTCTATTGAAGATAATCAGAGTTATGATGTTTATGAGGCGCACAATCCTAAATATTCACCAAGTACAAGTGATTTGAAGGGAGCGATTCAAAAATATCCCATGCATTCCGACAATCCTGTGTTTGATATGACCTATAAAAATGATGGCTTTAGAAGTCATTCAACTTTTACTTCAAGAACAAATAGTAATTGGCCATCGATGGCTAATAGTGAAATAGCACGTGATGATTCTGCAACTGACCAAGCTAATGAATCTGGATATTTGAACAATGCTTCAACATTACCATTAAATTCGAGTTTGGCGATGACTGATTCTATCACTGAACTCAAAAGGGATATTGAAGCAACTCCAGTTTACAGTTCTCCATTAGAGTTTGAAAATTATAGTGAGCCTACAGAATATGTAACTAATGAAACTCCAATAATGACTCCAGGGTCTGAACCTGTTCCAGCATATTTCTCATCTGCTACACCCTCTCAGTCATACTATTGTGAAGAACGACCAAAAAGTACTACTTTATTAGAAACAAATTTAGATACTGGAGAAGAAAAACCTTTACGTTCTAAAAGCGAAGCTATATTAGAAACCAACTTTGATGTTTTTCTTCCATCAAATGAACCAACTGAACTTACACAACTATCTGCAGAATCTAGAAGTAAAAGTCAGCCATTAGAAACGGCGATGTGAAATAAGTACAAAGCTAGATAAATTAATCATATCATCATTATTTATACATATCAATGCACTTCATTTAAAATTGTCTTCTCTGTATTTTTTATCACTATATACTCCCCATCATTGACATTATTATCATTTAATTTTGAAACATATTGTTTCAATGTAGCTGACGTGATAATTAAGTTTATAAAACTTAAATTCGTCACCATACACTCTTGAAAAAATTCGCATTTTTTCAAATATATCAATGTATATAAACCGTACATTTTTTTTTAGGTAGTTGGATATATGTATGTGATCTCTATAAAATTTTGTAAAAGTTTTACAGATTGTTTACAGTTTCAGCTCAATATTAATTAACGTACTTGTACTTTATCTGAAATTATAAACTTTTTGTAAATAGTTCGATAAGAACCATAGATATTATATACATGTGAGTAACTACTGAAATTCGAGATTAAGTTTTTTATAAATTTATAATAAGAATAAATACACTGCCGAACGAGATAAATGGTATTTCAAACGAAATTATTATATTATAATAATCCATAAAAACTAACGATACGTTGTGATATAAAATTTGATAGCTAAACGATTATCTGATTAGTATGTGTAGTAAAAAATTAGCAAAAAATATTTCGCACAATCTATTCGGTAATGATGAATATTCATTTTATATATTACAAAAAAATGTAAAGAATAGTAATTAGTAATAGTTATAGTTACAGAAATTCAATAGAATACTTTGGTATACACTAATTTTAAAGATTAATACGTATATGAGAAATATAATGGATTCGTGTAGTATCTAGTGATCTTTGTTTTTTCAGAATTTATATTTTCATAAATATATTAAACTTTAAAATTGGCGATGATGACATTTTTGGATTCATAAGTCCACTTGGTCTTAAGAGAAATATCATTTCTGTCTTTTTATAAATTATTATATCGTATATATTATATTTGTAACGTTAAATGGTATATATTTTTAATAGACTGGCATTCTATTATCCGTCCTTTATTATATAATCCATAAACAGATAAATATTATAGACAACGAAAATGTCTATTGTAATTAATATTAAAAATATTTATAAGTTCAAAAAATATCATTTTTAATGAACGAAAATTTGTTCTTTTATATTATGTTTTGATAATATTTGTTTATTTTAAGAATTAGATTAAACATTGATAGTTTATAGAATTGTTTTGATTCATTTTATCTAATGGTTAGCAGTAATGATAGTTAGAAATGATTATGGTTGATTATTGATCACAACCGAATTTTTATAAAAGTATTTACATGGTTTTGTAACGTTACATTTTCACGTAAATAAAATTACTCAAGATATAAATATCCAACCATTAAGTTCCAAATAAAATCTTTTTTGTACTTATGAAGTAAAAAAAAATAATATTGACCTAAAATGTGCAATAAATTTTTTTTTTCAATTATTAATTATTCATGGAATTAAACAATCTTCAAGCTTTTGCGTAGATCTCATGCATCTTTAAAATAAAATAGATATAACCATAGTTTTAGCTCTCCTAAATAAAATGGTAATATCAAATGTCGAATTATAATAATTTTATTACTCATGTGAATTTTAAGATTTTTAGTTGAGCTGCAGATGATATGTTTTCATGACTCATGTAGTTTTTAAGACACAATAATTTGAATCATGTTCATTAATTAAGTATTCAGAACCGATGTTTATTTCATATGAATAAAATAATGACAATAAAAATACACTTTTTTTTATTAATGTAATGTCCACAACCACTTCAGCTCTGCTGATTTCAATAAAATTTTCAGTCTGGGTTCTTTTGAAAAATGTTAAAACATTTAATACTAACATGATAAATTATTTTTCATATAATATTTATTTTTCTATCTATTTTACATACAATTATATAAATCAATTTTTTTATACTTTTAAGTAGCATAACATTCTCTTTACGATATGTTACAAATATAAATATATTACTTTGATTTGAATATTTAATCAGATATACTTTCGATTTATTGAATATAATAATGAATTGTATCAATAATAAATAGAGCTATTTATACTACTCTTACTCTTAATAACAATTATAATAATATGATAATACATAATTAGTACAAATAATTAATAAGTAAATCATTAAATGAAATTTCGTTTTTATTCATAATAATTATATTAATGATATTCTCTCAATTCGCTAATATCAAAGAATAAATAATTTTTAAATGATATAATCATGAACTACTAGAGATAAATATTTTTCTCATAAATATTGCACTCGGTACATAAAAATATCTTTTATTGCACCTGTTGTTTTATATATAATATACATAATAATCGATCGTAAATTAAAGTGTAATATTTTTTCTGTTTATTGCAATAATTATTGAGATATGTATGTTGAACGATTTAAATCGTGAAATTAATTAACATTTATAATTAAAATAAAAATTGCTAATATTTTAATTTTTAATCAAGTTTCAGTAAATTAATTAGACAAAGAAATTCTATTGTATTCTTAACAGAAGAATATTTAAAAAATTTTAAAAGTACGAGTTTCTTTTTTTAACTTTTATAATTGATTTACTGAAAATGTTTATAAAAATTATTTATGTATATATTAATATTCTAAATTAAAATATTCAATATTAACACATCTTTTCCTTTGGCAAGCGCCATAATTCTATAAATATTCGACGTGTATATTAAATTAATGTTTAACATCAATTAAATGAATTTTCTATGAAAATCAAATTGTTTTACAATTAAATCTTTTCATAAACAAATAAAATAATGTGTGGAAGACTTTTGTAATATTTGTTGTTTTCTTAGTTATAGTCTAATTTCAATTAATGGTAAATACCATAGAAAATTAAATGTTACTGAAAAATAGTGAAGCCACTTATGAGTACAGAAATAAGAATAATAATTAGAAGTCATTCCTAAGCACATTTGCACAAATATATTTTATCTATGTATAAAATATATAAATTCTTTGAAATAGATCATTAATTATTTCAATTAGATTAGCATATTTTTATGTTCAAATATAAATTTGAAGTTTATATTTTATTTACTTTTCTTTTTACGGTTAACAAATAATAAAACATAATTATATTAGACCAGATCTTTATTCATTCGAATAATTAAAAATTATCAGCGATTGATATTTGTAATATATTTAAATTAAATAGTGAAATCGAGTCATTTAACTTTTGATGTAATATGTAAGGATGAAAACAAATAGAAATAAGTTTTGTAAATCTGTTTGGCTTTATTTTTAGACTAGAAATAACGTGCTGAAAAAAACACGTTGGAATCTATAAAGAATATCAATTATTAGCAATCGTTTTTTATTGTTTTACAGTTGACAAAAAGTTCAACTGAAAGTTTCTCTATTTTGCATACGTTTCACTTTCATATTGGAAGAATTTCTATGTGGTTCAATATTTAACTTGAAAAAATAAGTTATAAGAAATAAACCAGCTCTTTAGAGAGATTTTCAAATCGGAAATATAGAATGTTTAAAAATTAAAAAAAATGATTTCGAGACTTCTTTGGAACTTTTTGTAGCTAATATTTGTGAAAAATTTCTATTTCATATAATCATTCCCAAATGATATAGAAGTTGCATTTGTTGAACATAGATTTTTTAATTATTAGCAGCTTGTAATGGAAGTAATTGTTGACGTTGATCAACGTCACAATTTGGTGAGTCTATGGGTCTCTCGATTATGCCAAAAGTTGTGGTAGCATGTAGTCCAACATCAGCTACAATTAAATACAAAATAATTATTACTGATTTTATAATTATGAATAAATAGTAACTGATAATTTATGTATTCATTTCCGAGCATTTTTTAACTTTTAAAACAAACATAAATTCACCCTAAAATAAGATCAACTTCCTCTCAAAGAAATATTAAAGAAGCTTCTGAGAATTGAATTCATTTATGTCGGAAATGAAGTTCATTAGATAAAATAATTGGATAATTTACCAAGACAACTAGCAGGTGCATGAAGACGATGATGCCAAGGATCTATCGGAGGTGAGAGAGACGCATAAGGAAAGCAGACGACAGTTGGAAAAGGTGGAGGAGCTAATACTGGCACTCCTTGAGGCAATATTGCTGCTTGAGGTGGAAATAACGCACTGGGTGGAAAACCTGGCGGTGGTGGCGGTGGCAGCATTAATTCATCTATTAGTAAAAAAAATGTAAAAAAATTATTAAATGCTAGTAAGAATGATTCAAACAATGTACATTTTTTAAGCAAGTAGATTAGTTTTTACAATTTATTATTCCATACTGGCTATAAAATAAATTCATTCTTTTATCTTTCTTTAAAATGCATTAAATGGATAATCGACGTTTACTTTTTGACTCGTTTCAATAAAATTGATGATAACAATCTAAAATCATAATATCATTATATTCAGAAATTCAATAACATACAGATATTTATTTAATTAAGATAAAGAGATCATTTTAAATACCCATTCTTATTAGTTTTTAAAATTGCTAATGAAAATGCAAAAATGAAATAATGTGATAGATAAAAAAATGTAAGTTAACATTGCATACATGAAAACACCAATAACCATTGATCCCAATGATTTTCTATTTACAATATGAAAAATAACTACTTGCTAAGCCACCATGGCTGAATTTCATACAGAAATTTTCCATAATCAGTTAAAAATAAATTTGACTGATTATGTTTTTTTATATACACTGTTTTTAGGACAATCAAGGTAATTAATTTTTTATTTAAGTATATTTTCATATTATCAGAGTTGCCAAGAAAAAAATGTTATCAATAATGCATTGCTTTCAACTACTTAGCATCAGTATTTTTTAATTATGATTATTTTATTGAGATAAAGTGATTGATAATAAAATAGAAAACCGTTATTAATCACATAAAATATTATTTGAGTAATAATGAATTTATGACTTCATAAAATACTACTGAATGTTTTGGATTATAAGTAGTTAGTAATAAATGACTGTAGGTAAATTTGAAAAAATCATAGTTATTTTTGGCCATTATATAATGAAAAATAAACAATTAATTGAAATTAATAAATGAAAGTTAAGTAATGCATTATTTGCAACTCTGTATGAAATTATGATTGGACTTGGCCTACCTGGAAGCACAGAAGTTAGTATCGTACGTAGATCCCCGCTACCAAACCGCGATTGACACTTCACCACATTTGTGATAATTACGTATGTAGACAGGCTGTACCACTTGCCCGTCTTGCCCCTCTGCCAAATCACCATAAAATAAAAAAAGAGGCGAAAAATTTTGCAATCGATCACATACAACCCAATTATACTTTCCACTCCAATCTTTAACAGTTGCTTTAGTTGGACTTGATTTGATTTTTAAACTTTTTTATTTTTTATTGAAATCTTCAGTGTTCCATCACCTTTTTCTACAACCACATCAAGCTTTGTATTTTTACTGTAACTTTCACAAAAAATGAAACACCATTTAGAATGTGCAATGTATATTTAAACAATCCTCCATAAAATGATAGAGAATATAGATTTTTTTTTTCTCTTTCATGAAATTATTTTATCAATCAGCCCCATTTTTTATGCTTATTGCCCCACTATCGTGCGACTCTTTTCAGCTGAAATGTATGAAAAATTAATTTGCACAGCAAATGCTATATAAATAGAAAAAGATAGAAACGTAAAAAATTGTTATTAACAGATTATTTAACTAGATTAGAACTAAATTAAAAAAAAAATTGATAAAGAAATGTTAAGAAAAAATGAAAACTTTTACATCAATGAAAAAAATCCATGAATGATGAACGATTTTATATTTAAAAAAAAAAAAATACAATCATCAAGGAAAAATAAAAATAAATCATCCATGAAAATGAATGAATGAAAACATATGAGAAACTTAAAACAAAATACCATAATGTTATATCACAATCTTCGGAACTTAATAAATAAGGCACCTGTAATCCCAAGTAAAGTATTGGTTTTAAGAAATGTGATAGGAGTAGACATACTTTCATATATATCTATTATTTTTCTAAATTTTCCGGAATGCATGTGTAAAATAAATGTGCATATGATTAAAAGCTTTTCGAAGAAAAATGAGATTATTTTTAATATTAAATATAACGAAAGAGTTATTGTTTCCGGAAAGTATGAGAAAAAAAATAGATAAATCATCCAATTATGAATGAATGCATTATTTTCTTCAAACCACAAAGCTACAGAGAAATGACTTGGAACATAATGTAAAATGGAATCTATATCTTCTAAGTGTGCATTTACTCATTAATTTGAATGATTAAGTATATCTATGAGGTAATAATAAGGATGAAAGTCCACCAAACCCAACAAGCTCAAAAGATTTCCACTAGACACGATTATTTTTATTAAACATGATTATTAAATATTAATATAATAATTATCAATTTACAGAAAGTATACAGTTGTAAAAAATTTTTCATCATATTTATTCAAGTAGTAGAATAATATTTTTGATGCTAAGATAATAGCAGCCTGTATCCCGTGTAAATCATTATAATGAAAACTATATAGAAAAAAAAAAACTAATAAAGAGAAATTATTCATATAACAAATTTCATTTTGTTTTTTCCGCTGTAACTTATACGTTGTAATTATTAGCTTTCACTAGAATAAAGAATGTAAGCCATAGAAAAGCATAAAAAAAATATTTTCAACAATTAATTTTGTAGAATGAAAAATAATTATTATTTTCGTTTTTCATCTATGTATATTAATAAATTCTAAATATGATATAAAACTATCTTGCTCTAAAGATAATTTTTAAATTACAATTTTAATCAGTATAAGAATAGTTGATTTTTTTAGACAACACATTAACCATTTTACCCAATTAAAACACATGTACTGCCATATTTAAATGAGATTGAAAATAGGCGGTGATAGTATAGCACAGCCAAGATTATTTTGGGATTCCTGGAAATATATTTGTAATTTTCTGGCAAAAACCAACAGTATAGTGGCATTATAAAAAAATTTGAAAAGTTTACAGAGATAAGTTGCCTTAATAACCATAATTTACAATTGAAACTTTTATAGCAATAATTACTATCACTAATCAATGATTATTTATCTTAAAAAATCTATCTAAAAATAGCAACTATTTAAAACTGTAAATTTTCATATTTTTTCAATCCTTTCAATAGTTATTATTTAATTTTTATGCATATTTTCAATATTATATTGTTATTTTATTATTAGTTGGTGCATGATCAAGTAAAAAAATATTCTCGCACGTTCCACTGTCATAATTTTTAATATCCGGATATACCTAGATAAATTTCACCATTTTTCTATTATAGTCACCAAAAAACCACTTTTCTATAATCATTTTGATATTGGAAGACATTTGACTATTGATAAAAATTATTATTAATCAAAATACCTAATGAGCATTAGTGAACTAATTAATTAACTAATCCAATATTAATTAATTCTTTAAGTAATAAAATAGCATCAAGTTAACGCGAGAATAAATAAAGATCATTTTTGTAAGTTAAGTAAAATAATAAATAGTGGACATTCAGTGATTATTCCGATCATCGATTTCACATATCAGTTTATAACAATTGGGCTTCATGACTGTACGATTGTACAGATGTGAATGTTTGACGATTTAATAACAATCATAATAATTCCATTGAAATAATATTTGGCAAGAGCCGAATAAAAATTACATGGGACGGTTTATGTGTCAATTCAGTCAACATTAACGACTTGATAAACAAAAAATTATATGAAAATTATTTATTAATAAATATAAAAACTCTTATTGAGTCTTATTAGATAGATATTCATCTTTCTGTATGAATATAACGAGTCGAAAAATAGTTCATGATTTATTTTTATATTAATTCTGGCAATAATTGAAACACAAAATTGATTGAATAGGATAATATCGAATATTTCAAAGAATAGAAAAATGTGAAAAAACTATACCAATAAGTACAAACTTATTTGTTTAAATTGTTTCCAAAAATATAAGTACCTTTTCTTCAAATTAATTATTAGATAAAATTTTAAGCTTTACCCAAAAAAATAACAAAATACTAGAACATAGATTCGAAAATTCGTTCAAGTATTTTTAAGAATGTCATAAAACATCATCACATTGAAAGAAACTATTCGGTGTCTTTTTTTAAGGAATGAAACAATGAATAAATTTATTCAAAACCCCAAAAAATAGTCAAGAATTAACAAATATTTTCTGTATGAAAATGATTTTTTCATAAAATAGGTGAATAGTATAATAAATTCAATAAAGAATTTATTATTAATTTGATGGATAGTAAGTAACAATAATATTTGATCTAGAATTAATAAATGCAAAATAAAATGAAGAATTAAACTTAAATTTGAGGATAAAATTGAGCGGGATAGGCAAGTCCAGATGCACCAGCTGGTGTTGCCGCATGAAAAGCAGCGGGTGCTTGCCAAGCTGGGCGTTTCGATACACTGCTAGTAATATCAGCAGGAAATGCATTTTCCCATGACCGTTTAATGCCTATTAAGGCTGCGGGATTGAGCGGTGGAGTTTGTACGAGTGGTGGCAAGAGTCCAGGAGCGGAATGTCTGATAATTGGAATTCTCGATGGAACGTTAAAAAATAAAAACGGAGCTTGAGCTGGCTGTGAATGAAGTGCTGCTGCATGAGCTGCAGCAGCGGCAGCGGCACTGGCTGCATGAGGAGAAATAGAATATGAGGATAACTGATGCTGGGCTGAGGAAGGTAGGGCTAAAGCTTTACTCGTTACAGTGGCATTTGGTGATCCGGTTGTATTTGATGATGATGGTGGATTTGAGGCAAGAGCCATCAACCAAAAATCTTGATTTCTCATTGCCTGAGCCTGCACCTGAGCCTGTGCCTGAGCTTGAGCTTGAGCTTGTGCCTGAACGAATGCATGGATATCCCACAATGGGGGTTGAGTAGTGGTTTGTACTGGCACAGATGCTGGCGCGGCAGCAGGAGGAGCTAAGGCCGGGTGTGTATGTGAGCTCAACGTACCGGATGATAGCAGCGATTTGGCGACTGGTGGTGCCGCACCTGTCAATACTAGATTCATGTCGTCACCGCTACATTGAAACACTTCTATGTATCGCTGCTTCTTTCCAAATATCATGTAACGATGATGACGTTGTGATGCACATGCGAATGCTGAATTTTCGCTGTCCATCTGGATAAAGGCTTCTCCTGATGGTTGACCCTACATTTTAAATTTTCATCAGTAAATTCATCACATAAATTATTTTAAAATTTCTAAGAATTGTATTAATTTTATATTTTCATTGCTAATGTATTAATTACATTACCTGTGAATTGTAGACCATGTGAACGCCACGATAAACAATATGTTTAGCGTGTTCTCCCATAAATTCTAAAATATGTTCAACAAGTGCCTCGTACGGAAGTCCCCGTAATCGAACGCAGTCTTTTCTAGTTCCTGACGTGATTATATACTGCGGAAGCAACGGAGGTGGTAGTGGAAGCATTGGAGGTAGATCTACCGGTGGTTTCGAATCAATTGCTCTATTGAGTACCTAGTATAATCAATCAAAAATGTCTGAGTAAGCCTATGTAAATAAAATTATACAAGCTGATGATCAATTGATTTAAAAAAAAAAAAAAACTCAGAGCAGTCAATTTCCTTTCGATGGAATAGAAAATCGAATGTACAGTATTGTTATCAACATATAATGATAACAATTACTATTTTAATATTTTAAGTGTACATACCTGTTGTACTTCTGCTGTTGTACTGCGGAATAATTCTATATACCTAACACCAATACAATCACGATGTTTACTAAGAGCTTTTTCAGCATCTTCTTCTTTAGAAAATAAAACAAAAGCATCTCCTGTTGCCCGTCCATCTGGTTTTTTTACAAACAAAACTCCTTCTTCACCATCTAGCACCTGACATGGATTTTGCCCGCTAGCAAAGAAATCAATCTACAAATCAAAATTATATATCATTCAAATGTAACATTAAATTTCACTTTAGAAAATTATTAATAATATATATTAGTTCTAGAAAAAATTATTATAATGATTTAAATTAACTATTTACAAGAAAGTAAAAACTACTGTAAGATGTATATTTAAATATATTCTACTTATTACAAGGAACAAGCACATGTTAATTAATAAATCGATGAATTTGTGAACGTTAAATTAATAAATAATTATTTAATGATAGATGGACATCAGAATAATTAACACTCACAACTTGTTTTGCAACACAATCATATGGTAAGCCTCGCATCCTCACGATTACTTGAGCACCACGTGAAAGGAATGCATGAGCTTCTCCACTTGCACCACCTGCAACCCTTACGAATTCTTCACCAGATGATTTGTACACTTCTATATACCGTTTACCGATATGGTGTTTGTGCCTTTTTAACGCCATGTCTCTATGTTCTTTATTCACAAAACGAACTAATGCTTCCCCGTTTCGTCTGCCTTGAGGGCTCAAACACAAAGCAACTCCACCCCTGTTGGTGAATACAAAAAAATGCTAATACTTATTCATTGTTTGGTAAATACAACATACAAAATATTTATTAGATCTACTTTATCCTAATTAAAAGTTAAAACAAATCCAATAAAAAAAAATCATGCACATAACTAGTCTTTAATTCTTTAATTATTTAAAATTTTTAAGCATATTTATTATGTTTGACATATTGCAAATGATTAGCTAAGTATTCGAGTTTATATAATATTCGATCGTATATATACATTACCGATAACGAGTGAATTTATAATTTAATAGTAAATGGGTCATCTTTGTTAATTTAATAATACATAATATTTGAATTAAATATCAACAAAATCAGAGCTATAGAGATTATTAGAAACTATTTAAAAATGGAGATTTATAAATAAACCAATTGGAAATAATTATGAACGTATAAAAATAAATGAGACTGATGATCTTTGACCTTATATAGATAAGTGTAATCAAAAAGTCGATATAACTATCGATGGGAAATTTTGTGTGTTCTGAACTGCGATGTTCATTGCCATATTTTAAAACTTGTAAATACTTGTCTTAATGACAAAATATTAACTTTCATTATTTTTTAATTAATACTGCAATTATTAACCTTTCATTTTATTCTATTGAATGTTAATTTTTTGTGTAAATATAGTAATTATACACTTATTCATTAATCATTTCTCTTTTAAATGAGGTATGGTGTGAAAATGAAGATAATGTGTTCAAACAGTATTTATAATGTGTCCAGTTAATTAAAAAAAAAAAATGAATAGTTATAAAATTGAGCAAGAAGCTGCAAATACTTTATTACCTTTCATGAAAATCCTAAAAATATTGCAGCTAACATAAGATATTGTTACATGAAATATTATTATTTATTAGAAATAGAATTCAAAAGGAATATAATAATAGAATTTTGTTATACTGACTTGGCAACATTTAGTCCTCGGAAAAATTTAGCAATATCCTGATCAGATGACTGCCAGGGTAATCCACGTGCTCTAACTACGCAATTATTATCTACCTCTTCATCTTTAGAACTGAAACACACAACATAAAAAGATTTCACAAATAAATATGTTGTCAGCTTATTAAAAATATTTAAAAATCTATGTTTAAAATTTAATTACCATATTCCTGGTTCCAAAACAAGATTTATAACTTCTGGGCTTTGAAATATATGTCCTGAAACAAAAAAGAAAAAAATCTTAATAACGTAATTCAGTGATCGTTGATATATTACATATGCTTATGTTCTACTTTCTTATTGTAACTATAAACTCTTCCTGTCTCTCATTTTTCATAAAAAGTTTTTGTTATCTATTTTTTACCTCTATATGAGTAATTCTTCACATACCAACTTATTAAATGAAAGCTAAGCAGAATGTTTAAGTACCAATTTGTTGACTCAACTATATTAATGCTTAAATATACTACCAAGACAAATTTTCTTTTTATAAATTGAATTTAATTTCGTAGTATACCATATTCATGTGAATTTCTGATGATTAAAGCTATAATTATTTTTACTTAATATAATCTTCACACATAGTAAATTCAAAGAAACTTTAATCAAATGAAGAAATAATAAATACTTATTACATTAAAAGAATGAAAAATTTTAAAATGAATATGGCACATAATATTAATAGTAATTTTGCATGTGAAGTGAACTGCCATGATATATTAACCAGTTTATCAATAGTTATTTTTTGCATGCAGTTATACCAGACGACATAAGATCTATAAATTACTTTGAGAGTGATTATCGTACGTTAAAAATAACATAATTATAGTTTAAATTTGAACAATTTTAAATTACCATAAATGAAAATATATCACAATAATTATTTTAAAGAGCTTTCATTTAAAGAAATACCTATTTTCCATTAGACAAATTATCTTACCATCTTTGATCATTCTTTGAATAACATTAATCATATCTTGAACTTCTTTGACGTGAAAATCATTATCAGTGTCTGATGACATACCAAAATCTATTTATAGTGAGTTAAGGAATAATAATGCGAAAATATAAATAAAACAAAATAATAACATGATAATTAAAAAAAAACAAATGATTAGGCTGTTGACTCTAAACAAAAGAAAATCTATTGAAACTGAATATTACTTTAATAGTATTGTTATGGCAGTAATAAAAATAATGATAATAATCATAGCAGGAATAGTACTCGTGACCTTAAATCCAAGTGTACTGTGATAAGCTCTGCACTAACCAGACGCCTTTTTTTATAACAGATATCGCTGATAACTTAGCTGTTTCATTGATTCCATTGCTTATTTAAATAAACTCTAACTGAATCAATTTTTTTCAAAAATTTATCGAATTTGTATCAACTAATTAAACGACTTATTTTAAAAATAATATAATTGTTGATATTTATAATTATTTTCAGCAATAATTTTGCAATTATTTTATTTCCAACTAACAATTGACTGGATGTTAAAAAAATATTGATTTATTTTAAAATTTATCATTGGAAATATGTTTTAATTATAAAAAAAATTTTAATATGAAAGTAATTTATAAGCCTAGATTAAAAGTGATATACAATATAATTAAATTCATATCACCTGCTACAAGTGCTTTTGATTTTAATAATACGCGGTATATAAAATTGAGTGTGTAGACTCACATCAGATATATGTGCTTTTATCCACATATACAGCTATCGATTGAACATAAAGTACTCAGATTATCACAAAACAGTATTGAATAAAATTTTTCAATAAAACTTTTCTAAGACTTTGTTTCTAATTTTTGTTTTTTTTTTATTTCCTAACATATTTATATGTCCATGACGAAAAAGGCAGTAAACATAAAATAGATACCAAAAAAAAACACACACACACACACACATGTTTATTTATAACTTTTTTATGTTTTTATCAGTCTGTTCCATGTTTTGATAAATAAATGAATTTTGAAATACAAATTCTAATGGAAACAAGCAATTATAAACATGTGTTCTATCTATATTTTTTAGTCATCAAAGGAAAAGAGCACCTGTTGATTCACACATATACATTCTAAACAGATTTTGAACAATCTTATGAATCAAATATTAATACGAATGGAAAATCAATTAATATATCAGTCATTTTTATATACCTTTATTTTTAAATGTTGTCAGTGGCACTAAAAACTATCGTATTTTCTTTAAAAAAGTTTTTATTCACATATAGCACTATTTATATTGAATTAGATTTGTACTTTTTTTTGGAATGAAATAGTTTTAAAGGGTCTTGAAAGATAGTATTAAAAGATAATATTAACAAAATTAAAAACGTGATGGACGTTGACTATGCAAGGTTACAAGACGGTTTATGACTACTGTGCTGATGGAGTTTGTTAAGCTTGATACCCGAGATTTTACCGACCATTGCTGAATACTCACGTTCGGCGTATTCATGTGTCGCATGTTTGTCAACGAATACACATATGCGTCTCACAATATTTATTAATGTGTGGGAGCATGTAAATGTATGTGTGTGAACGGAAACATATAACCCACGCCTGCGCAGAATAAAAGAGTCGACTATAATTTCAAGCCCGGGATACTTAAAAAACTTAATTATTTTCAAGCCTTGTATTTAATTAAAATTACTTTTTTAATTAATTTATCTTTATGTCATTTTGTATTATTAGTGTTTATTCTATCTTTTAGATGTTGTTTTTTTTAATATTATTTTTCTTTTATATTAAGAATAATAACTGATGATTGATTTATTTCAAGGTAAGTTAAAAGAAATCAAGAAACTAAGAAGGTAGGAGAAAACGTGACTATCTTAATCGACTACGTATTACTGTTTTATTATTCATGAAATGAAATAAAATAACGAGCAAACAGACGAATAGAGTCACAGGGTCATAGGTTACTTATCAACAACGTTATTGCGTAATGTTTGAAGTTTTAACTTTTTTTTTACTTTAGTTGACAGTTGTCAGAGATCAATATAATGAAAAATTGATGGAAAATAAAGAAAAACTGATCTATACAAAAATTAATAAACAATAAATATTCCACTGTAATTTTACCATTTAATATTTCGAAATAAAAACTAATTTCCGACCTAAAAATATGTTTGAAAATTCATTTAATGATGTAGCTATTATTTAATAATTAATATTCAATAATTCATTATTAATTTCTAGCTGAACTATCTATATATTCCATGAAAGATGTGTATAATAATTCCTGGAGTAGAAAATCATTGCGACACACTTGGAATAATTTTCAGAATATGAATAATAATATCAATGGTGTTCTTTTTAATGATATTCACATCGCCCCAAAAAGCATTATTATTTCATGATAATTATTTGATCGCAAAATAAAGAAATAAAATATTTGTAAATTTTTGCAATAGCAATATTGAGAAATACTGACACTGTTGACCCTTACTTATTCGTAATTCAAGAATACCTAAATAAAACTAAGCATACATTAAGTCCTAACTGAAAAACTTCATATTCCTTTTCATAGCAAGCATAAATTCTATTTGACAAATAAATCAAGAATCTAACTATAAATTATAATAAATCAACATACTTACAATGTTGTAAAATATACTATCTACATAATTATGTTAGTATAAAGTTAATTTTATGAACAGAAAAAGGATACATTGAATCATCTCTTGGATGCTAAGTGTGGCAAGTTCTCCTTGTGAAGAGTAACAATTAGTAAACTCCTTTCGAAGATCATAAAAATAGTTATAGTACTGCGGTAGTTCCAGATCTTTGTTATAGCTTTCAGGATGAAGACATTGTCTTAAAGGAGCTTGACCATCAACTATGAAACGTGGTGGTGTGTCAGGAGGTATTTGTGGTTGAGAAGACCACCAACTATCGAACTGTAAACAAAAAAAAATTATTTTTAGTTGAGAAATAATTACTGTAGTGATAGATGAAATATTCTATTGCCTTATTATTAATTTTAATGCTACTAAAGTTTTCAACAAACTGACCTATACTACATAAGTGTTGCATTTATAATCATTATAAAGTATATACTTCATGTTACATCTATAAGTATAAATAATGCGGAATAAGTTACTTTTTACAGTTCAACATAGCAAAAAGTATAATTATTTCAAATTGATCCAAATACCTACAAACTTGAAGCAAAAAATAATAACATAAAATTTCCTCTACATAAATATGCATAAATATTGCTAGAGTTTAATTATGCTTGTACATAATTTTTCATTTAATAATCAAGAGCTAATTAAATGTTATATTACTATACCAATATATTTGTGGTATACACATCTAATCTAAGTACCCGCATCACACACACTTCAATAATCAATAATGTACAAATAAAAAGTTGATGACTTGACAATTTTTCAACCATTTATCATTAGAATTATCATCTCAACTATTGTTATTATTTTTTTTTGGTAATATTATACAGCATGAATTTTAATGAATATTTTTTTTCTTTCTAAAGTTAAAAATAAAATTTGAATTTAATTTATAGGTAGATATAAATAAAGGATAAAACCTTTCGAATCGCTTGCTCCAAAGGAATGCCATGTTCTCGAAGCGTCTCTGCTGTAAGACCCGGTGCATGCAAAAGTGCCGTTTCACCAATAATATTATTAGTTGTCGTTGTCGATCCTGAGTTCTCATCTTCTTGTTGTTTATTATCTAGCGTTGATGGCTGAACAATATACTGTTGGTGGCCTGTCACCTGAAAAAAAAAAAGTTTAAATCATTAGACTATGGAAATTTTCCAATTACAATCGCTGATTTCTTTGATAATTCATTACCTATTCACTAGTATAATTATAAAATAATTTTATTTAATATATTCACATTGAACTACTGAAGATTATTTTGAATATAGAAATAATAAACTTATCTAACATAAAAAATCGTTATAGTATACATGATTGAATTCTGGGATGTATACTTTCACAATTAATTCGGTCAATTGATTATAACTACCTATCTGATGTTTACGTAAATAAATTGAAATAAGAAACCTACTGCATTTCCTTCATTCTAGACAAAGTTATAAGATACAATGATTACTACAATTCATATAATGATGAAACTTATCAAAGTCCACCTTATTTCTTTAATGTACTTTTATCAGGTGAAGAAAAAAGTCTATATAGTATATGTGGTGATTTTAACCAGTGTCTGTATAATTTATATAATTTTATCATAAGAAATGTCGAAAAAAAAAGAATATAAAAAAAGTCTTATTCAATTATTATTTATATTTATAAATGACCAATTTATCATCTAAATATAAGAAATCTACCATGATAAATATCATTTGGTGAAAATACTCATAAATACGTGAATATAAAAAATATCAATTCGCATGGGTTTATAATTTATCTATCAAATAAAATTATCTCAATTTCGATAAGATTAATAAATTTTGAATATACATATAGATCTATATTTATATTAGAGGCAATATTATTTGTACATTGTGAAAAAATCTAAATAAACAATGGTTATATAAAAATACTTATTAATTAATTTTGTTGAATTAGCACATCGACAATTTATGAATAATGTACTTTGCATGTTCTAAAATGTGTTGAAATATTAAAACAATGGTCTCATATGTTTATGTATGAGTACGCTTGGGTATAAAAATATAAATTTAATTACACATGTAGTTTTTTTTACGAAAAGATAAAAAAAAAAATAAATAAAGTTCTTACTAGTTCTCCTTGGGCAAAATGGCTAAATTCAAAAAAAAAAAAAAAAAGTTCTAAACATTTATGCTTTCCTATTCTCTAAAGTTCACCGTTATACACTTAATTGATTCATCATCATTAATAAAATCAATAGCAATAATTAAGAGAAAAAGAAGTATTTTATGTTAATGCATGGTGAAATTTATCAATTAATTTTTCTATAAACCGATGAAATCCTCAGAGAGACCGTCTCACGTCGGTTTTTATTACACTTATTTGTTGTCTTGTTTTCAAATACTGATAAGATATTATCAAAATTATAAAGGGAAGATAATCTAGTGTCGTCTGTTAATCAGAAATTCTTTCAATAAGCCAATTATGTATGATGATACTATTTTATAATCTTATTCTAAATTTTATTAATCTTTCTTTACAATCAGCTGTATGGTATAACAACTAAAATCATCAAGAGCAAAGTAACGGAGTAACAAACGTCACAATGGCGGGCAAGAATTTAACTCGATGAAGAGTGTTCACGACCTTCTGAGGGCGCAACGCTCCGCCTCCGCTACTAGATAATTTGTGAAACAATGGCAGCTACCACACATGTTCCAAATGCACAATCATGACCATTATTTTTTTTAACAATACAAATCCTTTTTCCTCTATTTATTAAATTTAAAAGTCTAGTCATTATTTTGATTACATTCATGTCCTAATATTTTTTTTAACTTCATCATAATAATGTTTGACGTGAAAAACTGTCTGACTTCCCATTCAGTTTTATAACTGCTTTATCTAATATACTATGTATAGATTTACTCGTAGATAAGAAAAACATTATTTGATCATAAGCTAATTATCAATCAATGAACTGGTTGGTAACTCCAAATTATAGGTTTTCCTCTTCTTGAATATATTCACAGTAAATTAGAACATAATCACATATCTCACTTATTTAAATGAATAAAAAGATTTTTTTTTTACTTTAACAATATGCTTCTTTTAAGATTCAAAATTGATAATATATATAACATATACTTATAGTACGCATAAATCAAGAAAATATACTTTACATGCAAAAAAACTTGGACTTGTGCGAATGAGTGACAAAGCATAATTCGTTTCTAAAAATAAGTTATATAAACTGTATATCTATTCCTTTAACATTTCATAAAATAATTATGATTATGTCTATTGAATGAGGTCAAATTAAAAATTTTAAGATTACAACATATGAGTATAATAACGGATTAGATATATGTGTACACATAGACGCTGAACATTAAACAAATCATTAGCTAAACTTGACTTTGCTTGGTTATCAAAGTTTCTTCAATTCGGCAATAATTTATTTGCAAAATAATCTTGTTTCTATTTTCTATCATTTTCTGTTCTTTAAAAAAAGCGATAGAAATATAAATATGTTTAGTCAGAATAGAAACCATTAATGGCTAATTAGCTTTTACGAGACAATTTTTTTTATATAAAAAAATATAAATTTTTATCAACTTTGCTCCGATTTCCTACGATAATAATTTAATGAATTAATATGTTGAGGAATATTATATCATGTATTTTAGAATTATTTCATTGATACTTGTTATACTTTATGATTATTTTCCAATAAAATGAATTTATTTAAAAAAATTTTCAGGTTTTAACTCCTTTCCGCACCAGTCAACCATTTTTATTCACCTTCTTATTTACATGGTGAGCCGAAAGCTAATTGCGGCTTTTAATTTATCATTTTCTGATAAATTTAGAAAACAGAAGAAAACAAATATTGTAAGTTAAAAAAATAAAGATAAATATAAGAAAAAAAAATGAATAACAAGTATTTACCTTATTTTGGAGCGTATCAATAAGAACATAAATAAGAAGTATAATTTCTTCTTCATCAGAACCAAGAGCATTGCCCTGGAGTCCTGCGGTCGCCACGTAGAGTGCGACAAGGTGAGTCGGTCCCTTTTCTCCTGTCATCATTTGCATTTTCTCTAGAGCTCCTTCAGGCGCTTTAAGCGCCGTTCTTGAGCTCCTTTACCACTTGTCAATTTTTCAATAATAATCTAACACAGTAGATTCACTGAATATAACCAACATTTATCACAAGAACACCTCATTTACTAAGTTTCCTTTGATCGAATTTTTTTTCGTAAATATATATACTAAGCCAACTTTAACCTGTTTCAAATATTTTTGAAATATTAATTAGATTTCAATTCTAATACAACACACCATAACTAAAATTAAGTACCAGATTGGACAATCTTGATGAATGATATGTATTATTGATGTTTATTTTATTATTTTGTCACTATTTTCGTTATTTTTAAGGTTATGAAGACGACAAAAATATTTTTACCACATACACTGCACCAAATTTCCACTTACCGTACAACAATGTACTACTCCGATCAAATAATATCAAAGATTTGTTATATTTAACACGATTTATCTACAGTAAATGATGTATTCACGTTTAAAATATACTTGTGAATAAACAGTGGTAAGAATATTGTTCAAATAAATAATAATTATTATAAAAATAATAAGAAATACTACGGAAAATGGAAAAGGATACGACTGTTCACTCGCACGTCTCAGGTGATCGCGCGCACTGCCGTTGGCTCACCTGGCGACTGCGCGTCCTTTGCGATTCGTCTGCTTTTCCCTCTCTCTTTCTCACTCTTTCTCGAACGGTCGCCGTTTGACGTCGCTGGCGTTCATTTGTGATCATGACATGGTCCGAAAACAATCTAACTTTTTTTCTAATTTGGTAGTTAAATTATCTTTGATACTCAATGATTTCATTTTAAAATAAACATTCTATTAAATGTCTTTACTTTCATATTTTTATTCAGCTTCTTAGGACGACAAATTTCTATCAAATGATAGTTAGATAGATAGTTAGTTTGTAAGCACAGGAAGTATTCAATTCATTATATGAAGAAGAAAAAATATTTTTCATTTAGAAATGGAAAAAATTTTAAAAGGTAAAACTCAAATTTCAAGTCTATAACTAATGTTGTCGACAACAAGCCAGTAAAATGTAGGCGCAGGTAAGAGAACCAAAGGGAAAGGCGAACCAGAGTTTATATGTCTGTGTAATCATGCAAGCCAGGTGTACAGACCCTCCACTCGTACATGATTGTCCGGTTCTCTCCACGCTCTTTTCTCCCACCATGATAGTTGCCTTAAAGATAGGTCCCTTCTTAAATCTCATCATATAGAATTCACAGTCTAGACTCTAGACTTTGTAAATAGTAATGTAGGTACCCGAAGACATCCATTAATTCAAAGTAATATTACCCGACTATAAAAATTACTTGTCATTTTGCTTGAATAGAAATATTATTTCAAAAAATGTCTGAACGAATCATCCTATTTTCTTACATTCAACAGTTGAATCTCAACTATTTCGAAATGTAGTCATATTTTTTTTTACCTGTTTTAAAATGATGCCACAACGGGAAAAAACATATTTCTTCAGTAAAATTTATTCTACTCCAAAAACTGCTTTTATGAAATTTTCATTCTTAATAAATTAATACAGAGTATTTTTGTGTATAAGATTTAATATTTTATTGTTTTTATATTTAAATAAATAAATATACTTCTGTATTTATATAAAAGAAAATATTTGAAATTTTCCTTGATCAAATTGATAAAAAAGGTAAAGAAGCAAATGATGTTTCAGTAAATACCGTTACATTATCTTATACAAGTATATGCTTGTGCGTACAAGTATAACGTATAATTCTACGTGAACAAGTCCATATTTATTATTTTTTAAACATTCTTTTATTTAGAATTATTTCAAAATTATTTACCTGTACTTTCCAAAGTTATATAAAAAAAAAGGATATAATTTTTCGAAAAAGATTTCCTCATCCTTCTGTAAGCTTTAATTCCCGTCTCTTGAATTATAAAAAATAATTACTTTGCTAACAACTGAATTATCATTACAGAATGGAACTTGAAACATCCACATTTGTGATTCCATAATGCAAGAGATGAATTATTTTTGTAATTATTAAAAATAGAAAAAACCTATTAAAGTAATAATTAACGTAATTCGAAAAGATCAACTTGAACTTGGAGTTTATATCATTTTTTTACCTCATGAACTTGTAATCGTGTGGAGTATCTTCGTGTCTGTTACATAGAGTCCTTTGGATACAATGAAGCTGTCGTTAAGTAGATGAGTAGAAGGTGTTCCAGTATGGACTTGGGCTCGCTAAGCTATTGGATGGTCACCTGTTGCTCTCTAAGTTCCGATTGGTTGTAATCGACGACTCGTAACAGCAAAGAAACATAACAGCAGTCAGAAACAAGTGCAACGACAAGTCCATTTTAGACTGTGATTTGCCTCTACAAGTGTTTCAACCACTTGCTATACATGTCACTTCTCAAAAGGGAGACACCATTATGTTATTATCGAAATCATTCACCCATTTTTTAAATATTCAACCATATCCTGATGAATTATTATTATTTAACATCATGGACATTTTTGTTGTACAGTATTTATTCAATTTTTTATTTATAAAAATCTGTTTACTCCTTTCTTATTGCTCCAATAATATAATTTGTACCTGTAATTGAAAAATAAATATATCTTATTGAAAAAGGCTTGAGAATTAAGAGATAAAAATTCTTACTCTAACTCAATATGAAATCTCTACTTTTTTTGTGTAATACGAAGTTGAATTTATGAATCGCTAAGTGGGGATAACCGCGGACATTGTACCGTAAATCACTGTACGCAGTCATAGCAAGAATCGTCAGTACATAAATTATTTCTATTTCTTTTTATAGTATATATTCAACTGTTGATGGAAAAATGAAAAGAAGAAAATAACGGTTTTTGCCTATGTCTAAATATTTTTTTCCATAGAGAAAGGTTATATGCAAAATTGATTATGTATACATTGTACGGAGTAATCCATTAATGCATGAATTTATAAATTAACCCGTAGAGATCTTATCTTCAGTAGTTTTCCGAAATTGCACCTTAACAGCTTTCAGCCGGATTTCCCGTAAAATTTCTCGTTTTAATGGATTCACTTGTAGGTATAAAGCTGATGAACACAAATCCGGCTTACATACTTTCTAGGCTATCACAGGACTTGTATATCCAGTTTTAAAATCATCCATAGCTTTAAGGTGAGTTGCGTAAGGTGTAACATAGGCGTAGCGTCATTATCCTTAATCATACTTTTTAATTTTGAGATATTTTTACGCTTAAAATTTCCACCTAAAATCGAGTTTTTTTCAAAACTTTTATTTCAATAATTAATCTTTTTTAAAATACAAAAAAGAGAAATTTCTTCATCTATTGTAGAGACTGTTTCTTTTTGTTATTTTTTATAAGATTTTGGTTAGGATTTAAGATTTCAATTTATCATAATTATAGTTTTTTTTTTTTTATAAAAAGAAACATGATTAATATCAAATTCATCCCTGATGATGTTTTTAATTCATTTTCATCCTATCCTCCATTTTCTATCAAGAATATATTTTTTGATGCCCAATTATACTTTATGAAATGATTTTTTTGTAATCATTTTTTATAGAAATTCAGTATATGTAGTAAGGAACAGAACTCTGGAAATCAAGTACAAACACAAAGATGGGAAGCACGTAAAAAGATTGTGGTCGCTGACCCGTTTGGAACGTTGACTCCATGCAGCAGTCACTTCCCTCTCCAATTCCTTCCATTTCCCCTCTTTAACTCGTTCATTCTAGTTCTTCTCTTTTGAAACTGCACTTAGCTTTTATTTACCTTCCAAGTTCTTTTTTATAACAACTCCATCATTGCAAATTTATTTCATTATTTTAACTTTGTCATGTTTCTTCATACTATTCATCAATAGATTTGATGCCATTTTCTGGTATTTCTTGTGTATTGCGTTTTCCATCGTGAGGTACATATATTTTAATATAAAATACGTATATATAAGAATACCCCATTATTATTTATTATCTATTTGCATAATTATTCATCAATTATATGTACAATCGTTGAATATTGATGAATATCACATAGTTTTAGGTTTGTTGATTAGAAATATTTGATGTCTTTTTTTACTAATTTATATCATCCTGTGAGTACATATAAAACCATAAAATGATTGTATATTTCTTTATTATAGATATTATGAAAATAATAAATTTATTAGATTTCATTTAACTTTATTAATAAATAATGATAATAAAAAGTATCTACTAAATAATTTATACGCTTATTATTTTCTCATCAATGGATTCAGTTGGTAAATCACATCAATGCCACTATTTAGTTCCAGAAAACAAAATTAAACTAAGATGGCGCTAATTTCACATGAACTATACTTATAGAAACAAAAGAAAAATGTATAGTGAGCTCAACCGTTAACCATAATATACTTATTGATGTTGAAAACAATTTCATTGAACACAAACAATTTAGCATTTTATTTATTGTCAATTTCATCGAGCAATAATGGCAGTAAAGGAAAAAACTAGCAATTCAGGAGAAGAATTCGAATGGAATGTTGAAAATGAAATTCAACTTTTTTTTGCAATGAATGGACACAAACCCGTTGGTAAGAAATGAAATGAAAAAAGCAATGACTTTCTTTCAATATTAAATATGCTCATATTTTCATCTAATAATTTACTCTTTGATCTCAAAGGAATCAACAAATACTTTCACATGATTTGTATTTGGGAGAAATTTCGTGCAGCAATTAATAAAGATGTCTCTTTAAAAGCTATTTGGGATCATTTGGAATCGATGTATGATTTAATCGCTTTGGTGAGAATGAATACTTTTCTATTAGTTGAATTATTTGTTTTACAAGCAATATTAATAATAAATATTCCATCATTTGTAGGATGATACTGAGGATTTGCCATTTCCTAGCAATGAAACAGATTTTTCTCTGCCTGAATCTGAATACATTGATCTTATCAAATCAAAACAGAAGGACGAAGGAGAAAATAAAGTAAAAGATCAGAAAGATAAACCTATTAAAGATATGAAGAAAGAAAAAGAAATTAAAGAAACTCCAAAGAAAGAAGTTATAACAAAAGATCAAAAAATTTCAAAAGAAATTGATAATAAAAAAAAAGAAGACAACAAAAAAGTTTTCAAAGAATCAGAATCCAAGAAAGAAAAACAACGAGAAGTTAAAGAGGTTAAAAAAGATAATAAGTCTGTAAAAGGACGAAATAAGGGAAAAGAAGAATTGGAAGATTCGGTTTTAGGTAATTCCATTTATACATATTTCTACTTTTTTAATTAATTACTAATAATTTCTTTAATTTTATTTAATTATGAGTGTTGATATGAGAAATATTTTCGTGTTTTGATAATAAAACTTGATTTGTTTAGCGGTACCAAAAAAAGAAAGGAAAGATTCTGAGCCGAACAGAGAATCATTGAAACGAGTTCCAAAACGACCAACCAGGCAAAGTATTGATAATACAAGTAAGACTTCAAGTCCTCGAGATACACCGCCACTTAAAAGAAGAAGAATATAGTAAAGAAAGATATAGTTATAAAAATATTCAGAGCTAATATTAATATTAAACTTTTATATAAGTTATCACTAATACCTTATTTCTTATAAGAGATTTCAATCATTTTTACGTATAATCCACGTTTTCTGCAATTACATTTTATACTAATTTAAAGTAGTTACACTTGATTTCGATGTAAATAAATCATTTTGATAGATAAGGCAAAATAAACAAATAAATAAAGCTTTTTATGTGGCTACCAACTTAAATTTATTCACATACAATCTTCTTTTATACAAATTTTTGATGATAACAATAGGTCTTCAGATGGATAGATAAAGTCATATTCGGTTGTCACTTGTTGTTTGATGCCTATTGTCAGGAAGCTGGAGATGCGATGTTTTCCACAGTCCATCATGATAATTTAGATGTAGATTGATCATTTATTTAATTAGTATGATAAAAATGGTAACCAGGTTTTTATTATTGAATTCCTTATTAGATATTGTTGTTATCGTAGTCGTCTGGCTTCTCTTTCAGATTCCAGTAAGGTTAGAAGATCACCTTCTCGAACCGGTCCTTTCACATTTCTGATAATTTGTCGATGTTGCTCATCAAGGAACTCAACTTTAACTTGTGTACATTGTCCTTGGGATCCTGTTCGTCCCAGAATCTTGATTACACGCGCCAAAACGACTGGTTTATCCATTATTGTTTTCACGTGGTTTCACTAACGTGATGATTGTTCGTAAAGAAACGGAAAAAGAAATTTTTTCTGTACATGAGGTTATGGCTGTCGTCATTGATTCACTGGTATTTCCGTTTCCGGTTTAAAAAATACATTTAGTGCCACCTATTGCCTTATTGTCGACATTAGCGGGAATTTCAAAATTTTAAAAAAAATTTGGATGTAATTAAAAACATATGTGCATTTTTAACGTTTTATTTTCATTTTTATGCTTAAAATTACAAATACCTTGCTACTCTTAATCATAATTAACATTAAAAAAACCTCCTCATTTACTGCAATACAATAAAACATACTCGTATACAAAGTGAGTCATTTAACACAATTTTTGCAAGTAATAAAATATTACAATTATTTTATTTTAATAATTGCAAATATATTATATTAGTCATTTTATATTCATTTTTTAAAGTATCTTGTTCTCAAAATATGTTATTCATCGCTACATTTTCATTTTTTTACACATTATAAGTGCATATTTTACAAGTTAAAATTTTACATCTCTTTACACACAAATTTCTAGATGACATTTGATTATTTTAAACTAGTTTTGAATGTTTCTATAAATATTTCGTTTTTTTGTTGTAATTATTTGATTAACGATAGCAATTTCCTTCCGTAAAACGGAGTATTTAGGTAAATGTATTGAAGATAACTTAACAACTTTTATAGTTGTCATTTATTAATTTTAACATATTTCTAGAAATAATTTTTTATCTTATGTCTATGAAAGAATTTTTCTTCCAGAATGCATGAACATCAAAATAACCACGTAACTTAATTTATTTATAAATTAACTAAATTAATAAATCGTTACTGCCACAAATTTGTCGATAATGTTTGACCAGACAATGGAGCTGGCGTTGATTTTCCCAAACCACTCATAGATATTTGAGACATTTGCTGAGATAACTGAAAAATTGAATAACAATTAACAGACTTTGATTATATGTTACAAATGATAGAAGTAAAAAATATAATTTATCAGCTTTGGATAGCATTAACACAAATTATTTTATAATTAGAAATTCTATGAAACTTCAACAAAGATAAGAAAAGGAAAAAAGCAAAAATGAAAAGTAATTATGAAATTAAAATGACATTAATGCAATGAGTTGTTTACTTTTGTTTGTCATGTTACATTATCATTCAAGTTGATTTTATAAAATGATATCTACATACCTGAGATACAAAGACAGAATTCGGAGGAGCTTGGGCTGTTAAATTAAAGAAAGGATTACTTCCAGGAGCTGGTTGAATGTTTTGAGTTGGTAAAATGTTACTCCAACTATTATTGCTTGGAATATTCGATTGTCCCATTTGAACCATCTGTGAATTAATGATATTTAACATATTTATAATTCACTACTATAACATTATAATAAATATAATTACCATTTGTGCTGGCATCGTTGCTGTAGAATTAGGTAAATTATTAATAGTATTATTAATTGGAGCCATCGGTAAATTTGTTCCTATTGGGCCAGATACAATTTGCATACTAGATGCTAAACTCATTTGATTAGCATTTAAGTTTAATTGATTGTTTGATCCGCTAGTCATGTGTACAGGCATTCCATGATTATGTTGACTTATTGTATTTTGTTGATTTGGAAAACTATTTTGTCCAAATGTTCCAACGTTTAATAGTGATTGAGAATACTGTTGTTGAATTGGAGCTTGTTGATTAAACATTCCAACATTAGCACCAAAAACTGATTGTTGTTGAGTTTGTGTACCGTAAAGAGCAAGTATACTGTCTTTCGTCATTTTGCTTTTTTCTTGAGGTGTTGGGGCTGGTTGATTAAAGAAACTTTCTTCGTCAGCTTTGCTGGCTTCAGTGCTAGAAGTTGTTTCCGCTGTAGAACCATTAGTCGTACTATTATTAGTTGTTTGTAATGTCGACGTTGGTGGTGCAGATAAAAAGGAAGAGAAAATATCATCACCAGATCCGCCGCTATTAGTATTAGGTTGAGTTGATGGATTATCCAGTCCCAATAAATCAAGGGTAGCTGTATTATTCGTTGTTTTCGAAAGTTTTGGACTAACCGAATTACCGGGTTTTGGCAATTGTGGAACAACCTCCGGTTTTTTCACTGGAGGTAATGCAGTTTGATTAACATTATTTTTCAAACTTTCTTTCTTCCGTCTTCGTTGTTTTTCAGCCTCTTCGTCTAATTCTTTATCCCAATTAACTTTTGGCAAGGCCGGCGGCACCCATTCTCGAGCTATATATTTTTTATGTTCATATTTAGCACGTATAAAGCTTTCTAAACTACAGTCAGTTTGAGGACGACGAAAAGTGTCTGGCAAATTCGCTTCATAAACAGCTCTAGCACGGGAATTTCCCATTTGTTGTAAACTCTGTAAATAATGAACACACATGTTTACAAAAGAACATTGTTTTCTACACTTTTTTTCCTTGATATGTAGACAATAATCAATTTATTAAAAACATACCACAACTTGTTCCGGTGTCCAAGTATCTAAATTCACTGATTTAACCTTGCTAATATGAACTCCTAGATTACGATGTATACCAGCACATCTAATACAAAGAAATATTCCAAGGTTCCAGCTAGCCCATCTTGGTCCTTGAAATCCATAACATATTTAAATTTGTTACATTGTTTTTGTAATTACTAATAACTATTTATATAACAATTACAATTTATATCTACATTAGTTTAAATTAAAAATTATTTGATTATAACAAAATCGAACTACCGTTGACAAATGCAAATTGACAAGTGTACACATGAAATCAATAATACATGAAATATGTATTTACTGCCACCATGTATGGCTTATAATTAATATTCCACTATAAAATTAATTGCAAAAATCTAAATAAGTTTTATTTTTTTTGCAATAATTTAATTTGTTTTAAAAAAAGTAGGTCGTTAAAAATCAATAGAATCGCTTAAGTAACTGAATTTCGATAAATTATTGATGTTGAGCAGATTTATGCAAGTATACAGTAATAAATTACTCAATAAAAGCGAAAATATTTTCATTATTCACCAATACAATATCGTTATTTATTTACATACCTTTAGCATCGCAGTCTACACAGTACTTGTTATCTTCATCTCTGAGCATTTGTGTTAGAAGATTTTGACATTTATCTTGTATTTGCTTACTCCGTTCTTTTTCAGATCGGGAAGTCATTTTTTTCTTAGTCTTTTTCACAGTTTCAATTTAATTAAAAACTATTTCAGAAATTCTAATCGAAATTTCAATCAACTTTCAATTTGATAAAAGACGCTATGACATATTTAAGCCACACGACAATATATACATCATATCAACGTATTCAACAGAACAACTTCTATGGAAGTATACATTGTAGCTATTCAGCCGCCGGCGTGGATTCAACGTATTTGTTGGAAAATGCACTATCTCTGTTTTGTGTACCACCATTTACAATTGAATGAATCGAATAAAGAATTATTCTTACAGAAAGAAGTATGATATCAACTTTGAAGTAATCTTGAGTTGTTTTTAAACATTATTGACAATGCATAATTATTATTTTATTACTGATAATTTTGTCAATGGAAAATTCCAATAAACGCATCCTGAACAAGTACATAGATCTTTATTTATCGACTGTCGATAAAAGATATTTTTTTCGTTAGTTGGTAACAGAAGAATAGAGGAGTGCCACGAATGAGTAAATATTGAACTAAATTAAGGCAAAAAAGTCGCCGACTCGAAACGTGATCATTGTTTTGGTTATTTTATTGGTGTTATTATTTCCTAAAAATTGTATTTTCATCAGTTTAAAATTATTTTAAAAAATAAAATAAATTACATTTATAGTAAATTTCTAGTATTACATTATGAAAGTAACAATAAAAAGTATGTAAAAAATTGGGTATTACTTTATATTTTTTATAATAATATACTTTTATGTTATCAATATCATTCATTTATTGATAATTATTAATCCTCTATTTATTACTATTATTTGTTAATCTATTCAAGGTTGGACAGGTGTTTCAACATGGAGATGGATTGCAAATGATGATAATTGTGGAATTTGTCGAATGCCATTTGATGCCAGTTGCCCTGATTGTAAAACTCCTGGCGATGATTGTCCTTTAGGTACATTAGCATGAAGTTAAAAAAAAAAGCTGCATTTATTCAATATACAATTTTGTTATGCACAATTCATTTGAGAGAAATTCACAGCATTTTGTTTTACAAACCACATAGAAATACAGATATTAGTCATTATTACATTCAGTAAGAGTCATAATATTTTCTAATTTCTTTGTTAACATTATTGTTTGTTCAATAATTTAATTATTCTTTAATATTGTCACTAAAATTATTATTATTAAACATTTATTAATAAGTCTTTTGGCTTCGAAATTTTTTTGACATTGCGCATGTCAAGTATAAATATCGATCTGAGTTGTTGAAGCTTTAAAGTAGAATTGAAAGTTGTTACAAATAATTTTTTTAATGAATGATAAAACAACTAATAACATAAAATATAATCTAAACTTGCTGTAATTAAAAGTTGAAATTAACGCTTTCATTTTTATGTTCATCAGCTGTAATTGTTAAATATTTCAATGATATGATAAAACTAAAGTCTTATATCATCATAAATTTTGTTTAACTAGTTTGGGGACAATGCTCACATTGCTTCCATATTCACTGTATTATGAAGTGGTTACATTCTCAGCAGACCAGTAGTTTGTGTCCGATGTGTCGTCAAGAATGGAAATTTAAAGAATAATTGTGTAATCCATCAACACCTAATAATCGAATTCTTCAACATTGACACAAAAGATAAATTTAGTTATAAGGTAAGATAAGACTTACACCTGAGTTATTTTTGTACGAAAAATATTTAATGAATGAATAAATGAATAAACAATTACTTTTTTCATTCATAAAATACATTATTATTATTATTATTATAGAAGCATATATTTTTAAACAATTAAATTTTCCTATAAGACTGTTGTACTCCAAAAAACGATTAGGTTAAACAACAGCTTATTATTATTATATTTGTGCATGATTTCGTTAATTTTTTTTTTTTATAAATGTTTCTATTGTTATTTATTGCCAAATAGCAATTTTTGTTTTGATTAATTCTATCATCGCACTATAGTTCTATTCACACAAATAAATGTATATGTTATATCTTTGCTAGCTTAGCGTCACCCAAGAGAGACCGACTAATGTACTTTATTACCTACAACTTTAAGTCAAGATACCCATACACTGCTACACTCTAAAAGTTCCCAAGGTGTAGAGTGGGGCATTGATATGTAATATTCTTACCTTTAGTTCTTACCTGACAATGTTTGCGTCCACTTACAAGCAGCCATTGGCAGCCATACCAATAACTATCAGTGACTTGCTGGCTAGTACTATAACTTGTGGTGATTAGTTTCCTTCACTTCTCTACTCTTAATTTATAATAGAAAGTCACGTGGCATGTTTAGATGTGTGAAACCGTGCAAAATATAGATACATATATTTGCTTGAAATTAAAACAGCACAAATCAGTATCAAACCAGTCATTTTGTTATTAATACAAGAAAATTACTGATGCTAAGTTATTGTTTCTCGCGAGTTCATTAACTTCCTTTATCAAAATATTTATGATAAATTACGTTGTAGTTAATAGTAAATAATTTCAAAAAAGTGAACATTTGTGATATTAAAATTCAATAGTAAATGTTAATTTTCCTTTGTTTTGTGTAATATTTGATTGATTCTCCAATAAATGTGATTAGTAATTGTATACTATGGTATAAACTTTAATAAGATTGCGTAGGATGAAAAAAAGATAAGAGTGTGTATGTAAAAGATCGCAAGATTAGTTGTTACAATTCAATTATGACAACAACGTGAAATAAAATAATTCAAAGTTATTTATATGTCAAATAAAAAATTTCTTTTATAATGTCGAGTAAAATATTTTATGAATAATGAGATTGAATTGAATCAAGTAATAATTATTAAATGACAAGGTTTGGATATAAAACGTTCATATTTATGTATTAGCTTTCAACTGTAAAATAAAACAAATTATTATAATGAGATAAGAAGAAACAAGAAATTTATATAAAGGAAAAATATAAATATAAAACACTAAAAATGAGGTTGGCGACTTCACAAAGACCACATGCACCTCCTGTTCCACCTCGACCAAGCAAACAAGTTGTAGCGGAGGCTCTTAAAAAATCAACAAGATTACCTTGTCCAACACGTCAAGCTCCACCACCTCCCAATACTCGACCCTGGCGTCCTAGTGATGATACAAAGGCATCCAATAAAGATATTTCTACAAATACCGATAAAACTTCTCTAAATGAAGCAAAAAAAGATTTTTTAAACAACTCACTTGTATCACAAAATGATACTGATAAGAGTTCAAGCAATAAATTTGTACAGAAAAGTGATAAAATGCAAGAATCCATAAATAAACACAAAAAACCGTTTCCTGAAGACATGCAAAAAAAGATTCAACATATCAAAAATCTTAGTGGTATAAATAATTATGAAAATTTGACAATTAATAATCAAAGTAAAAATAACAATGTGAATAGCAATATTAATGTAAAGAGTGATGATCAACAAGTGAAAAAAAATGAAATAATGCAAAATAATTTGTTAAATAAAACAGAATCTTCCCATCATGATTTATTGAAACAACCATCAGAGATGAATTCAAATTCACTTTTAACCTCCCAATTGATTGATTCACAATCAAACAAAACAACTGTATTAGTAACTATAAATAAAAATGATTTAAATATTCCTATAAATGCTAACAGAATGTCAACTTCGCCAAATTTGAGACAATCTACAACAGCTTCAAATAATGAAGATTGTACGACAGTGGTCATTATTGACAGAACTGATGATAAAGTTACCGTTAACAATGATAAAGATGATAATAAAGAAAATATTCAGAAACAAGACTGGCTTGAAGAAGGAATTCATTATTCTTCAACTAAAATAACTCTTGGTAGCGATGAAATTAATGCTAATAATATTAATAAGCAATTGGAAAATCATCAGCATGGTTTTCATTATAATAAAAATAAAAATCAATCTGATCCTAATCCTTCAAGGTATATCGACAATATTTGATTTATTATTCTCGAAAAAATTTTATAATTTTATCTAACAATAATTTTGATATTTCTTTAAATTTTCAATACATCATATCATTATATTTTTAGTAGTGGTTATATATTTATTAATAATAATTAATTTTTTGTTCACCTTTTGTTGTAGTATATCTGAGAAAATAGCTATGGCTTCTCTTCAAGGACTGCCTCCTTTGCCTAGAAGTTTGAGTGGATTATATCTTAATGAAGGATTAAGAGAAAATAATGAGCCTCCTCCTCCACCAACAAGATCTTCAAGTAAAATGACAAAAATTGGAATAAATGTACCACAATCTAATTCACGACGTTCATCTCCTGGTAGACAATTTATTACTTTAGATACTCAATTAACGATTCTTAAAAAAGAAATGGTAAACTTAACTTGTTTCTCCAAGTAAAATGTCTATAGTAGGAAAGATGATTAAAATTCAATTAACTTTTTGTTCTAGTATGGATTAAGACAGCTGGATTTGTCTATTCTCTCTCAACTGTGGTCATTAAATGAATCTATCCAAGAGTACAGACAACTTCTTCAGGAACATGAAGAGAGAGCTCCATCACCATCACCAAGTAGTGAAGAAGGTGATGATTTAACTTATAATAATCACCCACCAGCATCTTCAAGAAGAACATCATCTCTTCATCACCACCATCATCATCATTATCATCATCGACCTCCAAGGCCTCCAAGACCATTACGACCATTACCTAGTGATGAATCACCCTCTAGTGAAGAGTATGGAGCTGTTTAAAGATTAATTGAGCTTATATTTTTTTATTATTTGGTTAAGAAATGTATAAAATTATTATTATCCGTAGAAAATTGTTCTTTAAATAACGATGTATTGTTCTCATTAATGCATTACAGTAGTAATTAGTAATAAATACAATGAAATGAAAATTCAATAGAGTAATATAGTTTATTCTTATTTAATACTTGAGCAAAACTTTTCAAAAATTCAATTAATTGGTCAATACATTCCAATGGAAAATCGACTATAAAAATTTTGTTGAAATTATTTTAGGAATAAATCATTTTCTCTCAACTGCCTTAAAGATAAGTGTTGATAAACTTAATCATAAAAAATAATTAGTAATAAAAATATGAAAGATAGTTAACTATTGTTAGTATTTTTTTAAAGTTTTTAATACACAAATGAACAAATAGTTTTTTTTTAATCATAAGATTTTTACAAATTTTTATAGATCAATTTCCATAAGAAACTTTATATTATATTCATTAGTAGTCTACTGATAATGTTTTTATTCTATTTTTCTTAACTGTATAATAAGTTCTATAATTATTGATGACTAGAAATGGCATAAATAATAAATTAATAATATATATTGATAATGTTGCATTAATAATAAAATAAATCTGATCAACATGAGAATATACGTACAGTGTTGCGTTGAATTTTTGTATATACATATTTAACTAGTTCATATTGATTAATTTAAAAAATGTATAAAACGATAATGTAAATATTTTACAAAACATTAGGATAATCTACTATTTGAAATAAATATATTTGAAAAAATATTATGTTCAATATAGATTTATTTTTAATTGCTTGTAGATAAATTATCATTTATAATTCTATGTTATGAAATTGTGTCATTGTTGATCATATTGTACATGTATAATTCAGAATAGAGAGAGGTATTTTTTATTAAAAGCTAAAACAATATTTATGTGACTATTAAGATTGTTAACTTCAATCAAGCTGATATAAAATTAAATAACTTCGCAAAATCTTTATCAATTAAAAATTTTTTTACTTTATTTAACTTTTAAACGCAATTCAATGTTTGAAATATAAAATAACTTTATAAAAATAAATCTTAATAAATATATTGAACAAATAATTTTTTAATAATCACCTACTTCATTTATAATTGTCTAATTTTTGAGAATGCTAATTTTTGGTTGAATCATCAATAAGTTGTAAATTTTTTAACTAACATAAATTGATCAATTTGTTTTATTAGCATCTGATGAATGAGTATCATTCATATCAATTTGATTTACATTAACTATTACATTACCAGCAATTCTAGGTGGACTACGTGATGCTGAACGTCTTGATTTATTAGAAGGGCTACTATGACAAGTTGCATGATGTCCACCAGTTTCCCAATCACGATGTTGACAAAAGGAACTACAATATCTTGCAATACCACATCCTCCGCAAGTTTCTAAAGCTGACCTTCCACAATTCCAACAACTCTATAATTAGACATTAACTTTTTGTCTGTAATATTATTGATTATCATCGTTACAAAATTCTATACTTACAGATCCGGGAATATTAGATAATGATATTCCATCTTTTTCATCCTCTCCAGATAAATTATTGATCCCAACTGTACCAACATTTCCTTTTGTAATTATTCTTGAAGATAAATCTCTCGCGTGATTATTCAATCGCAAAAACGATCCAGGATTCACATGATCTTTTTGTGATAATCGTACATCTAATAACTGATGAGATCTAAGTCTTTCATTAGCTCGTGATTCAGCTACAGCTACAGCAACTGCACGCTGCACTTCAACCATAGCAGCCCGTTTCACTTCTTGCATAGCTTCTTCGGCACGTTTTTTAACTTCCGCAGCAACTCGGTCTTCAGTTGCTCGAATAGTTTGAGCAACAATTTCTCCTGACAATCGTTTCAAGTTGCTATCACGATCCGTTACACTACTTGATGATTCTACTTGTGAGTTATTTGTACAAATATTGTTGATATTATTATTATTACCAATATTATTTCCATTTTGCGTGCAAGAATTCAACCCAGATGCAAGAGAAGATGAAGTAACAGGGCTTGAACAACCACGTTTTTGTAAAATTAATAAAGCTCTCTTTGTTTTTTCTATCATTCCCAAAATACAATTAAGCATAACGTGAATATTTTTCCATTCGTCATCAAGGCTTACATTATTCTGAATATTACTGGAACCATAATTTAATTGTGGATGAGATATGTGGTGAGGTCCGAATGAAGATGAATGATTTATTTGAACAAGATTAGGGAGCAGAAGATTAGAGGATCCGTGGTTAGATGATTGAGAATGAGTTTGACCTGAATTAGTTGAAGAATGAATAGGATGCCACCAGTATGAATCGGATTGTTGCTGTTGTAGTTGGTGAGAAGTTTGCTGATTCCACAAATTATTTGGTCTTTTAGCATACATAGAAGTTTCCTCAGTATTTGAATTATTTTCATAATACCTGAAAAATAATATAATCTAAATATAATGTTTAAACATAATTTTTTATTAATAAATTTATAAAAATATGATACTCATTTCATTAAAATTATTTTTTTAAAGGTTATTAAATGTTTGTTTCTGAGGGATATCATAAGTTTACTAGGATAGAAAGGTGTGTACGGTGATATATTGAAACGTCAGTAGCAGAGACATATCGAGAGGACGGCAGACCTGTTATTGGCTCACTCCCCACTACGTTTTATCGCGTTTGGTCGCGCTTTATCACCCTCCTTTTAGCATCTCATCTAAATCCTCTGCTGTTATACACATCTACTATTTCACATATACATATGTACGTCACTGCGCTTTAACCAACTTATTCTAGAGTAAATCAAACGTGACCGATCATATAATAGTATAAGTAAATACGTGGATTCACGTGCTTTTGACACGTCAAATAAAACCGATCAAGTAATTCATCGATGTCTATTAATTAGATTTTATTATAAAATCAAGTTCTAATTATTTTTGTAATGAAGAAAAAACATCAATTACTTAAATGAATTAAAAATAAATTTTCTGATTCAGATTTTTTAATTATGTCATACTGCAGAATCTATTTGTTTGCTGTAAATGAGTTTCATTAGCTTTAAATAAATTTTTTTCATTGTTCTCCAAACTTGATAATGATGAATGAAACTAATTTTCTGTTACTGAATATTTTTAAAAATCTTGGTGCACTTACAATGCATCAGAAGCTCGTCGTTTGATTCCTCCAGTGTAATGATGATGTGATGAACTGGAGTAAGGATTCGATTGTTGAACAATAGAATTGGGATCTATCATATTAGATGAATGAGTTGCATAATTAGGAGAATTTTTATGGTCGTTGAACAGCTGGACGGTTAACTCTGCAGATGCAATATGACTCACTGTTTCTAAAACTGCTGATTCGTTGGATTGAAGATATTGCACACACGTCTATAAATTTTTAAATAATAATTAAAAATAGTCATTTACATACTTAAATTTTGTATTAATTATTTTGATTTTTGAGAGTTCATATCTATTAAAAAACCCTTTTCCATCTAGCTTAGAAACGATATTAATTATTTACTGAGATCGTAGTGTGATTAAAAAATTGTTCATATCATGCTTGAACATGAAAAAAGTTCAATTCACTTAAGAATATTTTTAATTTTTTATGCTGTCACTTCCAGAACCTTTTATCGTTTATAACATTGACATATTTAAATACGTTTGAAGTAAGTTTATACATGCAAAAATGGTATTTAAAACAATTACCTGATTGTTAGCTTGTGCTGCTGCATTGATATTTCGACGTAAAGAGGGAAGAGTGTGCTTTAAATACGGTAATACAAAATCTCTCAAAGGAAAATTCGTTGCTTCTTGAAGAGCTGAATGAAATTCTTCTGCTGACAATCCACTACTCTGAAAATCAAATTTTTACATTAATAAAAATTCATATAACATTAAATTAATTCAAAGCACAATAGTATTCAATAAAATAAAACCTTACCAAAAGTCCAAAGATCAAATTCCGAACAGTCTCTCCAGTTTCAGTAGAAATATTATTAGCAAATTGAACAAGTGTGCCTAGAAGTCTCTTCAATTTTGTATGACCTGTGAAAATACTTGAGATAGTTTTGAGACCAACATTCGTTATTTTAGCTTGAGCATTCGGTTCAGAGTTGAATGTGCTTTCTTGAGGTTTTTGAGCTGCTCCTGAATGCTGGTCATTTTCTGGTTTTATCGACTTGACTGGATATAATTTTCTATTTTCTGAACTGTCAGACAATCGTTCATTACTCGTAGATGATTTCGATTCTGCTGAGTACGCTGGAGACAATTTTCTTTCTTTTTCATGCGAATCTTTGGTATTTTCAGTGTAAGATGATTTATCTTTTGGGTCAGTATTTTTCCTAACTGATTCACCTGTAATTGAAATATTTTATCACTTCCAATTCCATTATTTCTGTTCATTAATTAATACATTAATTCATCAGGATTATAAAGTAGTATACCATACAATTATAATATAATCTTTGAATGTATATTAAGTTATACAATTTTTGTCGTTGTTTAAACAATACTCTATCATAATTTGCATAGTAAAATGATCCTACGTTTTTTTTTTTGAATAAATAAAGTGGATTTACTTCGGTGCAAAACCCAACTAAACTTTTATATTGTAAACAGAAAGAAAAATACCAAAAGGATCGATAAGTCGCACGTGTTTCACTGTACACCACGACACTGAGAATCGCTAGTAGAAGCAAGTATGGTAGGACTCAGCTGTCGCTACCTAATTGCCAGGACAATGCAACAGATGGGTTTGATCGCAATTCCTTCCTTCCGCTTGTATTTTTCATTCCTTTTTTCCTCTTTTCTTTTATTCTACGAGCTTTTTTTCAAAAAATCAGATCTATATATTGTCTATCATTAAACTATGCTTTATTACTTGTCATGTATTCATCAAAACCAAGTACTGATGATCATCATCATTAAAGATAAAAATTCATTCATATTTAAATAATAATTTTTTAAAAGGAATTAAAATTTAACTGAATTATGAGCTTAGTGAATATTTGGTAAATTAATTTTGCATAAATATCAATCTGAGTTGAGCTTTTAATACGTAAGACGTGAATAGAATATCTTTCTAGCAAAAAAAATTCAGGTTTAACTATTATAAAATCCTTTAGCAGTATACTGGTTTGAAATACTATGAGATACCATATCAGCCGAAAGCAGAATCCCGGTGGAAGTGTTGGACGTGTCTTATCGCTAGTGAACCAGGCAGCCCCAGAAGCAAAGCAGTTGACTGGACAATGTATGTATACGCAAACATGCAAGCAACTATAAGCTTACAGAACGGTAACCACTTAGTTTAATGATTATGAGGATTTTTTTTTTATACTTTATGATTTTTTTCTATTACCACTATTAACATATTTTTCACGTAATTATGAAAATAAAATTAATTCTGTTAGAAATAGTTATGAAATAATATTAAAGAATTAATTAAATGCATGAATAATGTCTTTATTGTAACAGTTTAAGATCATGATGAGTAACAATTTATTTTAAAAATTAAGAATCATTTTTGCGATATCTATATGCTGATTTTTACACTGTGCTGATAAACAGATCAACTAAATGTGTACGATTCAAGTAAGCATCATACACATACCTTTCGAATACGGGTACCATCATGCAATACTGCCCGGTGATTTTGTCTATGGCAAATTCTGGATGTGATTCTAGTACACTGATCATGCTACCCCTATACACTGCTATATCTTTTGCCCTTACTTTATTATATTATTTTTTAATCCTTTGTGATTTAACTAAAAGTATCTTCAATGTAATTTATTTACTTATATTTTTTTTAATTAAAACATAATTTCTGTGATTGTGATTTTTCAATTCTATTGAATTTTAATCTTTCAAATTTCTTTGATCATTCTCCTCCATTGATGGTTTCAAATAAATTGAATAAACCATTCTAAATGGAGTTTTATGTAAATTACTACACTAGTATTCAATCAAATTAATTGAATTATTTTTAAGAATATTAATCCTTCCTATCCACATTCGTTGGAGATTGTAATAATAATAATAATGGTAAAAAGTAATTTAAAAATGAATTCTCCAAGTGATCTGCACTGGAGTACATCCAAATCCCCGTTTTAAAATAAAGGGTATAAAATAGAATTATTTACCTTTACTCTCATGCTCTGCACTAGCTGGCTCTTGAATATTCAACTCATTGGAAGAACATTGGAAATCAATTGCTCCAACTTCCATTGATGACATGATCGACGAATTGTTAATCGACGTAATGATACTTGTTGTAGCAGTGCTTGTGGTAATGTTAATGTTGTTATCGTTGTCATCTTTACTATTATTATTATTGATATTTTTATTGTTATGTACCACAGTTGATTCGATAGCATAAGTTGGAGAATTGTCTCCATCATGTGTTGTTGATATTTCTTGTTTTTGTTGGTGTTGTAGATTGCAAATACTTTCATTTGTTGATTCTTCCTTTATTTTGACCTTATGAAGAACTACAACCGGTGCAGTTGATCCTTCTACTTTCATAATTTCTTTTTACTTTAATATTGACACCTATAATACATTATTAAAAAAATGAAAGACTACATTTTCAGAAAATAAATAATAATTTCTGTCACCAGCAAGATTTTTGTGAACATAAATAGGTTTATTGATTTTATTTTCAGAAAAAAATAAAAATTGTTTTGGCGAGTATGACATCGGTTAGTCAATTTTGGTAAGTTGATTTTTTAGAAGTATCAAACTGTCATATTTATTGATATTACAAAGACCCTGTAACTGTACAGAAGCTTCATAAAATGAGTTGTGTGTTTTACAGTGACAGTTACAATTATAGTAAACGTCTGACTTTTTTTAAGAGAAAAAGTGATTTTGCAATCTGAAGTGAAATGAATAAAGATAGAAGAGATTTATGCTTATACATATGTCCTGCATATGGTATGGTATAGACACCAGCGCGAGACATAATCTCCAAACTCTCTGATACCACTTTTACTTCATACATGTGTGTCCACCACATGTAGGCATCCTGAAATTTCCAATATTAGACCGTTTTGTCGAGAGACAGGCCAGATGTCTACCTCACCATCGTACTGGGACTATGAAGTACCAACTACCACGCTTCCCGCGGTTTCATTACGAAAATGTCACGTACAGCTTTACAGCTCACATCATAATGTTTATAACACATATCCATCTTTACTCTTATCATTTGATATTGAATTTCTTTCTTTTATCTATTTCCGAAATGACACTATCCCATCCTGACCAGTCATCCCACGCAATACCCACGTTATTTTAATGAAAGTTATTCTGTGGTGACATTTATTCTGATAGATTAGTACATGTAATTTAAATTATTTATAGAGTGGTTTGATTTTTAAACAAATTCATTCATTATGTAAATATGTATGCATAGGAAAGAGAACCAAAGAGAGTAAATGCATGTGATTACGTCTTTCACAGAACTCTTGATTCTCTTTGAACGTTGGAAACTGCCCGCAACACCTGACTGAGTCAAGCTGCTGGCAAATATGTATACATATCATAAGTTGGCTGAAATTAGTAAACGAGCAAGAGGTAGAAAAAATTAAAGAAAGATGGGAGAATGTATATAAAGGGTAAAATAGCTTGAAGGCTTTATAATATTTCCCATTACACATGAGACATCAAAATTAATATAATATTGTATTAAGCAAGTCAACATCAAGAACTCTCTTTTCTCTTTACTTCTGCTACTAGCAGTTAATCAATAGGTATATATGTATATAATATATACAATCAAATGATCAGTATATTTAATATATTGAAAATTAATTTTTTACTAGATCAAAATTAAATAACATTTATATTAATTATTAACTAAGTTTTAATTAATTTTCTATGTAATAATTCTCTAAAAACATTTTATCTATGACTAAATTTTTTTTTTTTAAAACATAAAGAAACATGTTTTGAATAAATTAAAGGAAAATAAATATTTGAATAATTTTTAATAAGAAAAATGAAGAAAAAATAACTTACGTCATTTCAAAAAATGTTATTTTTCGTATTTTGAAGAAATGTAAACAAAAATATTTAATAATGTTGATTTACTTTGATCACTTTTTCCACATTTTTGTAAAACGAATGCTCTTTACTGTTTTATATAAATTAAAATACACCCAAATTTTATTCTCTTCTGTATCTTTTTGATTTAAAAATTAATTGAAACAAATATTTCACTTAATATAAAGCAAATAAAGCTTGAAAATACTTTTATTTAAAAGAAGAGCGCTAGATGTATCATCAACAAACGGTAGCCCGTGTCTGACTAAAGCTGCGAATTTCACTGTAACTGAAGTAGTAGAAGACTGTGAGACTAATGTCTGTGAGACTCGTCTACTCTTGCTAATACAGTCATGTACAATCATACGAACGTACGAAACTCGTCGAAGCTTGTCGAACCTCGACGAAGCATTACCTGCATAAAAGCACATCTATAGGGACAAAATGTAGTTTACATTTGGAGCTTTAAAAAAAAAAATTTTTTGAAGGTTTTTGATTTAAAAGTATTTTTTTTTCTGCTCTCAAAGAAGATATTTTATTTCTTGAAACAATCTTGAAAAAAAAGTAATAAATGATTAATTAAATTTTTATTTATGTTATTAATAATTCATTAATATTCGAAACATTTGGTATGTTTAATATAACAAATTAGAAATTAATAAAAAAAATTATCTTCATATTTAATGTGAAGGTTTAATATACACTTTAACAGATATTTTGTTAACGGATTTGTATGTTTTTGACATGTGAATATGAACATATAGATATATACCTCTCTAAAGAAAAGCTCTGTTTTTGAAACTGAGAAATAGCTTTGTTCTTGTGAGCTTTTTGGTGGTAATCTTTTTACACCTTTTAATATAAGAATATTATTATCAAGAATTTGGAGATATAAATAAAAAATTATAAAAATATAAATGGTAAAATGTTTCGAAAGGTCATTTATATGAGTTATTTTTGAAAAAATGATCTAAAATAGTTTGATTAATTACCAAATTTGATGAATATAAAAAATATAGAATTATAAACAAATCAACTTTTCGTGATATGTGCAATATAAATATAGTGATAAAAAGGTAAAGAAAGAAAAAAATAAACAGAGGATGAAAAATTGTACAGGTATGTCAATAGCAATAACCAGTAAATGCCAATAACATTGCACCGTCAACAGGAAACTTGATAATTTTGCAATAACGTAGAGTCACTCCGTAAGTTAGAAAAATTAACTCGAAATTTGACTGATAAAAATTCGAATGTTAGATTTTTTTATAATAATGTAATTATTTTTATAAGTTCAATTTTTGTACTGATATAATTTCCTATTTCTGATAAAAATATCTCAACAATAAATGTCTCATTAAATAAGTATAAATCTACAAAAAAAAAGTTTCATGTGGTTTAAACATTTTTTGATTTTATAAATAACGCAACTAAATAGGAAACAGCTGAAACACACATGGTATCATAACTGAGCAGCATTGACTGAGATATTTTTCTTTTTCAGCATAAAAGTTCATCAGAGTGAATGGTACACATTTGGAGAAAAATAAAAAAATGTATTACTATATAGTCCACTCAGTACATGTTGAAAAGGGGCATGTATTTATAAATGTTTAGAGATATTCATGACAATAAAAAATATTAGTAGCAAGAATAATTGTAAAACAAATAAAGGGTAAATAAAAATATTAGCTGGAAATAAACCCTAGTACGAATAAATTCTTTCATATCTTTGATATAGCATAAATTATTTTTGAATTTTTAAATAATTTATTAACTAAAATGGTTATTTCTTAGGAAAAGAACAGGTGAAAAAAATTAAGTGAGTATTGCTCACGCGATTATGAGTGTTACAAAACAAGCCTACAGATATTGATCAACATATACATAGATCTATGATAGTTTCTATTAAAACTGCTGTATTATGCATATGTTTTACAGATGTGAGTTATATTTCGTATGAATGCCGAAAGCCCTTTTTAGTGATAAATGATTCATTGACTTATTCTGATAATTAGAGGCAAATTATTCGTTTAATGATATAAAGAATTGTTTTTAGTAATAATAATGGCACACTGACTTTTTATATTTAACAATACTAATTAAATGAGAAATGGATATGCTTTGAAATATGATTTAAATTTATAGAAAAAAGTGAACTAATATTTTTTTTCAGTATATACAAGTGGCTTTTATTTATTTCATGTGAGTTAAAAAATTTGAAAAAAAAACTAAAATTTTTTAAATGAAAATGACTCGCGTGAAATTTGATGTTTATTGTCGTTTAAAAGTTCATGTAAATGCTATATCTATTTTTAAATATAAATTATTTTCATATAAATAATATAAAATAAATAAAATAAAAAATAAATTACTTTATTCCATCAATTGGTATCTGAGGTACAGGACGAATCATCCGCGTTACTTTGATCGTTGTTGCTGTCCGTTGAAGAACTATCGTTGCGTTTCAATTCTCGTTTACGAAGCTTTGCAAATTGAAACTCCTCGACTGGAACTATACAATTTAATTTATGTAGATTATATTAAAAATTTGTTACACCAAACTATGAAAAATAATTACATTAATGCTTATTTTTTAAAATTAAATATTTTTTTAGATAATAGACAGTCTATAGATATTTATTTTTAATATATTACAATCTATAAGTTAATAATTAATAAGCAAAAATTTATTATCAAACCAAAATTTAGTTTGTTAGAAAAAAATTTTACATATTTTTGAAAACTCAAAAATACATATCTTTTAAATTTACATAGTTTTTTTTTTAAATATATGTTAATCAAAAAGTTAAAAAAACTTTATAAATTAAATAACGATTAATAAATTGAAATAATTGTAATCAACATGATAAAAAATTTCATTTTTTCTTAACTACGAAAACAATACTGGAATAATTTTATTTTTGAACTCATTTGAAAGAAATATATTTTTTCATTTCTTTCTTTAAATATAATTAACCTATCGAAGTTTATCACAGGTATTTGTAGTGAACAGACATAGAACTATCTGAAATCGTGTTGATTACCATCAGAATCTGGATCTTGATCTTTAGCTATGCTAGAAGGAGCAACGGTGAATGGAACTACTTCTGGTTCAAGAGGTTTTGGTCCTTGATTAATGTCTTCTACTAGAACTTCTTCTGCTAAACTACTTCTTACTGCTTCTAAACACCAGAAAAAATATTTCTTCAAAAATATTTATTATTATTTATTATATAAAGATAGCATAAAATAAATTTCATACAGACCATTAAATGCTTGTGGATACTGCTGACTCAATTTATTTTTAACGAGTCGAATTTTCTTAAATATATAATCTAAATCTTTTTTCATTTCTATCAGGAGTGCAGTATGTTTTTTGAACTCGACTCCAGCTGATTTTAGTCGATTTACAGATAACTGATTACAGTTTGTCAACATTTCGTTGGTCTTTTCGAATCTTTGTAACCTAGAATAATTAATAAATAATCAATGAATTAATAATGCCATTAAAAATTGTTATGCTACTAGAAATGATGAAGATTATAGTTACATAAAACATCGTAATTATTTCTGTTAATTTTTGCAATTGTACCATTCTTGTTACCTGCTGCTGGATATCAGTTCTATCAACTGGTTTGTACTTGTAAGAAGTTAAGAAAACTAGATCATTTGTAAATAATGAATTGCATAATTTAAAATCGTAAGATAATAGAAATTAACCCAGAAGAACGATAAAAAAAATTAACAGAAATAAGTGTGATATTTTATAAGTTCAACCATTTTTGATCTTTCAAATGGAGAAATTAAAAAATAAATCTCATCGACTTTATAGAAAATATTCTACAATTACAAAATTATCCATAAAAGTTATTTATGTTTAAATTCATTTTCATAAAAACAATTTTTAAATTTAGAGGTTGTTGTTTAGCCTAATACTGTGTAATGTTTTATGTTTCACGTGTAGATACCATGAAAAATTATTGTACTATTAAAAATATTGAAGATTATAATTACATGTGTTTCTGGGCTCTTATCATAGATTCGACATCTTGTTGATCAATAATACCAGCAAGACCCTGAATAAACACTTCTGGAGCAGTGTAATTTTGAAAACATTCGAAGCTTCCTGGATCAGACTCTGGTGTCCCTTGTGCAGCTATTGAATGATCCTTAAAAATAATTAATTAGTAAATAAATTTATTATTTCATTTTTAAACAAAATGAAAAAATTCCTACCATCTTATCAATTTTCTTAATAAAAATAATGGAATTAATTTACTTCAACCATTTGAAAACTACTCCAAAACAAGAATCTTTTTTCATACCAAAAGGCTTGCTAGACTATGTGGTATTAACATTATGTTAAATTATCATTAGAAGTAATTTGTATAATTAAATTGGTAAACAAATTTATATGTACATTTTTTTGACAGTTGTATTAATGCATTATACATTACATTAACAAATTGACAACTAAAACAAGTGCAATAATGAATCTTTTTTAGATGTGTAAAAGATTAAAAAATTAATAAATTATTGCTACTTAACAGAAACATTAAATATTATGATAAAAATATGATTCTTACCATTCTGTAAACAATTGATCTGATAGATTCGGTTATTGCTACTCCAAAATATATACTATAATATATACAATGACGTTTGTGCATAAAATGTAGACAGTTGAACTGGAAAAAATGGTGTATCTTTTATACGGATAATATAGAGAACTTTGTTTTCAATAGAGAATAAACTGATGAGAGGTAGGTACAAAAAATTATCGACCAATCGACAGCGAGTACAAACGCACGTTATTTTTGGACCAATTGTTTGTGAGAAATAATAGGTTTTGTGTGTCTGACTTTTTTTTTTACTTTTTATTTTATTCTTCCAATTCATATATTTTTATACATTGTATTCTTTTTACAATCTACTATGGTAAATTAAATATCGCTAACGTGCTTACATTTTGAAATATACAGCTTGAAGGTACATGAAAAAAACGATTGAAGATTATTATACTGTGATAATTATAATGGATAATGATAGTGATAATGTAATGCTAATTATAAGACTTTTTCAGGTAAGAAAATGAAATACATCTAAACTGTTGAAGTAGAACCAGCTGTAGGTGTGCTTCCAGTGGAACTTGCTGCAGATACTCCATCAGTAGATCCTGAGCTAACGGCTCTTGTAGCACGGACTCCACTTGAGACTCCCGTGTATGCACCAATAGATACTCCTCCTGAACCTCCTGTAGATCCTCCTGTGAATCCTCCAGCAGGTGCGCCTGTGAATCCTCCTGAAGGTGCTCCTGTAAATCCTCCTGTAAATCCTCCTGTAGGTGCTCCTGTAAATCCTCCTGTAAATCCTCCTGTAGGTGCTCCTGTAAATCCTCCAGCCGGTGCGCCTGTAAATCCTCCTGTAGGTGCCCCCGTGAATCCTCCCATTCCAGTAGGCCCTCTTGAGCTTTCTATCACTATCATTATAAGTTGAACAACTTCTTCATAAGTAAGTCTTCTCCGTTGTCCAGTAGCACTGACATATTCTAAGTGATCATCGCCTAATAAACTCCCTGATGTCGAAGATATTGATGTACCTATATCGATACGTCCTCCTGCACCTCCTGATGGAGCAGATGGACGATAAGAATCATAAGAACCTGCTGGTGCAACACCAATGTTATAACCAAAATTGCTATTGACTCTTCCTCCTCCTCCAGCACCAACTCCTCCACTACCATAAACATCTACAGGAGGTTGAGAGTTAACATACGGTGTAGCTTGTATATTGTATCCAGTTTGGAAACCAACTGATGCATTTGGTAATGTTTTTTTATGAAACATACCACGAATCCTGTTAGCTGCCTGAATAGTGGAATTTGATCAAATGAGTCTATTTATACGTCGAATAAGTTCGAGTATAATTAAAATAAGTGTATTTTATGTAATTTCTTACATTATCAGCGACATCAGCTAGTTGATATTTCACATTGCCACCAGCTCTGAGAAGATCACCTATTAAACTTCCAGTTACTGTTCCTCCAGCATTGACAGTTCCTGATTGACCAAAGTGGGCATTTACCTTAAACAACCAAATAATTATTTATTAATAAAAGATTGATTATTTTTCAGTTGAGGGTACACCAGATGAATAATTTATGTTTTACATGACTAAATGTAAGACTTCTATATAATAACAGAATCTATTCAAAAGAAAATTCTAGGATAGAATTAAGAAAATACAGTTTATAATACTCTTACCTGGTAAAGTACACAGGCTGATGTAAAAAGATAAAAAAGCTGAGCGTACATTTTGACCGTACAAAAAATGGACAAACTAGAAATGAATTAATAACCCAATTGAAGCTACGGCTTATTTATACTGGATACTTTGATTATTAATATTGCAAAATAGTAGAATCACAACTTGTACAAATATCGTTTATCTAAGAATTACATCAAATTTAGAAAAATATTCTGGTTGGTTGGTTTAAATTGCTATTAGATAAGACGAGTAAATAAAGCTAATCAAAGATTTATCAAAAAGAAAGTTGGTCGACTCTTAGTTCAGCACATTATAAGAATGATTTTTAAAGAAATAGCGCGTCCAATTTGCATACACGTGTGCTTTTTGTATGAATTAAAAAGTGGTATTCCCAATTTATGACGCCTAGACAGGTGCGATTATGATTTCGATTGACCTCATTCCATTGTATTTTTGATAATTACTATGAAGATAAGTTTGTTTAGATCTTATCATTATGCGTTAAATGCAAAAGATGTGGTTTCTGTCCTTGAAGAATTTGATTTTGTCTCATCTCTTTAAAGTATTGATTTTAAAAGCAATTTGCAAAATAAGATGTACTAATGGAAATTTTTAGTTGAAGCACAATAGTTTTTTATTTTTGCAGTTATTGATCACCTCAGAATGAATGTATCTCCTTTTGAATCAATCCTCTTTTTTATCCCTTCATAAAAAAGGGTATAAACACCCCTTTCGGCTATAAAAAAGGGTGTATAAAAACGTGTCGTATTGTAGAAAAAAATTCTAATAGATATAGATAATATTTATTTGTGAATTTTATTTATTTATAAAGTCTTCTTGTATTATTTATATCCGATGATAAATTTTTATGATTTGATAAAATTTTGCATACATTTTCATTGAAAAGATCGCTAAGAATTAAGAATAGCAAAATAATAAATATTTTTTATTCCAGGAAATGTCTAAGAACGGATCTAAGAAAGTGTCAAATTTGGCTTATTGAGGGGGTAATACTAAGGAAGAGGTTGCAAAGAGTTCCACTCATGTAATCCTGGTGCCAGAAGATTTTGTTGTAAAAAGAATATTGAAGACGATTGGTTAGAAGAGAAACTATCCTGCATACAGAAGTCTACACTAAAGGGGTAGTTTAGTTTGATGAAAACTCGTGCCACTTCCATTTCATCAGGACAAAGCTTATGAAAAGTAAGTTTCAGTATGTATTTCTTTTTTATTACAAAATATCAATTTTTTATGTTTAGAGTTATGATACGAAATGAGATGACATATTCATAAAATGATCCAACGTTAGATGATATTTATTGAAACATGGAACTTTTCGTTCCTATTTCGAATGTATCTTTTTAATTTATTAGTTTCGACACAAGTGAATTGATTTAAATTTTTTCGGAGTATTATAAAATTTTGGAAATTGACGTCGTCTAACGAAACTCAATAATACGGTTGAGAAAAATATAAAAAACTAACATCTGTGCCAAGGTTGACATAAATCTAAAAATGAACATTGTGTACCCCTTTTTTATTTCACCCTTCTGTTAACCCCTTTTTTTAGAGGACCCAAACGGTTCTAGAAAAGCGGCGAGGGGGGTTTCATAACAAAAAAAAATTCGCTGGAAAGTTTTTTTTTCCTCATAATAAACTATTTAAGGAAGTGCTCATGTCAATTATAATTAATTAAATTAGGTTAATTACTACGATTATGATAGCTAATTGTTATAGAGTTTATTGTTTTGTTCAATTTTTCGAATTTAGGTTAAAAAATTTTTTAAAGCACTGAATGGTCAATACTCTTGAAATCAGAAGGGGTGTGGCTATCGTAAAAAATATATGTCTATATGTATATATAGAGCTTTTTCTCTACAGCAGCCTCGAGTTTTGCTATTGCAGAATCGTCAAAGTGGGTGGAGCTTATTTTCCCTTGCGCTTTGCATCTCTTTACTTTCAAAGAAGGGTTTGTCAGTTTAGAGTATGATTTTTACTGACAAACATGAGAATAAATTTTATCGTATAAAATATTATTAGACTATTCTAATTTTTAGTAAAAATATATACATTTGTTTGCGAATGGAAGATCGTCCATTATTCTAGTTTAAATGAAAATAAGTGTTTGCCAATTTTATTAATGTTATCTGTATCATTGAACTGCTATATTAGAAATTCACGTCTATTAATAAATTAAAAATCTTCATGTCGCCGTAAATTTTTTCTCATTTTAAGTGTTTTCTTAATCATGGGTGACGATGAAACTCTTTGCGTAATGGCGGACGAAGAGACGCAATTCTTGAAAAGCATAAAAATGGGAATAGGATAAAAAATGATATTAGTGAGTGGAGAGTGTGAATTTATTGGTGAGTTACAATGAAAAATTACGAACTTAACTTTTTTTATTTATTTGGTTTGTTCATTTTTAGATGTATACCAATAAATCTCTCCTATTTCTGGCATCTTTTTTAAATCTATTTTTTTCGTATTAAAGGAAAGTAAAGCAGATTCTTAATATTTTATTCAATCAAATTTATTTAATAAATAAACTACATACACCTTACATAATTATACTAATTATTGAATATTTAATTTTATTTCTATTTTAAAGTTTTGTTCGTCTTAATAATTACTTCTCATTTAATAAATAGTTGCATCTTGACTTTAAAATCAATTGTGTTAAATAGAGTAAAAATATAATGAAATAAAAACATAAACTTTCTTAAACGATAACTCTATCGTTTATGAGATGTGATTGATGACACTTACGAATGTAGCACTGATGTAATATTGAAAAATCTCTATTTAGTTGGCAAAAGTTCAGCTAATAAAGAGTTTAATGTTATATTGTTGAAATTACATCTTAAAATTTATAAAAATTAAAAAAGAAATACACTATCTTCATTTCAGTATCATTAAAATTCTAAATTAACATTATTTTTACATTGACGTCGTATCAATATTAGGTTTTATCAAACGTTACAGACTTTGGGACTATCGCTTATATTTATTATTAGAGCTATTGTTTCATGAATTAAAGATTTTTGACACTTGTAAAAATCTCCAACATACCGTCTAGATCATGTCAATAAATTAAATACCATAACAGCTATTTGAGTGAGATAACAAAGAGACAAAATTATCAACTGCTTAATATCCATTAATGTCTCTTTCTTTTTCCAGATGATTCACGATAGTTTGACATATGTTGTTAATTTGGGTCAACGTTCTAGATGATAGAAGACACCTTCAAAATGCAAATCAACTGATAAACTTACAATATCGACTAGAGGACATCTTCTGGTAAGTGAGAAACTTTAATGACTAGATTGTTCAATCACTTAATTTGATTAATCATCAGTTCATCAGGAAATTCATATTTCCGGGAGCTAATGTTTTCTTTCTTCTGGACATCTCTGTTTTGTCACTCAACATTACTGCTCTCTGCTATATCTTCTGTAAATGTCTGTACCAAATAAATGATATTTACTCTTGAAGATCGTTTGACTCGTTCAAAGTGTTGGATCTTCCTTGAATGTATTACCTTTAAAAATATCAATAATCCGCTTGTCATTCAGTTCGTACCTTCTGGATGACAGGAAAATATTGAACAATATTCAAATACATTATTTGAATTTATCAATATCTTTAGCTCTAAAGCAAAGATACACGTTCGTTTTTCTTGTTCAAATCGACTAAAAACAAACAGTTTCCTATCATTTTTCAAATACTATTAATCCAATATTTAATCGCTATCTTTTTATTATAGTATATTTATATAAGTATATTTTTTCATAAATGTCTGATGTTTTACATTTTTATTAGTTACCAGTCCAAGTTTTTAATCAAAAACTATTTTTAATGTCACTGCAATTTTTATTGGAATTTTTTACTTCGCCTTATGTTTCAAGCTTTGAAGGCGTTCAAGTACACTGAAAAAACAGCTTTCGTAAGATCAGAAAATTTTTCTCTATTATCAAAAAAATTGTTTTAGCTTATTTTGAAAACCGCAATTTACGGGTATCTACAAAACTTTTTCGTAAGGTAAGTAATATAGTCTTTCTTCGAATTGAAATAGAATTTTCTGGTCCTACGAAAACTGTTTTTTCAATGTATCGATGAATGATTAATTGAAAGATGTCTGAAACCTATTGTTTTGAATAATGCTTTTCGTTAAAAAAAAAATTTTATTTATGCTATCATTCATTACAGAAGTAAAAAACAAAATACATTATGAATAAGAAGATTAATATAATTTTTATCAATATACTATTAATATTTACATGTATTAAAAAAAAACTAATTGCAAAAATGCCATCAATAAACAGTGCATTTATTGAACATTTCTATGGAATACAAAACAACCAAGAGTTGCAAATAGATCGCCTTACTCGTAATCTTATCCACATATAATAATATACAATTTCAAATTAATAATTTAAGAAAATAATAGATATAAAATTTTAATACAGTTGTTTATGATATGCATTTTGTACTTGGCGTTTTTCACAAAATGAGAAGAATCAAAGATACCAAAGATGTTAGAAAAAGCACGAAATTCGCAATTGAATGTAATTAGAAAAGAAAAGAAAAAAAACACAACATGTGTACTACAACAAATAAGTTCATAATACATTTATATTGTCGAAATAAGAAGAATTTATTCAACAGTCTTTTTTCAATTGCGGTTGTACAAAGAGTAAAGTACTTCATGCTGTTATTTTGTATTGTCCATATATCTAACTTGAATGAAAATATTTTATCATGGTATACTATCTAAAAACCCACTATTTCCAGAATCGAAAACCCGAAGCACAATAAATTTCCAAAAAACATTATTATCCAATAAAAACCACAGCAACAAGAAAACGATACTGCCAATGACAAAAAAAGAAGAGCATAACTCTAAATTCCGCCGGAACCTCCTCCAGTAGGAGTTCCTGTTGCTCCACCACCAGGTGTCGATCCTGTTGCTCCGACACCGGTTGGCAGTCCAGTTGCTCCACCACCGGTTGGGAGTCCAGTTGCTCCACCACCAGGTGCAAAGCCTCTTACTCCGCCACCAGTTGTCAATCCAGTTGCTCCACCACCAGGTGCAAAGTGTCCTACTCCACTACCGGTTGGGAGTCCAGTTGCTCCACCACCAGGTGCAAAGCCTCCTACTCCACTACCCGTTGGGAGTCCAGTTGCTCCGCCACCCGTTGGCAGTCCAGTTGCTCCGCCACCGGTTGGGAGTCCAGTTGTTCCGCCACTAGTTGTCAATCCTGTTGCTCCACCACCAGGTGCAAAGCCTCTTACTCCGCCACCGGTTGTCAATCCAGTTGCTCCACCACCAGGTGCAAAGTGTCCTACTCCCACGTTTGATCCGTGCTCGCACCCGCAGTCCAGTTGCTCCGCCACTAGTTGTCAATCCTGTTGCTCCACCACCAGGTGCAAAGCCTCCTACTCCACTACCGGTTGGAAGTCCAGTTGCTCCACCACCGGTGCGATCCTGTTGCTCCACCACCGGTTGGAGTCCAGTTGCTCCACCACCAGGTGCAAAGCCTCCTACTCCACTACCGGTTGGGAGTCCAGTTGCTCCACCACTAGTTGTCAATCCTGTTGCTCCACCACCAGGTGCAAAGCCTCTTACTCCGCCACCAGTTGTCAATCCAGTTGCTCCACCACCAGGTGCAAAGCCTCCTACTCCACTACCGGTTGGGAGTCCAGTTGCTCCACCACCGTTGTCGATCCTGTTGCTCCACCACCAGGTGCAAAGCCTCTTACTCCGCACCGTTGTCAATCCAGTTGCTCCACCACCAGGTGCAAAGCCTCCTACTCCACTACCGGTTGGAGTCCAGTTGCTCCACCACCAGGTTGCAAAGCCATCCTAGTTGCTCCGCCACCCGTTGGCAGTCCAGTTGCTCCGCCACCGTTGGGAGTCCAGTTGCTCCACCACCAGTTGTCAATCCTGTTGCTCCGCCACCGTTGCATCCGTTGCTCCACCACCAGGTGCAAAGTCCTCCACCGTTGGGATCGTTGCTCCGCCACCAGTTGTCAATCCTGTTGCTCCACCACCAGGTGCAAAGTGTCCTACTCCACCACCGGTTGGGCATCCAGTTGCTCCACCACCAGGTGCAAAGCCTCTACTCCCTACCGGTTGGATCCGTTGCTCCACCACCGGTTGCAGTCCGTTGCTCCACCACCGGTTGGGAGTCCAGTTGCTCCCACCAGGTGCAGCCTTTCCGCCACCAGTTGTCAATCCTGTTGCTCCACCACCAGGTGCAAAGCCTCCTACTCCACTACCGGTTGGGAGTCCAGTTGCTCCACCACCGGTTGTCGATCCTGTTGCTCCGCCACCCGTTGGCAGTCCAGTTGCTCCACCACCGGTTGGAGTCCAGTTGCTCCACCACCGGTGCGATCCTGTTCCCCACCCGTGCAGCCTTTGCTCCGCCACCGGTTGTCAATCCTGTTGCTCCCCGCCAGTGCAAAGCCTCTCTCCACTACCGGTTGGGAGTCCAGTTGCTCCACCACCGTTGTCATCCTGTTGCTCCACCACCCAGGTGCAGTCCTGTTGCTCCACCACCGGTTGGCAGTCCAGTTGCTCCACCACCGGTGCAGCCTCTTACTCCGCCACCAGTTGTCAATCCTGTTGCTCCACCGCCAGGTGCAAAGCCTCCTACTCCACTACCGGTTGGGAGTCCAGTTGCTCCACCACCGGTCATCCTGTTGCTCCCCACCGTTGCATCCTGTTGCTCCGCCACCCGTTGGCAGTCCAGTTGCTCCGCCACCGGTTGGGAGTCCAGTTGCTCCACCACTAGTTGTCAATCCTGTTGCTCCACCACCAGGTGCAAAGCCTCTTACTCCACTACCGGTTGGGCAGTCCAGTTGCTCCACCACCGGTTGTCGATCCTGTTGCTCCGCCACCCGTTGGCAGTCCAGTTGCTCCACCACCGGTTGGCAGTCCAGTTGCTCCACCACCAGTTGTCATCCTGTTGCTCCACCACCAGTGCATCCGTTGCTCCCCTACCGTTGGAGTCCAGTTGCTCCCCACCAGTTGTCAATCCAGTTGCTCCACTACCAGGTGCAAAGCCTCCTACTCCACTACCGGTTGGGAGTCCAGTTGCTCCACCACCGGTTGTCGATCCTGTTGCTCCGCCACCCGTTGGCAGTCCAGTTGCTCCACCACCGGTTAGGAGTCCAGTTGCTCCACCACCAGTTGTCAATCCTGTTGCTCCACCACCAGGTGCAAAGCCTCTTACTCCACCACCAGTTGTCAATCCAGTTGCTCCACCACCAGGTGCAAAGCCTCCTACTCCACTACCGGTTGGGAGTCCAGTTGCTCCACCACCGGTTGTCGATCCTGTTGCTCCACCACCAGGTGCAAAGCCTCTTACTCCGCCACCAGTTGTCAATCCAGTTGCTCCACCACCAGGTGCAAAGCCTCCTACTCCACTACCGGTTGGGAGTCCAGTTGCTCTACCACCAGGTGCAAAGCCTCCTACTCCACTACCGGTTGGGAGTCCAGTTGCTCCACCACCGGTTGTAAGTCCTGTTGCTCCACCACCAGGTGCAAAGCCTCCTACTCCACTACCGGTTGGAGTCCAGTTGCTCCACCACTAGTTGTCAATCCTGTTGCTCCACCGCCAGGTGCAAAGCCTCCTACTCCACTACCGGTTGGGAGTCCAGTTGCTCCACCACCGGTTGTCGATCCTGTTGCTCCACCACCGGTTGGAAGTCCAGTTGCTCCACCACCAGGTGCAAAGCCTCCTACTCCACTACCGGTTGGGAGTCCAGTTGCTCCACCACTAGTTGTCAATCCTGTTGCTCCACCACCAGGTGCAAAGCCTCTTACTCCGCCACCAGTTGTCAATCCTGTTGCTCCACCACCAGGTGCAAAGCCTCCTACTCCACTACCGGTTGGGAGTCCAGTTGCTCCACCACCGGTTGTCGATCCTGTTGCTCCGCCACCCGTTGGCAGTCCAGTTGCTCCCACCAGGTGCAAAGCTCCTACTACACTACCGGTTGGGAGTCCAGTTGCTCCACCACTAGTTGTCAATCCTGTTGCTCCACCACCAGGTGCAAAGCCTCTTACTCCGCCACCAGTTGTCAATCCAGTTGCTCCACCACCAGGTGCAAAGCCTCCTACTCCACTACCGGTTGGGAGTCCAGTTGCTCCACCACCGGTTGTCGATCCTGTTGCTCCGCCACCCGTTGGCAGTCCAGTTGCTCCACTACCGGTTAGGAGTCCAGTTGCTCCACCACTAGTTGTCAATCCTGTTGCTCCACCACCAGGTGCAAAGCCTCTTACTCCGCCACCAGTTGTTAATCCTGTTGCTCCACCGCCAGGTGCAAAGCCTCCTACTCCACTACCGGTTGGGAGTCCAGTTGCTCCACCACCGGTTGTCGATCCTGTTGCTCCACCACCAGGTGCAAAGCCTCTTACTCCACTACCGGTTGGGAGTCCAGTTGCTCCACCACCGGTTGTCGATCCTGTTGCTCCGCCACCCGTTGGCAGTCCAGTTGCTCCACCACCAGGTGCAAAGCCTCCTACTACACTACCGGTTGGGAGTCCAGTTGCTCCACCACTAGTTGTCAATCCTGTTGCTCCACCACCAGGTGCAAAGCCTCTTACTCCGCCACCAGTTGTCAATCCAGTTGCTCCACCACCAGGTGCAAAGCCTCCTACTCCACTACCGGTTGGGAGTCCAGTTGCTCCACCACCGGTTGTCGATCCTGTTGCTCCGCCACCCGTTGGCAGTCCAGTTGCTCCACTACCGGTTAGGAGTCCAGTTGCTCCACCACTAGTTGTCAATCCTGTTGCTCCACCACCAGGTGCAAAGCCTCTTACTCCGCCACCAGTTGTCAATCCTGTTGCTCCACCGCCAGGTGCAAAGCCTCCTACTCCACTACCGGTTGGAGTCCAGTTGCTCCACCACCGGTTGTCGATCCTGTTGCTCCGCCACCCGTTGGCAGTCCAGTTGCTCCACTACCGGTTAGGAGTCCAGTTGCTCCACCACTAGTTGTCAATCCTGTTGCTCCACCACCAGGTGCAAAGCCTCTTACTCCACTACCGGTTGGGAGTCCAGTTGCTCCACCACCGGTTGTCGATCCTGTTGCTCCGCCACCCGTTGGCAGTCCAGTTGCTCCACCACCAGGTGCAAAGCCTCATACTCACTACCGGTTGGGAGTCCAGTTGCTCCACCACTAGTTGTCAATCCTGTTGCTCCACCACCAGGTGCAAAGCCTCTTACTCCGCCACCAGTTGTCAATCCAGTTGCTCCACCACCAGGTGCAAAGCCTCCTACTCCACTACCGGTTGGGAGTCCAGTTGCTCCACCACCGGTTGTCGATCCTGTTGCTCCGCCACCCGTTGGCAGTCCAGTTGCTCCACTACCGGTTAGGAGTCCAGTTGCTCCACCACTAGTTGTCAATCCTGTTGCTCCACCACCAGGTGCAAAGCCTCTTACTCCGCCACCAGTTGTTAATCCTGTTGCTCCACCGCCAGGTGCAAAGCCTCCTACTCCACTACCGGTTGGGAGTCCAGTTGCTCCACCACCGGTTGTCGATCCTGTTGCTCCGCCACCCGTTGGCAGTCCAGTTGCTCCACTACCGGTTAGTCCAGTGTCCACGTTGCTCCACCACCAGGTGCAAAGCCTCTTACTCCGCCACCAGTTGTCAATCCTGTTGCTCCACCACCAGGTGCAAAGCCTCCTACTCCACTACCGGTTGGGAGTCCAGTTGCTCCACCACCGGTTGTCGATCCTGTTGCTCCGCCACCCGTTGGCAGTCCAGTTGCTCCACCACCGGTTAGGAGTCCAGTTGCTCCACCACCAGTTGTCAATCCTGTTGCTCCACCACCAGGTGCAAAGCCTCTTACTCCGCCACCAGTTGTCAATCCAGTTGCTCCACTACCAGGTGCAAAGCCTCCTACTCCACTACCGGTTGGGAGTCCAGTTGCTCCACCACCGGTTGTCGATCCTGTTGCTCCACCACCAGGTGCAAAGCCTCTTACTCCGCCACCAGTTGTCAATCCAGTTGCTCCACCACCAGGTGCAAAGCCTCTTACTCCACTACCGGTTGTGATCCTGTTGCTCCACCACCAGGTGCAAAGCCTCCTACTCCACTACCGGTTGGAAGTCCAGTTGCTCCACCACCGGTTGGAAGTCCAGTTGCTCCACCACCAGGTGCAAAGCCTCCTACTCCACTACCGGTTGGAAGTCCAGTTGCTCCACCACCGGTTGTCAATCCTGTTGCTCCACCACCAGTTGAAAGACCGGTTGCTCCACCACCAGGTGCAAACCTCCCTACTCCGCCACCGGTTGGGAGTCCAGTTGCTCCACCACCAGGTGCAGGGCCTATTACACCACTAGTTGCAGGTCCTGTGTATACACCGGAAGGTGGCCTAGTGGATACTCCTGAGTACCCACCACCAGGTATTACTGTTGACGCTCCTGGATATGTGCCCCCTGGTATTAATCCTGTTGCTCCACTTCCAGTTGCCGGTGCTCCTAGTGCACCTCCGGTTGTGAATTCTCTTCCTCTACCATCAGATGTTAATCCTGTTGCTCCACCACCAGGTGCAGGGCCTACTACTCCACTAGTTGCAGGTCCTGTGTATACACCGGAAGGTGGCCCAGTGGATACTCCTGAGTACCCACTACCAGGTATTATTGTTGACGCTCCTGGATATGCGCCACCTGGTATTAATGTAGTTGTTCCTGGATATGCACTTCCCGGTGTTACTGTAGACATTCCTGGATATGCGCCACCTGGTGGCCATGTCGGCACACTTGGGTAATCTCCACTCGGTCTCCATGTGGGTGCCCCTAGATATCCCCTACTAGGTGTCCATGTGGGTGCTCCCGGGTATCCACCTCCAGCTGTCCATGAAATTGCTCCTGGGTAAGAATTACTAGGTGTCCATGTAGGTGCTGCTGGGTATCCACCACTAGGTGTCCATGTCGGTGGTCCTGAGTATCCACTCCCTGGTATTCCAACGTATCCACTAGCCCGTCCTCCAATATAGCCTCCAGCATTCTTACCGTAGTCTGCTCCAGGACACGTTCCTGAACATCCTTTCGCTGGTAATTTTGTTTTTTCAACTATTGTTCTTATATGTTGGACAAATTCTTCAAAAGTAAGTCTTCTCCGTTGTCCAGTAGCACTGACATATTCTAAGTGATCATCGCCTAATAAACTCCCTGATGTCGAAGATATTGATGTACCTATATCGATACGTCCCCCAACATCTCCTGATGGAGTAGATGGACGATAAGAATCATAAGAACCTACTGGTGCAACACCAATGTTATAACCAAAATTGCTGTTGACTCCTCCCCCTCTACTATAAGCATTCATAGGAGGTTGAGAGTTAGCATACGGCATAGCTTGTACATTGTATCCAGTTTGGAAACCAACTGATGCATTTGGTAATGTTTTTTTATGAAACATACCACGAATCCTGTTAGCTGCCTGAATAGTGGAATTTGATCAAATGAGTCTTTTTATATGTCGAATAAGTTCGAGTATAATTAAAATAAGTGTATTTTATGTAGTTTCTTACATTATCAGCGACATTAGCTAGTTGATATTTCACATTACCACCAGCTCTGAGAAGATCACCTATTAAACTTCCAGTTACTGTTCCTCCAGCATTGAAGGTTCCTGAGTGACTGAAGTGAGCACTTGTCTTGAAAAAAAGGAAACTGTGAATTAATGTTTATTTTTTTTTCTTGATTGATAATGTACTTGGTTAGTAATCTAGGATTTTTAGGCAATATTGGGTATAATCTATTTTCTCGATATTTTAATCTAATTTATATCTTACAGCTAAATCCGAAATAAATATGGAATAAATAAATATGTCAGGAAAAGACTTCTACAGAATAGAAACAAGGGAATTACAGTTAACAGTGGTCTTACCTGACTTAGCACGCAGAGCAAAGCAAAAATTTGTAAAAATTGACCATACATTCTCATGGTACCAAACAATGAACAAGTAATGAATTGATAACGCAATGGTAGCTCTACTTATTTATACTGAATACTTATAGTATTAACATTGCCAAATGGTAGAATTACAACTTGTACAAATATTGTTTATCTGTGAATTACGAAGAACTAAAAAGAATATTATTATTAAGGAAGACTGAGCAGAGTATATTATCTGGATGATTTTTAAGAACCAGCGCGTCCAATTTGCATACACGTGTGCTTTTTGCATAAATTAAAAAGTGGTATTCCCAATTTATGACGCCTAGACAGGTGCGATTATGATTTCGATTGACCTCATTTCTTTGTGTTTTTGATGAATATTATTAAAAAAAGTTTATTTAAATGTTATTTTTGTCTAGCAGGTAAACAAGATGTAGTTACTGTATTTGATAAATTCGATTTTGTTTTATTATTTTAAAGTATTAAATTCAGGAATAAAGAATAATACTGAAAATTTTGAGTAAAAGAAAGAGAATTTCATCTTTTATTTTTGATGTTATTGATCATCCAAAGATGAATGTATCTCTTCCTAGATTCATCTTCTCGTTTTATTCGTTCATAAAAAAAGGGTATGAGCACGCTTTGATCCATTAAACGAAGTACATAAAAAAAGCATAATACAGTAGAGAAAAAATCGAATTATTAGAGATAATATTTGTTGGTGTATTTAGTTTGTGTATGAAATTTACTTGTGCTCCTTTGACCTACAGTAAAAAGATGTACATGAACGTGTCGTATTGTAGAAAAAAATTCTAATAGATATAGATAATATTTATTTGTGAATTTTATTTATTTATAAAGTCTTCTTGTATTATTTACATTCGATGATAAATTTTTATGATTTGATAAAATTTTGCATACATTTCCATTGAAAACATCGCTAAGAATTAAGAATAGTACAATAATGAATATTTTTTATTCCAGGAAATGTCTAAGAACGGATCTAAGAAAGTGTCAAATTTGGCTTATTGAGGGGGTAATATATTAGGGGGGTAATATATTAGGGGGTAATATATTATATATTATTGAGGGGGTAGTATACTAAGGAAGAGGTTGCAAAAGGTTCCACTCATGTAATCCTGGTGCCAGAAGATTTTGTTGTAAAAAGAATATTGAAGACGATTGGTTAGAAGAGAAACTATCCTGCATACAGAAGTCTACACTAAAGGGGTAGTTAAGTTTGGTGAAAACTCGTGCCACTTCCATTTCATCAGGACAAAGCTTATGAAAAGTAAGTTTCAGTATGTATTTCTTTTTTATTACAAAATATCAATTTTTTATGTTTAGAGTTATGATACGAAATGAGATGACATATTCATAAAATGATCCAACGTTAGATGATATTTATTGAAACATGGAACTTTTCGTTCCTATTTCGAATGTATCTTTTTAATTTATTAGTTTCGACACAAGTGAATTGATTTAAATTTTTTCGGAGTATTATAAAATTTTGGAAATTGACGTCGTCTAACGAAACTCAATAATACGGTTGAGAAAAATATAAAAAACTAACATCTGTGCCAAGGTTGACATAAATCTAAAAATGAACATTGTGTACCCCTTTTTTATTTCACCCTTCTGTTAACCCCTTTTTTTAGAGGACCCAAACGGTTCTAGAAAAGCGGCGAGGGGGGTTTCATAACAAAAAAAAATTCGCTGGAAAGTTTTTTTTTCCTCATAATAAACTATTTAAGGAAGTGCTCATGTCAATTATAATTAATTAAATTAGGTTAATTACTACGATTATGATAGCTAATTATTATAGAGTTTATTGTTTTGTTCAATTTTTCGAATTTAAGTTGAAAAATTTTTTAAAGCACTGAATGGTCAATACTCTTGAAATCAGAAGGGGTGTGGCTATCGTAAAAAATATATGTCTATATGTATATATAGAGCTTTCTCTCTACAGCAGCCTCGAGTTTTGCTATTGCAGAATCGTCAAAGTGGGTGGAGCTTATTTTCCCTTGCGCTTTGCATCTCTTTACTTTCGAAGAAGGGTTTGTCAGTTTAGAGTATGATTTTTACTGACAAACATGAGAATAAATTTTATCGTATAAAATATTATTAGACTATTCTAATTTTTAGTAAAAATATATACATTTGTTTGCGAATGGAAGATCGTCCATTATTCTAGTTTAAATGAAAATAATTTTTTGCCAATTTTATTAATGTTATCTGTATCATTGAACTGCTATATTAGAAATTCACGTCTATTAATAAATTAAAAATCTTCATGTCGCCGTAAATTTTTTCTCATTTTAAGTGTTTTCTTAATCATGGGTGACGATGAAACTCTTTGCGTAATGGCGGACGAAGAGACGCAATTCTTGAAAAGCATGAAAATGGGAATAGGATAAAAAATGATATTAGTGAGTGGAGAGTGTGAATTTATTGGTGAGTTACAATGAAAATAATTTATTTAAAATTCGTTTTTATTTGGTTTATTTATTATAATTATACTCATTATAAAATATTTCATTTCATTTTTTTCTACTGGCTTCTTTATGAATGAGTAAATCTTTTCGAAACTATTTTTTTTTTACTGACAATGAGTTTTTATACGTAATAAATTTCAATTATCCTCTCAAATATTATAATGCCATACATCGCAAATAATTCTGGCTCAATCAAAAGTATCTGTATGTCATATGTCAAATAAATTTGAGTTAAAGTTGTTTAAAATTTACGCAATTTAAAACAGAATTCTACTTTTAATTGATAAATAGTATTTGTTTTGGTGTAATTTCCGCCATAAAGTTGATATGGTTGCAGTTCAAATGTAATATAGTGCTAAAGATGTTTAAAATTCAAAAGTTTATCTCACTTCGAATATCTTTGTAAAAAATATTCTTAAAAAAAAGTAATCAAATCGGGAAACTGCTTCATAATCCATTTCTGATGATAATACAACCGGATTATGATATAATAAAAAAGATACTTTCTATACATTAAAAAAATATTGAATACAATACTTTATATTTAACAATAAAAATCATATTTGCTACTTCTATTCCTTGAATTAAACACTTTTGACACTTGTAAAAATCTTCAACATACCGTCCAGATCATGTCAATAAATTAAATACCATAACAGCTACTTGAGTGAGATAACAAAGAGACAAAATTATCAACTGCTTAATATCCATTAATGTCTCTTTCTTTTTCCAGATGATTCACGATAGTTTGACATATGTTGTTAATTTGGGTCAACGTTCTAGATGATAGAAGACACCTTCAAAATGCAAATCAACTGATAAACTTACAATATCGACTAGAGGACATCTTCTGGTAAGTGAGAAACTTTAATGACTAGATTGTTCAATCACTTAATTTGATTAATCATCAGTTCATCAGGAAATTCATATTTCCGGGAGCTAATGTTTTCTTTCCTCTGGGCATCTCTGTTTTATCACTCAACATTACTGCTCTCTGCTATATCTTCTGTAGACGTCTGTAGCAAACAAATGGTATCTACTCTTTCAAATAATGTGATCTTTTGTTGGCATGTCTGACCAGTTACACTTATCCTTTTATATCTACTTCGGGTATACTACCCTTAAAAAAATCAATAAAAGTCTGGTGGTTCTGATGTCGTCCTGCAGATGACAGGATAATGCTCTTCAATAGCATTCAAACGAATGATTGCAATGAATAAACTTTTTTAGCTTTAAAGCAAAGATAAAAATTTATTTTTACAATCAAATCTAACTTCAAAAATAGTTAATTTTCTTTTATTTTCAAATAGTTTAATATAATATGTAATTATACAAAACATTTTCCTATAAATTATTTTCATATTATTCAAATATTTTTAAACGAATTTTCAAAAATGCTACTTGCTAATTTTCATTTGCATTGAATCAAGTTCAAAAAGCTTCAATCTTCAAAGTAACGTAACATTGGAGGAGATCCTTGTGGCACGTTCAGGATTCTTGTTCTTCTCTCACTTGCAGGAGCCCATTGAGGTCCTGACGCTGAAGGTATTGATGCTCCTATGCCTATTTGACCTCCTACACTTCCTGGAGGAACAAATGGGCGATAAAAATCATCAGGATTGGCTGGTGGAACATCAACGTTATATCCCAAATTTCCATCGACTCTTCCTCCAACACCTGGTCCTTCTCTACCATAAATGTCCGATGTTGGTTGAAACACGTCACGAATTCTATCAAATACCTGAATTTTAAGAATAAATACAATAAATAATATGGTTAGTAAACATGAAATAGGTATATTTTTAATAGATTTCTTACATTATCAGAAACATCAGCTAGTTGATATTTTACATTGCCACTAGCTCTCAGTAGATCTCCAAGAATACTTCCACTTACGTATAAATTCGCCTTGTAAAAGAGAAGATAATTTTTCACTATCATTAAATTATCAATTTATTAAAATTAATTCTATTTTTAAAAGGAATTTATGATTCTTAGGTGCTGTTTAATGTTATTTGCTTCTATAATAATATTGCTGATGCTAGCTTCAAAAAATTGACCTAAAATACTTAGAAAGTAAATTCAAAACTAAACTGTAATACTTTTTTCTTTGACAAAACTCTACTGGATCAGTCAGAAATATGATATTTTATAATAATTTTACCTGGCTTATCACACAGATCAAAATAAAAAAATAGAACATTTTGATTCAATCAAAACAATGAACAAATTAGTAATGAATTGATAAAATGATCATAGCCACTACTTATTTATACTGAATACTTTGAATATTAATATAGCAAATTGGTAGAATCACAACTTGTGCAAATATCGTTTATCAAAACTGTCAAGAATTACGAAAAACTCGGGAAAAAATGTTTCATCAGTCTGGTTTTGATTTCTACTAGATAAGCTGGGTCAATAAAGTCAACTAGACATAGTTGAATAGTTTTCTCAAAAGTAACTTATGTATTTGAATTGTTTTCACTAAATAGCTTTTCTATTTTCCATGCTAAAATATCTCAACATTAGTTTCGATTTATATTCGGTTTTTCTTCCATTCCAATCATTTATCGAAATCTTCTGAAATGTTTACCCAGCATCAAAGTCATCCGAATTGCAAGCTTTGAGTTTGCTTTGCCTCAAGCTTTAAGGGGCTGAAATCCTCAAAGTAACGATATATTCGGAGAGTTCCCCGTTGAACGCTTGAAATTCTCGTTCTTCTGTTGCTTATTTTTTTCCTTCTTTTACTTTATTCCGCTACACTTTGGTCTATCTTTTTTTATCCTTTGCCTTCTTCTGTGGTACGTGGCTTGTGTTTGCATTTCTCTCCCTGGGGAAGGTAGACGTGCAATTTCGAAAAGCCGATTTCAATTCCGTTTTCTTTTCAGAAAGGAAATCTCGAGAGCTACAGTCTGAAGTCCAAGACTTGCTCGGGTGTTGGAGGGTGAGCGGTCACTCGGGATTACGCGAGTTATATACGAGCTTGAGAATACGTGTGAAAATCTAACGATTTCTACGAGGATTGCCAATCATTCCTGAATTACCACTTTTAAGTGTTATCTTCACATCATGCTTTACCTTGGGATCAGAAGGTAAATTGAACATATTTTACCAATTGATTGAAATTGGATTGAAATTGTTGTTATTTATTTTTTTTTTTTACCCAAAGATTTGATTGAATGCAAAATATTTCATATAAAGAGCGATGAATTAATTTTGAAAAAGGTATAAATGCACAATCAGCAGAGATTTAAGGTTCGATGTAAAGAAAGAGGAATCCCCAATATTTCAAGTAAGAAAGACAGGAGTGATGGTGAGGGGAAATGAGAAGCGTGCGCAGAGTCGAACAGTAGAAGAATAGAGTTGACGGGGCGAAAATCATGAAGGCCGGAAACGGAAACGAAGCTCATCGTTATACTTGGCATCTAGCGCCAGTCTTTCATGAAAAGTCCTTACAATACAAATTGAAATTTTTTTTCGATATGACTATTGTGTCAATTATAAATAACTGTGCATTTGAGTAACATTTGATCGAATTTTGGAGTACTTATAGCTTTTTTTTTCTTCTTCATGATTAAGTATCAAGGAACATAATGATATCAATATCAAGAAACATTAGTGGTTTAATTTATGATGAAAAATCTGTAGTTGATTCTACTGCTATCGTTTATTATCTGACTGACATAAAAATATTGTTATGCTGGAATACAACATCAATGTCAGAACTACAATGTTTCCGTCTTTTCAGTTACTATGGTCACATAAACACATTTTTATATGACACAGGAGTAGATATATTTCTTTAGCCTTGGAGTCAAGCGGGTGGCGACGTGTTTCATGAAAAAGGTTCAACGTTCTTTGTTGGCGTCCTTTCGTCGACTATTGGTATTCCAACGTCGTGTTCATCCCTCGACTTTACTCAACACACCCTTACAATCCCTTGTGCATTCGTCAAGCTTTTGATCCAGAGTTGAAATATCCATTTTTATTTAATCTTGATACAAGTATGCAGAAAATTTATTTATAAACCTTGGATCATTTCTAATACAGTAAATTTATCAAAAACTCATGAAGAATCGTGCACGAATGAAGCAATTCATGCTGATAGACTTACTTACTCAAAGTAAAAAAAAATCTGAATTTTAAAAGTTATTAGAGTTGATTTTCTTTTTGCATAATATTTTATGTTTATTTATAATTGGATTAAATCTGAATAAATATTCATTAGTAAAAAGTTAATTTGTGAAAAATACGCGTGAGAAGTAATTACTTATCAGAAATGGATGTGGATATTTGAAAAGGAATATTTAGCAAGTGAAAGAATAAAAGACCAGGAGAGGCGAATAGCCAACTTTGTAAGAGAATTACTTAACTCTTAGGCATTGCTTTCGAACTAATAAAAACTTTACAGCCTTGTAATGAATGCAAGAAATAATTATCTCATGAATACATTACGGTTTTAGTATCCTCCAATATGGAACGAACCGTAAAAGCATATGGCATTATCGAAGTAAGATTTAATCTTAGATTTTTAACAAAATATTTTATATAATTAAGAATTTTTATTTATTATCATTTATGTTTTCTTTATTCATTTTTATAATGTTAGTTAACTTGTTCCAGTTTCTATATGCTAGATTTCTACATGAGGTTTTTACTTTTGTTTGTTCACATCTACACATTACAGTAGACAGCTTTTGTAAGAAATGAAAGACAGGCTAGAAAAAGAGGAAAGAAAATGTCACAAGGTGATTGATAGTTTTACGACACGCCTAGTTTTTCCCTTAAACAAGTAAAGGGGTGAGTGAGTTTGGAAAAGCTCCATGTACTTGAGGGAATCAGTCACAGGATCACTTTGTTCTTGATGGTCGTACAACAAATGTGCATCCATTTCTTCTGTCTGTCATTAAAGTTTTATCATGGTTTTCTCTATTATGCAGTAGAGAGCTGATTAACGTTATCCTTAATTTGTAGGAGAATACATTTATTTAATGATAGCTAATGCTGTAATGACTTTATCAATTTTCATTCATTGTGATATTTTTAAGCTATATATACACTAATAAACCCTTGAGTTACTTTACTCATACTCGTCCATCTGGCTTGACATTTTAGTGATAATAGTAAATCAATAATTCAATATAATTTTGTAAAGTTCTATTTAGTTGCTCTAGATTTTTTTTTGTTGAAAAATAGCTAACTAGATTGAAGTGTTCTCATGCTTGATTAATCATTTTTTAGGTATTAAGACAATTCAATTGATTGAACATTTATATTTAAAGATTTCAAGGATAAGAAATAATGATAGAGATGATAATTTATGTTAGCATTATCATAAAATATATAAAGCAATAAAAAATTTAATTTTTGTAAAAAATGAAAGCTATTTAGGGTGAAACAACCCTCATCGAATTTTCTTGATTAACAGGAAAATTAATTGTTAATTTTTTTCTATCATCATTCATATTCATGATAAGAAAAATTGAACTATTATATTAAAGATAACTAGTCAATAATTTTTAAGATAAATTTATCATGAAAAATAGAATTGAAGCTGCATAAAAAGTTGATCTGTCATTAGTTCGTGAATATAACAAGCTTTTACACTTTATAGAATCTATTGGACCCATTTATCAAATATTCAAACTGATCTAAAGTAATTTTTTAAAATTTCCGTCTTAAATTTCCTCGGAGAATTCGTGAGCCATTGAATGGTTATGTATTATTCGCAAGAAACTGAGCCACATGGACTCAAGGGTAGTTTAAAATTGCCAAGAGGACTCCCATCATTTTTTTCCAACCTTCGATTTGGCAAAATCGCTGGAATGTGTTTTTTTTCGTGCTCTCGAACACGTCACATGAATAAAAAAATATCCTTCAAAGTTACGGGTTCCAACGTATGTTCACCCTCCCTCTGTTGAGAGGCCTGCATATGGGAAAATAAAAGCTAAAAGTGTCTGGAATTTGACTGAAATATTCAATCGATAAAATGCCACTATGTTACCACTGTTATCAAGAAATCAGCTTATCTTTTTTCTAAAAGTTATTCAAATATCAATTTATTAATATAATTAATGAATAAAGTTTTTCTTATTAGTAATGGAGGGTTGGATTCTATAAAACTGATGCTTATGTATCCAACATTAAGATCATTTCGAATCATAAAATATCCTCAGTCACAAAAACTATCATCTAGAAATGACACACGTGTCTCTGTCACTCTTTTTAATTCATGTCTTTGGAGAAAAATTCAATTGATCATCATTCTAGCTATTCATATTTACGATAATCATAAAAATAAATTATCTTCAAGCCCCAAATTAGATCTAGAATGCAAGATTTAGTATATTGAAGTGAATTACATGACACTTTTAATCTGAGATTAATATTTTTCCATGAATTGTTTTTTTATGGGGAATATATTATACTGCTATTATAGAAATGGCAGTTTTTTTTTAATTTGATCACATTTACAGATATATTATGTTGAGCACCACTGGTTCTGTGTAATATGAAGATAAGATGTCCCCTGGTGAACTGATGTGACCCTCGAGTAAGGATTATGTTGCCATCTACGTAGACATACCCTCCATGCGTAAATACCGCATCCAAATGTGATCCACCAGCGATGTTTTTTGGACCCCCTGCAATTCCTAAAACTATCATTCGAGAATCGGATATTATGCGTGACAGGTTCTTCACAGACTGGTTTTCAAAAATTCGTTGAGAGTTATTGGCTCCTATAAAAGCACTTGGAATTGTTATTGATGATTGGTTGAGGTGGTAAAAAAGGGAGCTGGGATGAAATGATAGACACTTTATAGTTTTTCAACATCTGAAATTTTATGTTTTTGAAATACGTTGGAAAAATAGGTTTACTTTAATAGAACTTGTAGAAAAAGCCTAGTGATTGATAAATTGTAGAAATAACTTTTTAATCTAACATCAGCTTTTTTTTTTAGTTCCGTAGAAATTTATTTGATACGTAATAATTATTTATCATAAATATCATAGAGTGTATGATAATTTAAAACACTTTCTTTCCTTTAAAAAGAATGAATTTGATATTCCTTGACTGATAATTATTTATTTATTGTAATGTTGTTACTTATGTACCACACTCTGTATTTTTCTGCAAGACAGAATCATGATTCATGTGCGTGCAGGCGTCGGTGTTTTCCATAAAAACGATAAATCCTCGACAATCCCATGGGATATTTGCCCTTTTCTAAAACGCAGAGAGAAAATCACATTTTTTTTCGCTGTCCAAGCAGTTGGCGGTGAAGAAAAATTTATGTAACTCGGAAAATGTGAGTCATTCAATGTAGCAAATAATTTTATAGAAATATTCTCGCATCTTCTTTGTTCCAATAGCAATAACTCAACATAATTCATATATAACTACTTGCAAATAGATATCCTAAATCCTTTCTGTATATTTACCAATATGTAATTCTTATTATTTTTTCTAGATATTTTTTTATCATTCAAACCATATTGTGTGAGCATTACTGTTATGTATGTTCCACATCATGAGGGTCCATTTGATTCATTTGAGCCACTTCTTGCCACCCACTTTTGCAATATCAATGTCGTTCATGTATTTGTCATACTAGATTCTCTACGCACTTCATGACTTTTCATCGAATAAAAGAAAAATGGGGAGCACCCAAGGAATTCTTCTAAAAAAAAGTTTACATGGGTGTTATAAGCCAACGCACTCCATTTAAACATCTTCTGGTATCTAAAGCTTCATAGCAGGACGAGGGTAGCTCGCGCCCCTGTAGATTCATCCATCAATGGCGCTTTATAATCCTCGCCATCGTGTTTTACAGTTCATTTACTTCGTGGCTTAGTTAACCTTTAAACAAGTTTTAACTTTGATTCAAAGATAAAAAACTAATCTTTTAATATTTGTCATTTTTCTCCATTTTAAGATCAACATTTATCTTAACTGATCCATCATTATTATTTTGTAAAAGAGTCTAGAGCTAAATGAGGTATCAAAAAGAACATTAAATATCAAAGATACAAGATAAACCTTTTTGAAAGTTGATTGATTAAAATAATATTTCAAAATTTTATGCTAAATAGTTTTAATTAATATTTATATCATATCATTATTCACTTCATTACCTACCAAATTAAATTTAATTTTAATTTATATTTAATTTTATGAATATGTAGATGACATTTGAGCTGCTAGAATTTTATTTACATTAATCTTGGAAGTCAGCAAAAGACACTATGAGACAGCGTGAGTAGAATGGCAAATTGTTGAACAGACGCAAAGCATTGAAAGGAGAGAAAGGCAGACAACGTTGTCTGATGGAAGTGGTGGAGTATAAGGAAGGAGCGAGAAAGTCGGGTAATCTGTGATTCAAAGAGAGCGATCCATCTTGCGACTTGCCAGGATTCAATCGCGGACATTTGTTTGTGAAATCAGTCCCGTAGGACTCATTCACTCTAATCTACGTTCTTGTCTGCTCCAAAATCTCTTCAACTTATTTTTCCATTTTTTTCCACTAATCTTCTTTATTTGTCTCATTAATAATCTACTCTCCATGCATAAACATTTAAAAAATTATTTTATCAACCCCAAAAAAAATATTTATTCTATCAGATTGAATTGTTTTTTTTTTTTGAAACATCTCATCAATAACCCTATTTTATTTTGCTTCTTTTTATAAAATTTTCTCTCAACTTCATTGTGAATAAATTAGCAAACAAATGATCAATATTTCCATTTATTTATTTATTGATTATTTATATGACATTATTTAAATTCAAATGTAGGCACAAGGGAGAAAGCTAGGAAGGAATATTGGAAATGAAACAGGTTTAATAAGGTCATATATATTTATTTGAGCGGGGTGGATTTTATAGGTAAGAGGGAGGGAAAATGAAACACAGAAGATGTAGACCAAGTGGCTTAGCATTCGGGAAAAGCGGAATACGGACGATAGGATAGATTTCGTGTAGTAGATCCGTGAGAGATCCCATAAAGTGACCCCAGCCGGTCGAGCGTCTCACCCCTCAATCGACAGTATCGTATATGCGTCTCATTCTCCCCTAAAATTCGTGAGCTTTTGGCCTTTTCCACATAGAAAATTATTGCTCTTCTTATATATTCGTCGACCGAATCGGGGCATGTTGAATAATTCGGTCCTTTGGAGCCAGAAGATAAGGGAGGCTCTCTGAAAGAGATGGAAACTTTGAAGAAAAAAAGGAAAGAGATAATGAAGGAAATAATACATGCGGGTTCAGTTGATTTCAGCGAATTATTTATAGTCTTTTCTCTCCATAAATTAGCCTAATGCCAACAACATTATTTCTCTTTTTCCCTTTTTACAATAAAAAAATATGGACTTTCTAAATAGATTATTTATTTATTTATGCATATTATTATTTTTATTATTGTTGATGTAATGAAAGTTTATGAAACGTATTCCTTGAGTAGTTTGAGCTCCTATATTGATAACGTGACATGAGAATAACATCATATTTCTTGGTTGAACTTTGACAGCAAAACGCATGAATGCTAGTGAATAGAAGGTCAGCGCTAAAATGTAATAACAGAATGGATACATTTGTTGATTAAAGTTTAGATATGTAATGAATCAAAAGTTTAGAGTGATAAAATATACTAGCCTACTGTCATCTTGCCACTGATGATATCTGGACTCTTCTGCATGTCTGATATTGTCGCTAATGGTATCATCCAGTTCATGATAGGACCCCAGAAATGAGTGCTATAATTATTTTTTCAAACAATCATTTATTTATCAAATAATAAAAAAAATTTACTTTCCATTTTATCGTTAAAATATTAAATTATCTGAGACATGATGTACTGACCTCATTACCCATGATCTTATTTCTGGGTCTAATAGTACCTTTTTGATATGATTCATCTTTTATGATCTTTAATAATACTTGACTACATTAATTTATAATTTAAAGTTTCTTTTTTAATTATAAATAAGTCACTACGATTGTTTTGTACTTTTGCTTTGAGTTTAAAAATGTTTTAAATGTAGAGTTTGATGATTACTCTACACAACTTGGCAGAAAACTAAGTATATTCATGGGCTTAATTGTTATGCAATGTGTTTACTAACTCGTACGATCACTCGTGATATCATGACTGTTGAAATACTCGGTGATTATCATATATATTACATTTCAAATAAAAGCAGTGCGGATATGAAAACTTTATCTGCTGATTTTTTTTCAAGAATTCCTTTAAAAAGTGTACATCATTGAAATAGAACAGATTTCAAATATTTTTCTTTTTTTTTACAATGTCTGTTGCGTTGTAATTAGCATCATTGTCAAGTAGCTTTGGAACTGCTTTTATATTTTCTGTAGTGCACGCAATGTAAAGTGTCGTTTTCCCTGTTCCTACTTCTTTGGATTCTATGTTCAACTTTTAGGGAATGAATCGAAATATCGAATTTATATTTAAAAGTTTTTCTTTTTTTTTAGCATTACATTGTTTCATTATATTTTAAATTTGAAAGAATAATTGATAGCTTTGTTTAAAAATTAATTTATTTTATTCTCATAAATTATAATAAAATGAAAAATATATTTATGTGTTCAATGCATAGCTGTTTTAGACCTTAGATGAACAACAATAGAAGTATCAATAAAATTACTTCCAGAAAGTAATAAATAGCTTCCATATCATCAACACAATAAATCATTCATCTCCATTTGCATAAGCATTTTTTCGCATCATTGATCAGGATGATCCCCCTCGACTGAATGATATATTTTTTCACCTTTTCAACAGCCTACTCATCCTGGCGCCTCCCTCAAAGAGACGTCCACGCATCTATTTTACCCCAAGTTCCTCATAATAAATACACAGGTTATTATTTTGCGCGTATAATATTAATGGCGCTATGAATGTTGCATGGAGAGTACGCGCGGTCTCCAAGTCTCACGGTCTTAGGGGGTGGATCGCACTCGTAAAAGTAGAAGGGACATGACGTGATGGGGTAGTGACTATATAAGTAGAGAGCATGCGCTAAAATGGGGTGGTATTATTGATCTGAAGGGGTGAATCGTGGAATCCAAGGGTTTCAGCATCGTGCCCAGCTTTCCATGTGCCCTTGACTTGACAATTTTATTTTAATTCATCCTCCCTTTTTCAATAGTTGCCAATCAGGTTCCAAGAAGAATAAACATCGGCATAAAATTATATATTAAACCCAAATTCATATTATAATCAAATCAATGGTGATTGTCATTGATAGCTCATTTTCACTGTTTTTATAATCAATTGATTTATTTAAAATTCAAGATTATTTTAACATTTTTATTGCTATTTTTAGAATAAATGAATTTCCTTTTTTTGCTGATTTCAGACATTAACTGACAGCTCCATCAAGTATATTCCAAATTTGCTGATCTGAATGCATCCTTCGTATTTCCTGCTAGAGTTCCTTTTCCTCCAAACATCAATGCTAAAGCGTATTTTTTTCTTTCTAGTATTTCTCCTTTTTCCACCCCTATGTTGAATAGAGAGTATACACACATCTAGAAACCGGCTCTCAATAAAAAGTCACACGATTGCGAAAGAGAACTCGTTTCATCTAGGAAAAGTATCAAGAATACAAGCCAAGAGCAATGGACACACCCTCGTATTCCCTCGACTTCAAGGAAAATATTCTTTCTCTCTTTTTTTAACGCTTCCAATGAATAGAACCATTTGCATCAAGGGTCTTGGGTGATGTGAAAGCTTTACCCTTATGTTGACAAGTAGTGTTGAAAGTTTTCTTATACATTGCACATAACTGATGACAGCTTTGACAAATATTTTTTGTCATGTAAAAAAATAAATCGAAATAGCTTTAAACATGTTTTTCTTATAGTATTCTCCTCAATAAACGTAATTCAAATGTTTTTTTTTTTAATTAGCAGATTTGGTATTATTGATTTAGAAAGCATTGATGCTAATCATTGATGATAATTAATGATAATTAATTTTAATTTAAAGATCGTTGGTTTGGTTGAATAAATGATTATTCAAATAGCTTGATCGAGATTAATTTTTGAATTTACAAAGTGAATATAAAAAATATGCAAATGAGTATCTCTAAGCTATTGCCATCTTATTTATGCACTGGTCGACAGTGTAATTGTTCAGTGTCCACTTCTTGATGCGCCGCCATTCGAAGAGAAGATTCTTGGCGCATCAAAGAGTCACGAATGGTGCGCGTCACTTTGCTTTGCTTTTCCCTTTACTTGCTCCTCTTCTCACTCCATCGTCCTTTTGAAGTTAAAGGAAAAAAAAAAGAAAAGAGAATTCTTCGGTGTGCAGGCAGAGTCTTTAATTGCCGTTTCTTTCGACTTGTGATCGACGCGTGTTCATCTTCTTGATGTTGCTTTATTTTATTATTTCACTTTTTCAACTGTAGGATTATTTTTCTTAAGTAAAATAAAATGATTGCTGTATAAGGAAATTTATTTTATAGTTTATTATTAGTTGTTGTTGTAGTTTATGGAAAGAAATGATTAAGAGTTTAATTTCATATGAAATGATAAATGGAATGAAAAATATTGAGTAGTATTTCTCAAGTAAAAAGTGAGAGAAATACCAAATGAATAAGTCTGTGCATTTTCGCTACTTCTACTTATGTGTGTGCATGTATGTAACTTTGCTATCATGCTGGGCTGCTATGCTACTGGGCTGTACACTCAATTTTCCAACACTTTACGTGTCTAGTCTCTTTTAAAATATGAGAAATAAAATGCCATATCTTGAGTGCACTTACTTATAAAAAAAAAAGTAAATAAAGAATTGAGAAATAACGAAAGAAAAAAAAAATATTGCAAGAATAATTTAACAATGCTTACTTCCGGCTGTATCATTTTTAAACTTGACAACTACAATTGTTCGTAAAAAATATGTTAAAAAAAAAGGCAAAAAATGTGCGAAGTAGAGAGAAGAAAAATTATGAGAGTCAGTTGAATACGGTCCATTATTCCACTCGATAAAGCAATTTCTGTTCACTCACAGAATTATGTTTCTACTATTTAGCATTGGCTACTATTCGATGGACAGTAAAGAAAGACGAGGTAACGTTTAGCTGTTTATGAAGTTCGAGAAAGAGGATAGACTAAGATGCTGAGAGAGTTAGACTGGGAGTTAAGAAAAAAGAAAGAATTAAGATCGAGAAAAGAATAAAGAGAAACCCAGCGGCAGACGTTACGGAAGTGGAAACTGCCTCGACGTAGTCTTTATGTGTAGCAAACGATCCGTTACCGTCAACAATCGATCACTTTCTTACATGTCTTGTAACGACAATATTAATCACATTAGCGTTATTTTTTTTGTTTAAATTTTTGAACTTTTTATCATTTTCTTCTCAGTCATTAACATTAATATCTAATTTAATACATCAATTGATCAAAAACAAACCAATAAGACATTAAAAATATAAAAAAAGTGTTTGCAATTAATTTTTAGATAATTAATTAAACAAAAAAGAGTGATAAAAAATTTTTAAAACTTTAAAATACATCAGTTATCAACTTTCTTCAGAAATATTAATTTAAAATAATCTTTTGTTGGAATTTATATGAAATTTTCATGATTACATTGGAGTTGATGAGAAAACTTACCAAGTAAAATCAAATATTGTCATGATTATTTTCAAGTTATTGATTTATATGAAAATGATAATTCTAATGGCTAGTTTATGATATCTAAGAAAAGTTTAGCCTAGTTGATGTTAAGTGGAAAGAGAAGTGTACAGAAAAAGAGTCTATATAAGCAGAGAATTTCAAAACGGCGCCTTGACCATAAATATGGAGTTGATTCAGGAGAACGCGAGGTGGGACGAATAATATCCGTCGTATTTTCCTTTGCTTTACTGAATTATTATACGATTCATGTTTCGAATTGACTCACAAAATACAAAGCGGAAGAGAAGCAATGTTATTGTACCAGGGATCATGTGAATAGAAAAAGAGACCACTGCAAGTGGATATATATTTTTTCAAACTAAAATTTTATATTTTTCCATCAATGTTGATCAGCTTCTGGCCCTTCAGATAAGCAATCATAACCAATCTCTTGTAGCTTTTTCATAATCAATTATATTCTAGCTTTCATCCAACTACTCCAAAAACTTTGGGTTGTATCATTTCCATCAAATCATAAGAAGATTTCTATTTTAGCATCAAGAAAGTTGGAATAGGTTCAATACAATACAACTTTCATCATCAAAATGAAATGTAAGTCTCATTGTCTTCTAGACTTTTAGGACTAATGGTGCTAAATTATCAATAAAATCAATTTAAAATGAGTATTTAATCCAAGCTTGCACTTTCCAGAAGACAGTGGAGCTAGGAATTCTCATCAAAATCAGATCACAAAATAAAAGAAAATGGAGAAGAACTGATGTTCCTAAAAGTGTTGTTATATGTGTGAATCTTTTTTCGCTTTCATTGATCCTCAACTCTCGGATATTATGGTGGCGTTCTTGGGAATGGTTGAGCGATCATAGTCGAAGAGAGAAGTAGGTACATTACGAGATCGGTATCCGATGGTGCGGGTGTCCTTATCCTGATGCTTCCGTCCGGCTGATCGGATTCCCAAGTAAGAAACGAATAAAAGCCAGAAAGAAAGACAGAAACAAACGGTTAGCCCGTCTAACCTGAATCCAATAAAAATGCTCGGCATTCTCAGAGTCTAACGGCTCATCCGTTTGTTCGATCTTGGTCATCGGACACTAGTGCCCGTGCCACCAACTTCTTGTCACAACGTTTCTCCCTTCCTTTCATTCACCCTCTCGAATCTCCTTGTCTTTATAACTCTTCTGGTTCTCTCGCTTGCTCTCCACCCGGACTAAAGCCCATCACAGACTAACCAAATATTTGCTGAGGTCCTCGCCAATCGGTCTCAGAGAATGTCCTTAGACCACCCAATGTTTTAAACACCCTCCCCTTATAGATACCCTTGCGGTTCAAACTCTTTAGTATCAATTCTACTTGTCGAATACCTTGGGATTTTTTTTTATCTCTTCTAATATTTACTTTCAAATCTTTTAGATACTTTTAACAATTACAAGTTTTTCGACTTATTTGTCGTGATTTCTTTAACT